TTCTGCCAGCAGCGGGCTGCCAAGGAAGGCCTTTGTTACTTCTGGATAGACACATGCTGCATCATCAAACAAGATCAGTCTGAGCTGTCGTATGCACTAAACTCAATGTTCCACTGGTACTAACAGGCGCTTCGATGCTACGTCTACATGAGCGATGTTGCATGCACAACAGGTGGAGAAGCTGTTCAAGATATAACATTCGAAAACAGTCAGTGATTCAAACGTGGTTGAACACTGCAAGAGTTGATAGCGCCAACGTCTGTTGTGTTTTACTCTCGCGAGGGGACGTACATTGGTAGCAAGAGAAGTCTTGAGGAGGAAATCCATCAGATCACCAAGATTCGCGTCAAAGCCCTCCGAGACAGCAGCTCCTTGAGCACCTTCAGTGCAGAAGAACGCTTCAAATGGACGCACGGTCGGAAGACAACACGGCCGGAAGACATGGCATACTGTCTACTTGGCATCTACGACGTCTGGATGACGCCCATATATGCCGATGGAGATTGGTACACGCTGAAAAGCAGGGCGATTGAGAGGCTGAAGACCGAGATCAAGGATAATAGAGGGAAAGAGGAAGTCGTCGTCATTGGTGGTGCGTCATGGAGTGATTTGTCCGCCATTAGCGACTACAGACTACCGGAGCTGGATCAGGATATTCGTGAATATACAGCTTGGCTACTTCAGCAAGGGTATTCTCCAACGACAAGTCACCTTACCCAGACGTCGACCAATGCAGGCCGGAAGATGAGAGAATTGCTTGGCAAATACGATGTGAACTATAATGATGATTCTGGTCTGCATGGAAGGTTTACGACGTGGCAGGAACCTTGGAGTCGCTTCCTCCACCAACAGTCGAGTTTTGTAAGAGTAAGGGGATTTTGAAATAATCGATGATGGATCGGGAACGGTCCGGAAGATTGTCATACTGGTATCACGGCGGCCAAGACATTGATGGGTCTGATACTCTGGAGAGACATAAAGGACTTGAGATAGTCTTCAGGAACGAAGTTTTCGGTTGTTGACACCTTTGATACTTTGATCGATCCCAGATTCCTAGATACTAACGTAGACAATTACTCTTCCAGCAATGTCCCATATGTTGCTCTTTCCCAAACATCGAGGTTTGCAAGATTAGGATCGATAGCGTCGGACAGCAACGCCAGCGGATAACATCCAAAGCTATGGCAGGCACAGTGAGCTCTTAATAGATTATGCTCAGTGTATCCCACCACTAGATGTTCGCCTTTCTCCAACTTCTCTCGCAGACTCTCCATCGAGAAATACTGGGACATCCAGCCAAGTCCATCGTTCAGACGTCGATACGATAAGAATTCCGCTTGAACCGAAGACCACAATGTACCAATGCTTTTTTCCCCAGTAAAACAGGTCGAATAAGGATCCTGATAATGCATTTCTTCTAGCATGGTATGCGGCCCCGTTGATCCCATGAAGTCGTCTTCGCCGTCCTCCGTTGATCCCATGAACTCGTCTTCGCAGTGTGGCTTGGCGATGCAATCATGCGATTCTGGGTCAAGGTCTTCCTTGCGGGCCCAGGCGACATGCGCTGCCTCGCAACGACGTAGTATGCCAGTCAGTACAGCCCACCCTGTTTTGATTTTGGTATTCCAAATCCCGAATGCTGGTAGAGCCATAATCTCCTCTGCAAGCTCGGCAGCTGTTAGCTCCACATGATCGCACTCGACAAATGAGTCGATTGACAACAACGCAGCGACTGAAACGTCTGCTTTTACGGAAGGGTTGAAGTTGTGAGAGATGAGGCAGAGAGCGCATGCTATTATACCAAAGAGGTCCTCACCATCTCTTCCTTGTGTGGCGAGATGATAAGCCGTCATCACTAGACTATGCAAAGGTTGCAGTTGCAGTTTTTTGCCACAGTCAGTGCTGAAACATCGGCGAACGTACAATCCACTGGGTGTCTGAAGCAATAGGGGTTGTGGCATGTGCCAGAACATTCTGTCAATGCAGTGACATATTGCCTGGATTGAAGTATTGCAAAACTTGTGTTTCCAGCTGGGAGGTATCGATGTATGGCCCTGAGCGTAAAGCTGGCGTATGCAAGGAGAGTCTGCATCCCAGCGGCCACAAATATCTACCTCTTCTCCAGCAAATCGTTCGACATCCCTGAGATTGTCGTCCAAATCTACCGGCCTCGCACTCGTGTGAGACTTGATGATCGCGATCATCAGATTGTCCAGTATAGTGTGGCCGTGCTCGTTGAGGTATATTGCGTGGACCTTGGCTCCAGTATACATAATTGTAAGCATGAAAATTGCATCGCAACAAGTCTTAGAGCCGTCCAAGAAACTTGTTGCTAGATGAAACGGACGCAATGATACTGGATCGATGCCTTTTCGATGAAGCTGTCGGGATATTTGTACCATCTGATCAACGTTTCGACTCATGATGCTGAAACCAAGAGCCTCAACGAGCAACTCGCTCGAGCGTTCCTCATCCGCAGCTTTCGCGATTTGTGGGATGGCGACAGGAAGATTCGTAGCGGGGGTAGGGCTGAAATCATTGTGTTCAAGTGCATCTCGCAGATGCGCCTGCAATGAAGCTGGCTGCTCGTTTGGCGACCATGATGTCCAAGTACGTTCGTCGCTAGAGTTAGGCTGGGCAAACGCTGGAGGCTCATATACTTCCTCCGGTATTTCCTCATATGTCGCTTGACGCACGTGGATGTACCACCGGCAGAGGTCCGAGGGCAGCATCGGTTCATCGTTGTTATATGACGCGGATGGATGTATCATGTCCTGGGGTGTTCCCGGAAGACTAGGACGGGCAGCGGAAAGGTATTGGTCGAAGTTCAATAGCTCCGCCGTCCATATTCTTGGTCCTTTGCCCCAGTGTTTGGCGGTCTTGAAGCAAAAGAACCAATATTGATATAGCCAGTCGGACAAGGTCCTACTATATCGTTAAATGGGGATTAGAACGCGGCTTCGTTCTCACCTTCTCTCTTGTCCGTTCAAAAGCTTTAAAAGCTTCTCATGATGACCCTGTGCAAACAAACACGCCCTGTCGATCAGCATGTTCTCTTTCGTGGTCTGAATTGTTGGTGAAGGTGCGTTGTTCGGAGACGCAGCCGATGATGGAGTGGTGACATCGATATTGCTATACGGCGTTGGCTGATCGAAAGGCGACGAATGGTCGAACGGTCGTACGTATGAGTGACGCATAGCAGCGTAGGGTAGGTTCCATTTGAGGAAGCTTCGACGTTAGGACACGACCGTCTAGTTCCAGCCATTGATTACTTACAAGCTGTCGCCAAATGGCAGTACACGTCCGTCAACGTTCGTAATGAGGTTCCGATTGAGGGATATCAATCGTGTGGCCTCCCGAATCTGATCTTTCATTACTCGTCTTACTTTGTGACCTTCGACTTGCTTCCCATCAATGAAGACTCGAGTAAAGGGTTTGCCGACTGCGGCGCGACTCTTGTAATGCTTCGCAACCGTGGTGATCTTGCTCTTGCGAAAGTTCTTCGACCAACCCCATTTCTTGAATTGGGCTTTGTATTGGCTCTCGCTACACGAAAGACTAGTCAGCTGCTAGACTCTCTTACTTGCAATGGAAAGGAAAATGGCTAACTTACACCTTGTAGAAATGGTGCTTGGTGCTTAACTCTTTAACAATATCATCAAGCTTCCATTTCTTCTCCAACCAAAGATCCTCCAGGGTCTCTTTTGCGTCATCCCAAGAATGCATGGGTACCGTCGCAGGCCGATTGATCGGGGCAAAACACGTAAGAATGTGACACTCGAGTCACGTACAAAGAAGAATAAAATCGTTATAGTAAGGAGCGCTTCTTGATCAGGGAAGAGAGGCTGTTAGAACCTTAAGTTTGCTGCACTGCGGCAGGCAGGCTGATCCCGTTCTTATGGCATTCTGACACCCTGTCTAGAATCTCTGACACGTGCCACAGCCAAGGCGAACAAAGGTTCGACAACCAACAGGACGACGTTCCCTTCCACAAATTTGTTTTGGCGTTGCGCATGCTGACGGAGTATCGATGCCTTGTTGCCTGCCACGAGTCCTCCGTTCTGAAACAACGCCGATCGGCTGCCATGCCAAGTCGAACAAAAGTTCACTGGCCAATAGGCATAATGCGGGCGTGACCGGCCCTGAACCATCGACGCGTAAAACGCCTCGCGACGCAACACGACGTCAGCCGTCGCGTTGTGCCACACTTCGCATCAGTGCCTGCTCAGTACTTCGAGGCTCTCTGTTACTGTTTCTGTTACCATTGCTCAACCAAGGGCACCATGAGCTGGGAAAGAAGCATCGCCATCATTCGCCTTCTGAATGGCGGATACCACTAGGTATCCGCTTTGAATACAGCCTTTCCATATTTCTGACAAGATGGTGAAAGATGTATTTACTACAGTCGCAGGGATACATATCGATCAAGGCGGAGCTTGTGAAAGCTTAGTATCCACCACGGACCTTACAATCCCTGCGCGCCTCCCATATGCCAAGCAAGACGAAAGTTGTCTGTCCAATGGTCGACTCCAGGGTATGAGACAGTGTGGGTGACCATCGCGCCTTCCATGTCGGCCCAGAGTCCACCCCTGTCATGCTCTGTACATACCCAGACCCAACATCCTGTGGCTTCCCTGCAGGGGAGGTCTACCAAGATGAACAAAAGTCGACAGACCAATGCATTTCGAGCAACATTAGACTCTTACCGTATCTAGACAGCGGGAATATAATGCGAGACACCCGTCAACCTGACAGGAGCATGTTAACACATACTGACCCATGTCATTCTCAATGCAGAACGAATACTCGGGCCTTCATCAAGACTTGCTCCAGGACTGAGAGTCTGACCTGTCCTTGATACGCATCTCCCTCCCGACCTCGAAATGTATAAAACATCTACTTCTTCCACCTCTCCTCTATAGGCATCCCATCATCTCTGACACTTTCAAGCCTGTATCTCTTTCTCTCTCAACATCGCAGTCTCAATTTCTCCATACAACATGCCTCAGCAACAAGTTCCGTTGTGAGTCGACCCTCGCCGTTGACAACCACACTGCCTTATCCTACTGACCAATACATAGTGGTGCTACCAACTCTCCTCAACAGAGGTCATCCGATACCGTCACACTCTGCCCATACCATATCGGCGTCTTGTCCTCGACCTCCAACACGTACGCAAGCAACATGAATCCGATGGACCGCTTCCTAGCGGAGGGGCCCGCGGAGCAAAGTGCCATGTTCATCCGTCACGACAACGGCGAGCCATCGACAAAGAGGCACTGCACATGCCAAAGGGTACATAACGCGAAGATGTGAGGATCGGAGACTATTTGCTAGTCGAACCGATAAGCATCACATACATCTGCCCTGTGTCATCGCGAAACATGTTCAACGACACGCAAACGGGGTATGCATGTGCCTGGTAGGCGGACTATTTGTGGATAGATGGCGAGTTGTAAGGACAGAAGTGATAGGGTAAGGTTAGATGGGTAAAGATACGAGAAGGAACTTATCATAGAGTAACCAGCAAATTGTTTCAATACCGCAGCCACGTGTCCTAAGCTAGTTGTTGGTTCTTGAGCTCACTAGAGCGTTGCTCTAACCTCTCTTCATCTCGCTTTAGCATAGCATTCCTACAGCTCTCACGATCAAGTTCATCTGGCCAGCCATGACTCAGCATCAGTGCGTGCAGTTCCTAGAGAGAAGATAGTAAGCCAACCTGCTATTCATCGAGAAGGACGGAAGTCTATCCGAACCTTGTACTCCTCGCCAGAACTATCAGCATGCACTGGTCCCCTACCATTGGTCTGGCCGATCAAATGCAGCTGCGCATAATCATTCTTCCATTCATTGAGTATATCGCTGAGACGCGCAGTGCTTCCAGGGTTTGAGCATTCATTGCGCCAGGCTCGAGGGTCATCGGCTCCGAACACTGGGTCATGAAGAGTTTGCACTTGGTACCTCATCGCCGTTCCTAATTGTAGAACAAAAACATGATCAGTCATCGATAAAACCGCATGGAAGCAGGCTTCGGCTAAGGTCTGATCGTAAATACCATCTGTAGTGTCGAGCATGATGTATTGCCCGTGTACTTTCCCATACGTGAGAGCAACAACCCATTCCGGAAAATCATAGTCGCGTTCACTTGTGTCCGGTATCTCCCAGCAATCGATGCCAGGCTCTACTTTCTGAAAATAGTCACGTCGGTAATCACATGGATATGTCGACCAAGCTAACGTGTTTCTCTCAGATGGGCCGTCCATACGAAGATATGGTAGACGCTTGAGCAATTCGATCACTGTGCCGTTCTTGTGCAGTGGTGCAAAGTTATCGCTGGTGATGTTAGGCCAGCCTTGCGCTGGAGGCTCTAAGATGTCGGATGGCTCAAGCCATGGCAGTCGAGCGAGGAAGTTGTAGAAATCCAGCAGTGCAGTAACCACTTCGGTCTGAAGGTCAGAGGCTGCTAAGATTTGATTTGAGGATGTCGACATTTTGTTTTTGTAGGCGCGCGTCTTATCTGTCTGGAGAACTGGGCGGCGTCGGTCCCTATCACGTTGCAGAGGTTGAACGTGGAAGTCAAAATGAAGGAATCAAGAATAGACAGGTGATGCGTGGATGAATGACGACGCTGGAGAATGGAAGTAAGGGGGTTAAGCTCAGGCCCAAGGTAGCGTCAACCATGGCCTGCTAGCAATCATTTACTACGAACCATACAGACGTGCTTAAGATCATCTCAGACGCGCAAGTTTGGTTTCAATGCTACTCGAAACAAGACGACGTATAAAAATGTTGAACGGTGTTCACCACGAGATGTGTTTCTTGTGTCGATTTCGAAGGTGCAATGTTGCGCGGTTTCGCTAACACCAATGCGTGATAGTCTTTAGCGTATCTGGCTAGCGCGATCCCGGAACTTAACCTGTCAATCGATCCCTCCCCTCAAATCCTTCTCAGTGTCCCTGAAACCCAGCACATTGACTCCAACGAAATCGCCCTCTTTGGTCCAGTATCAGTCTGGGCACTTGTTATGTAATCATCGCACGCGCCACAGTACGCACTGGACAGATCGGGTTGCGCTGTCGCGACGCGTGGAGCTTGAGACGTCATGGTTGTGGTCTTGTCCTCACATCGCCTTGTGCAATACACTGGGATATGGTGTCATCAAGGGAGTAACCACGGACTGTAGTTATGAATCCGGTCACAAGGATTGCAGATGCGCTCAGCTGTAGATCCTTACGGCCGTTAGGTTTATATGCGCGATATTTACCGCGGACGATTGCAGATTACTAACTGACATGAGTAGACTGTGAATCCGCATATTGTGCTACGAAAGATGTTGTCTTCGTTGGCTCGATCGATTCCGTATTATTGCGTATTGTTCGCTGCGCATTAGATGATTATACGTCGCATCAACAAAGATTTGACCAGGAAGCCTCGTATCGCGCTGACGAACTTCCATCATCAATCGATCACCAAGCACAATGTATTACAGCACCACATAACCAGCTGCCGGTGGTGCTAAAGAAAGAGATGGAATAAGTCATTTTTACACACACACACACACACACACACACACACACACACACACACAGGTTGACAGAAGTCACCAAATATAAGGCATGATGTCACAGGTCCCATCATCTCATCTTCCAGCAGATCGCTGAGCCAAGTGTCGACCATTCAACGACCTAGACTGACATCACTACACTACAAAGACGAGGGCTTTCCAAAATCCACGGCTTTATTCTCCTTGACCCATATCTTCTCTTCCTCGCTTCCGAATGCTGGTGGAAAGATTCCATTGATCTTCCAAAGTCTTCTCTCCGTCTCATCGATATGAAACTCATAGTTATAACCCTTATCACCACAGTGTTTTTTCAAAACAGCATCTACGCCGTTTGCGGCCCCCTTGTAGACTTTATCTTCGTCTGGAAGCCTTACAGCAATGTGCTCGACGACAACGCGGATGAAAGGCGTATCCTGCTTGCCGACTTGCTTGCCCCCAATGAACATACTGTTTTTGGGTACTTTAATGAAGTTCGTGACAACGTAAAAGGCTGGAAGACCGATGTTGGTGTATTGCTTGATGCTGTCTGCTGCGAGAGCTTCCTTGGACGCATCGTCCTCAAATGTTCCTTCCGGATGGTAGATGACCCAGAGTGGCATTTCGATTGGGGTTGAAAATTGATGGAAATGTTGATTGCAAAGCAGCGTTGAGGATACTGTTGAGCAGCGGTGAAGAAGGTCGTTATTCGGGTTGACGCCCCTGATATAGATCAATATTAGTTAACATCGTCTAGGCCTCTCCGCTTCTTACGCACGTAACAAGCGTGCTAAAGCACGACGGCCGATCATTACGGTTCTTCCATAGCCCAATAAAATCAACGTGTCCTTAGCGTTGTCGAAGCCGAGGTGGTGAACTGAGAGAAGTTAATTTGAGAACCCCACCGCATGTTGTTCCGAGACGACGGGCCCAATGGTGTCAAGTTACGTGCGTTACAAACTAAGCTAAGGATCCTGGTAATTGGCCTGCTCGTCCTTAGTCTGGAAAGACAGGCATACAACAAACACTAAATCAGGCTAGCGCGTCATGTTTAATAATCGAAGAAACCCACGCATCACGCCCATCCAGCCAGCTATGCTCGGCTCCGCCATCACGCCGCATATTCTCTGCACCGTTATTGAATTCGGGACGGACATGGTGACGATCTGACTCCGTCTCTACGCTGACAAAACACGCATAGCTGAGATTGCTTACAATTTCAAATCTGAGAGATCAAGTCACTACATGTAACCCTATAGTTTGGAAACACAACGAATATAAAGCGGTCTTGGTGTTCTTCGAACAGACAGCAAATACCTACCACTGGCACTTCCATCAATCAGTAAAACAATTCGTCACCACTGCCTTAAGCATGTCTCAATCTCTTGTCTTCATTACCGGGTCGACAGGCTTCATTGGGTCTCACGTCGTTATCCAAACGCTCGAAGCAGGCTACAAGGTTCGCCTAAGCGTGCGCAAGGAATCTCAAATCGAAGGTCTCAAGAAACTCTTCTCCAAGCATATTAGCAACGTCGACTTTGTCGTTATTCCGGATCTGTCTATCTCCAGCGCTTTCGACAGTGCCTTTAAAGATGTCGACTACGTCTTACATATCGCTTCACCGATGCCTGGCAAAGGTGAAGACTTCAAGAAAGAGTACCTACAGCCTGCAGTGCAAGGTACAACATCGGTCTTGAATGCCGCAAAGAAGTTCAGCACGATCAAACGTGTCGTCATCGTGTCATCGATACTTGCCTTGGTCCAACTGGATGCGCTCACAGGGGGCAAATTTGAACCGAAAGGTACGTTTCTATTCCATGAACATGGTCTATCCTTTCTATGTACATTCGTATCGATGACACATATCTGACGTATCTTTGCAGAAGGGCGAAACCAGGAGATCTCCGTGGATCCTGACATGGAATTTCCCGCGGATCCGATGGCTAGCGGAGGAGCAAAGTATCACGCCTCTAAGCTTCTAGCCCATCGAGCCACCCTCGACTGGGTTGCAGAGAACAAGCCCCATTTCGTTGTCATCACCCTACATCCTTCCTTTGTCTTTGGTCGCAACCTTAGCCAGACATCTCCTGACGGAGTGGATGGTACTAATGCCATGCTTTGGGGTTGCCTCTACTCCGAAAAGCCCTTCATCCCCGCAGTTGGAGTGGATGTTCGAGACGTTGCACTTGCACACGTTCGCGCCTTGGAGACAAAGCTTGATAGCAACAACGAAGTTCAGGAGTTTGTCTTGAGCGCTAGTGAGAAGGACGGATGGTCTTGGACCAACATAGTAAAGTATGCACAAGAGAAATATCCTGGCTTGGGTACAAAGTTGGAAGGTTCATTTGATGCGCCTCCACCTGTCGAATCACGCCGCGCTCAGGAAATCCTAGGCATCAGGTGGAAGAGGATGGAAGACACTATCGCATCTTTCTTGGATCATCAGCTCGAGTTGAGGGCCCAGCTCTAAGCTCTGATGTAAGCAACGCAACATGCTTAGCCAGATATTAGTCACCGTCATTCAACTTCGCCCTTCGTCCTTCGTCCTTCGTCCTTCCGAAGCTAGATTGAGAGTATCTGTGACCTCATGAGTATGGTGTCGATTCAAAGATTGCAAACGCTGAGTTTTGAGGGTAAGATGCGCCACCGGCGAACCCTTACAAGTGCTCCTGGTTGTAGTTTCCTTGATTCCACCCCGCTTCTTCTTCTTCTTCTTCTTTTTCTCCTGAAGATTGCGTACTGTCGTCTCATGACCGCTGATCATTTCAGGGAAAGCCTTCAATATCAACGGCATCATGTGTCTAATATATTGCGTTGGATCTGAAGTAGCCCATCGGCCTCAATCGTGACGTCGACAAGCGTTCGGACCGTTCATTGATGTTGAGTTTGCTGAAGTCTAACAATAGACAAAATAGATGTCATCGGTCACTCAATCAGGGACTGCAAGCTCATAAGGTGCCTCATGTATGAGTGGTGGAAGAGGTCGCGGCTGGTCTTGCAGCATTTCCGGTACGCTGATTCTTGAATGTACGATATGTCCTTGTCCATCTATTGCGATGATTTCGAGTGCGGCATTCTGCTCTTGGATGAAGATCGAGACTTTGGTAGCGAGAGTGTTGGTGACCCGCAGCTTGACCGCCCATGATAGCATGCCAGTAGCGGAGCAAGTCAAACCGCCCGTGTGCGCCCCGCGAATGGTCAACAATTTCATGTTGTAGTCGTTATGCCCATTCTCTTCTAGAACGATCAAGAACCGGCCATTACGAGATGCGGTACCCGCGAGAACGCTTGACCCAATCACACTGCCAGGTATTGAATTCATTTGCTGGCGAAGGCTTTGTGGATCATATTCGAGGGTATCGACTGGCACGATAAAAGTTGGGGGAAGATGCGATCCTGGCCTATGATTTACTGTGCAGAGTATGTGAGGTTTGCCGATCGGAGATATTACGAATGCCGCGTTTGTTATCTCATCGCGTAAAGCCTTTCTAAAGTCAGCTGGGTATCGAAGCATGTGTGAGGACTACTCACGCCCCCGCTACTACTGGAGTTGCAGTCGACATACCAGCTCGGGTTCAGACGAGTGGTCGACCGAGGCCACGAGCTTCGACCCACAACCCAGCAATACAATCGATTTCCTGTCGACAAAGCAAAGGCCATGGGACCATACAGGACATCGCTACGGTGAGGCGAAAAGCCGACAACCTTGATAGCCCCAGTGTTTCTCGGACATGACAAGATCGTGCGGTTGTTCTCCGCGTTCCAGCCTGTGGTGTACTGTGGATGTGAAGGTACCTGGTTAGCGTATGTCTTACGCTCGGTTTGTAGGGTTAAATCTCACCTTGTATCTGAACAGTTTCACGCCGCTTTCTCCTTCCCCACCCACTGCTACGCTGGCAGTAGCGATCCTGTCAATAGAAGGGGAACCACTTTGCGAGATTGATACCGACCTTGGAATCCAGCATTCATCTTGATCGACGCGTTGGGCTTTCACTAAATTTGGTGTTTCGCGGCTGTATTCATCGTAGACCAACAGTTGCATATGTGTAATTACAGCAAGCAAATCCTCTGTTAATGCGACACCTCGGATCTCCTCCTTCTTACCAAGTGGTATGCTCAGCTCGACATGAAGTGGAATTTGGCGACTCTTGTTCGCGCTCCCCACGTTGTATAGCCGTACCTGCTTTGCCGAGCAAGCAGCAACCCAGCCTGATGGCGAGATCGATGTTGCAACATCGTGAGTTCTCCGGAGGAAACGTTGTCCACTTCTCTGCAAATTGGTCTCTGTACAGTTGCCAAGTGAGGCTGGAAATATCGGGAAAGTCTCTACAGCTGAAGAAGAGCGTCGCGCAGACGGATACGAAGAGCTACTCGAGATAGACATCATCAAAGAGCACGGAACAATAATATCATACTGACGAGAAATTTTCGCAGTCAATAAGTCGTCAAGCGACGGAAAGCGGTGCTTGTGGAGCAGCAATAATGCCGTTGTTTCGAATGAAGGGTCGGTCTGAGCCGTCACACAGGTCAGCTGGCGCCGGTTATTGACTCCGATAGCTGGAGCCTGATCTTGTCTTGCATGCGCCACCCCATCAAAAAGCAGACATACGACAGATATGACACTCAGTGGTTAGGGGGCCGTGTCTCACTCATGCATACCAATAAAGCCAAGCCGCAATCTTATAGGGTCTTCATCTAAATGAGGCAGCCAAAGCGTACTCTTAGAGTACGTGGGACGCGTGGCTGTGCTACTGAACGTTATCGCAGAGCGCGCGATGCTGGACGTGGCGCTTTTAATGTTATTTTGTAGCCTCGCGACTGTATTGAAGCACCTGAGCTAACATCTGACAGCTTTTCCCCAGAATCGAGCTTATTCTGTTTTGATTCTATATTGCAAGGGGGCAGATGCTACAGACCCTCATTGATTTCGTTTAGTTGTTGAAGTCTTTCGAGAGCCGGACCTTGCGTACAGGTTAACGAGCAGCCTGTATAATTCGTACTCATCGTGATAGAACGATTGCTTCTTCCAGCTACCTTATCGTGAAGACCTCCAATTTGTTTGGAAAGCTCCGTACCGAAGAATGCCCCTGCGTGCCCAAAGCAGTACTAATACTCCTTACTCAGCCAGAATACCGAAATCTATCATGCGCCTACTCTGTGCTCTAGCATTACGCCACATATGTAAGAGAGCGGTATGTGGAGATGCAGCCTCGCTGATCTTGGCCCCGAGAGCTCATCGTCTCGACCAATCACCAAACGCCAGATGCTTCGCCACGATCGTTTCCCCACCATTCTACCGCTTGCAGGGACTTGAGATATTTTCGTCGCCAGAGTATACCCTCGCTGCCTAGATTTTGATCTCTACGCGCGGTTCATAGATCTGACTACGCTATCTATCGCTTCTTGGTCGCCGACTTTACGCTATCTGATGGTGGCAAAAACGCCAACTATCTCCTGTCGAATGGGTCATCTGGCCCCGGTCATTGTTTTCTGCATCATTTACAAGCAGGAATCAAGGCTGACAAGAAGCAAACCGGTGTGATTTCAGCCTTGGGTATAGGGCATGCCTAAGCACATTAGGCTGGAGATGCCCAGAAGCGAACGATAAGAGGGCGCAGTCTACATCAAAGTGTTGCCCTTGCATTTTCGCAGCACACTAAGATCTCTAGAATACTTACATCAAACTACTAAAAGAAGAAAGAGTTTCACTTTTTGGATATACCCAGTCTGATACCAGTTTTGTTTAATGTAATGCCAGTCGATATGGACGAGGAGCAAAGACCGCTAGATCGATCGCCATACTATGTGACACATTCCGAACATCTTGATCGTGTGCTGAGTAGGCCTCAGCTTGCAGGTAAGTCAGTAGGCCAGTAGCAGTAGAGGTCGGTCGAATAACAACATAGGTATTGGGATATCCGGTTGCATTGGCGGAGGCGTTTTCATCACGTCGGGTGCGCTGATAGCTACCACTGGCTCACTTGGAGCGGCAATCAGCTATGTAGTAGCCGGAGGGATCGTTGCTTGTGTCATGTATACTACTACTGAGATGGTAACATGCCGGCCACTGACCGGAGCTCTCATTGATCTACCTCACACTTTCTTGGATCCTGCTGGTGGCTTTGCCATCGCATCAGTATATGCGTATGTTTTTTAATCCTCAATAAGAGCACGTTAACAGATTTACAGACTCAACAAGATTTTCGCCATGACTACTCTCACTGCGCTCTCGGCACAGCTTACTGTCCTTTTGAAAGATCACCAGACGCCACATTCGCCCGGCACAGAAGCCGCTATAAACATCGCCTTCATAGCCCTGACGACTTTCTCGCACTGTCTTGGGGTCAAGGTAAGCCAATGACCAGATCACAAGAGATATGCCGCTTACTTATTCTTAGCTATACGGTAAAATTGAACGAGTGAGTTGAGCGAAAAGGAACTCGTGGACCTTTGACCTGACACCATGGTTGTAGGCAGTAATGTGGTTCAAGTTGAGCCTGCTCGTGCTTGTCTGCGTCATGATGGTGGTGCTGAACTTTGGAGGTATGCTTCCATGCGTGCGCCAACCTGCGAATGAGACATCTGACATTGTTCAGGCGGTGGACCAAGGAAGGGGAAATATGACGACGGTGAACTTCAGTGCCTTTTGACCTAGTTTTCGCGCTAACCTGCGAGGCAGACTATACAGATTACGCGTTTACTCCAGGTTGGAAACCATCCGGGTTCGACAACGCCACTCACAAACGTCTCTCACTTTCAAGCATCTCCAACGATGACTTCGGGATACCTGGGACAGGAGGTGCTCTGTTCGGTTTTATGTGAGTAGTCCGAGTCGGGCTGAGCACAGACAGGCTTATTGGACACACAGTACTTCAATCACACTTGCCATGTTCTCCTTCGGTACAGACCTAGTCGCGATGACTGCTGGGGAAGCGAAGAACCCTTGGAAGGATGTACCGGCCACAATGACCTTCGTATACGTCATTCCCGTCATCATGTACCCTTTTGCGATGTTCGCTGCTGGGTCAAACGTCAACTACCTCGACCCGAAATTGTCCCAGCTGTGGACAAGAGGCAGTGGTCCGACAAGATCGCCGTTCGTGATCGCGGCTGAAGATTCGTCGCTCCACGCGTTACCCAAGGTACTGAACGCGCTTTTCATACTCTCGGCATATACGACCGCAAACACTGATCTATATGCCGCCTCGCGGAGTGTTTTCATGCTATCCCAACAATACCTCCCACGAAAAGTAGCAAATGTATTCGGTAGGACTAACAACGGTCACACACCGTTGGCAGCTATCTTGCTATGCTCAGCCCTCGGGTTCCTATCACTCGTTGGATTGGCCGACAGATCGAGCTCACAACCAACTATCACACTCTCTGAGATCTACACTGGTACTGCGACTTGCATCAACATCTGCCTTTGCATCACCTTTCTGCGCTTCAAAGCTGGGCTCGATCGTCTGGCGAAGCGAAAGATTTTTGGAAGAAACCACCCGCTATACAAGTCTCGACTATTCAAGTCTCGCTGGCAACCACTTCCTGCATACATTGGTATGATAGGAAGCACATTCGTCCTTATATGGTCCGGCATACCGCCACTTATCATTCTAATTGCTAGAGGTAATCTTTCCTCTCCCGGCAATCTGAAGTCAACCATCAGCCTTGCCTTTGACGTTATCGGAGCATATATCGGCCCTGCTATCTTCGCCTTCCTCTACCTCTCGTACAAGTTCATCTACCCACGTACGTCTCGCGTCGACATTCGCAACCTCACAGTCGAAGACTATGTGTTGCAAGATCTATCAAACATCGAGCTGGAAGGCCCGACATGCGTGCCGACTGTTCCGCGACCCCGCTTCGGATCATATGAGATGGACGGCCAGAACGATGGCATCGCCGGTCCTTCTGTCATGTTCGAAGATCCGTTCAAGGAGGATCAGTCGTACGCTGACATGAGCCCGGACATGCAAGAGGAGATCGAGGCAGAAGCTGCAAGGAGCAATGAACGAGCAAGAATTAGGCAGATTCTGGAAAGAAGGCCGGAGAGATTACGCCGCGGAGTCTGGCGAGAGGTCTGGAGCTTCGTGAGGACAGACAAAGAAGAATGAGAATGAGAAAGCCGCTAGAGATGACATAAATTTACGCGCGACACCAAAAAACCATTCAATTTGCTGGCGCTCTCTATTCTTGATGCTGTTGTAGTACCTCGGTATCCGGCGCAGCTGGATGGAAGTCTCGTCGAATAGCGAAGTCGATCAAAACCTGGATACATAATCCCATTGCCGAACGTCCGATAAACTTCACCTTTTACCAAGACTTCCACATAGAGCTGGTTTAGTAACATTGATATACTGTAGAAAATCGTACTTGAAATCACAGCGGAATTCTCCTAGCCTGGAGCTAGGGCTGTGAGCCGTTCGTGCCGAGCCGAGTGGTGGCGTACTGTTCATTGTGCTGACCCGCTGCGATGAAGCAGCTGAATTACTAAACTCAGGTATGATCAACAGGTTCATGGGCACTAGCGGCATGCCCGGCTGACTGAGGAACATCGCCAGTGGCGTCCCCTTCAAGGGAGTTTGCTGGCTGTCTTCACGACAGGCTAGCTTACCTAGGTGGTTTGGTGGTTTTTAGTCCGTGGCAGAAAGGAGGCGCACGGTGGTTTGAAGTCAAATGAGCGTGCCGAGGTGGAAGAAATGACCGCGTCATCCTACTTCTCGGATTCGAAAACACATATGCGTCCAGACGACCTTTCCCCATCACTCGAATATGGAAGACAATGCGCGCGTACGCACTGCGTATAGTAAAAGATGGGCAATGAGCTTGGGAAATGATAGCTTGCTGAAGGCCAACAGACAGGGAGTAGCGACGCGCCGGAAATATGCAGTTCCACCTACGCGGATGAGGACCCTTGCCCTTTCAACCACTCTCTTCAAGTCGGCATCGATTCTCGTTTCACGCAATCAGTGAAAGGCTAGATTGGATATATCCCCCCAGAGACCATAGCAGCTTCTCGACATTCTTGTTACCGCGCTGGCCGCCACTGCTGTCGACCAAATAATGGCCCCCAACGTTGCTTATTGTTCGAATGCAAAGGCGCGACCCTCGAAGTTCTTATCGAATCGCATGACAACTATTTACCGGGCATGCACCCGAATCAGACATTCCCGGTGATAGTGACAAGTGGCGCGCTCGGAACATACATAGGTAAGCTCAATTGGGTAACAATGGAAGCTCAGATGCGGTGTCTAGCCCCCAAGCGGGTTCCAACGCTTCTTGATGTGGACCGAACTTCGGCGATGGCGATTCGTCCATGCTACACGAAGCTCTGGCAGTGTGGAGTGTCTCAAATTATTTGACATCTACTGTGCCTTCCTTCAACTGATCCAGTAATTATTTTCGCAAGAGGCAAGTATGCTAGAGTCGACATTTCTGATTGCATTCATAAGCTGCCTTTGCTATTTATCCTGGCAAACGTGTAGCCATATCCTTCGATCGAAGTTATGCAAGAGCTTTTGCACGTGTGCGAAGTCTATGCTGGTAAAACTTGGCCTCAAGAAACCACAGCTACCGATCCCATCCGCAGGTGCCACGTCGACCAATAGAGCGTATCCTCGTCTGGCTCGCCATTCATTGTCGATAAAACCCGAATATGATGTGGTGGTCATTGGCTCAGGATATGGCGGCGGCGTTGCAGCGTCACGCATGGTAAGAGCTGGGAAAAGTGTTTGTGTGCTAGAACTTGGAAAAGAAATTTGGCCTGGAGAGTATCCCCATACGTTCAAAGACGCGATGCGAGAATATAGCCTGAGTGGCAGGATACTCGGTAAGATGGTTAGTATCGGCAAGGCAGCAGGGTTGTACCATACTGTCAAAGGGGAAGGGCAGGATGTCTTCCTAGGCTGTGGTCTGGGGGGAACGAGCTTGATCAATGCTGGTGTCTTTCTTAAGCCAGACGAAAGATTGCTAGAAACAGCAGAGTGGCCGGAGGAAATTAGAGAGAATCCTGCAGACCTCGAGCAATGTGAGTACTGAAAGGCCATGGAAGGAAGAGTGCTTTTGCTGACACTTCAATGTAGTCTACGTGAGAGCTGAGCGCATGCTCCAACCAACAGCACTCCCAACAAGATACCCAAAACCACGCAAACTAGACATCTTTGAACGGCAAGCCGATAGTCTTGGCTTGCAAGAAAACTTTTACCGCCCTCCGTTGACGACAACCTTCTGCTCCAGCACCAACCCAGCTGGAATACACATGGGCGAAAGTACGGGTTCTGGCAACGAGTGCACAGGTGTCAACGATAGTTCGAAGAATTCAATACTTGTGACATACCTGTATGATGCTTGGATAAGAGGCGCCGAACTCTTCTGTGGAATTGATGTCAGGCATGTGAAAAAGGATAATCGAGGCAGAGGCTACATAGTATTCTACGACGTGTCTAACGGGAGAGGGGGAAAGACAAGGAAGTGGGTCAGAGCCGTAAGTGTGAGATTCTTCGGGTATGGCTCACACTAACGCGACACAGCGGGAGGTTGTCTTCCTTGGAGCCGGTGCACTTGGGACCACGGAAGTACTGTTGCGATCGCAACGCTATGGCCTCGATACATCACCTTTGTTGGGTCAAAGATTCACAGGCAACGGCGACATGTTGGCTTTTGCATATGACTGCAAGCACGACATCGGTAGTCTTGGTCGCGAAGCCCTGGGTAAAATGAGTTCCAAGTCATGCGGCCCAACGATTACTGCATGCATCGATATGAGAGGCTCCACACACGCCAAAAATGTACGAGACGGGTACGTTATCCAAGACGGCGCGATCCCTGAAGCTCTAGTGCCAGTCATCCAAAGCTTGCTCGAAACCCAAACCACCGCTATGCCATCTCAAAAATCCAGCACTAGGGGGAATTTGCTGGCCAGGTTGAAGAGTTGGATCCTTGGACCGTATGTCAAAGGTGGCAGCGTGAACCGGACGCTAGTGTATCTCACCATGTCACACGATGAAAACGAAGGGCAGATGGCACTCGAAGATGATGCAGTGGTTCTGCGTTGGTCGGGCATAGGGAGCCAGAAGCGGAGTGCACAAATCGACAGCATTCTTCTTGAGATGACTGAGAACCTTGGCGGCAAATTTGTCAAGGCTCCGTGTATCACCGTTCACCCGCTCGGAGGTGCGGTCATGAGTAGTGACGGAACTGGTCTTGGCGGCGTGGTCAATCATCGCGGCCAGCTTCTCATTGGAAAAGGACATGAAGTACACGAGGGGATCGTCTGTGTAGACGGTTCAATCATCCCAACATCACTCGGTAAGTTGCTTCGTTAAAGCATGCAAACTGGTTCGATGAAAGCTAATGGTAGTCTCAAGGTGTGAATCCATGCGCTACAATCACCGCACTAGCTGAGCGAAGCTGTAACCTGGTCGTCCAAGAACGTGGTTGGAAGATAGACGACAGTTCAAATAGTAGACTAAGTCCCTTGGAAGATCCGCCCATACCCGTACTATCAGAATCCATAAAAACTATTGGACTTGGTACCATAGAGGATGCGATCGAAGGCGTCCAATTTGAGGAAGTCATGCGAGGGTACGTTCACTTCGGCAACAACATTCCAGACTTCATCTCCGCGGAAAAGGTTGCTATGGAGGCTTCAAGCTTAGCTCAGCTCTCACTCACGGTGGATGCACGCCGCAACCGTAATGGCTCATATCAGGGTGTGCCATTTGGCACATTTGCTTGCGGCGCATTATCCCAAGACCCGCTCATGGTTACTGGCGGCACAGTCGAGTTCTTTACCATCGACGAGGAAGTCGCAGATGCAGTAGATCTCGTGTACAAGGTAGACCTCTTGAGTACAGATGGTGCGAGATACGGCTTTCACGGTTACAAGAGACTGAACTCGGCTGTTGCATTCTCGGTCTCGAGAACTTGGGGCGCGACAACAACTTTGTACACAACGATCACTGGATACGATGGCGTCGTGGTCGGCCGAGGTATCTTAAACTTGTCACTCCACGACTTTTTCTCGGAACTTCAGTCCCTACGATCTCGTACAACTATCGGTGGCATGAGCAATATGCAAGCGCAGGCTCGGTTTCTCAAGTTTTTTACGACTAACATCGCATCGTACATGTTCAGTCCCTTTCGTCGACTCCAGTATCCAACACCGTCCACCGAGAAATCGGGCTACTTTGAGAAAGCGATTCCTACTGTGACGATGCTCACAGCTGACGATGGGGTCAGGTTTCCCATCAAGTTGTGGCAGCCTCCATCCAGCACACAGGAGAAACATACGCCGATCGTATTCATCCCCGGTGCATCTGTAGACGATCAAATGTTTTCCTTGCCAACTGTACCCACGAACACCATTGATTACTTTACCTCACTTGGCTACCGGTGTTACGTCCCCATTCTCCGTTTTGGGATTGGAGAAGAAGCTAGAAAGGGCGATACTGTATACGATGCTCGGTTGGACGTTCGGGCTGCCATTCGATACGTTCGAGAGAGGGAACAAGGGAGAAAGATCTATGCCGTTGTTCATTGCTTAGGAAGCATAGCAACAGGTATTGCTTTGCTCAAAGGCGACGTGGAAGCTTCTTGGTTGAAGGGAATGACATGTAGTCAAGTGTTCACCAACCTACTTTTCAGCCCGGACAACGATTTCAAAGCGCGACATCCCATTTTCATAAAGGCCTATGAAGTAAGTATTGTCTTCTCCATCTGCCAAATTCCTCTGCTTACAGCCAGTTAGACATTAGCAGGCTCCTGGTTCCCGTGCCACTCTTCTTCGTCCTCGCCATGGGTGCAATTCCTGCTGGATCAAATACTACGTTTCTACCCCGTAGGCGCTCGAAGCGAAATGTGCAACTCTGCGGTCTGTCACAGATGCGACGTTCCTTTTGGCCGCTGCTGGACGCACGCCAACCTCAACCACGCCACACATGAGCATCTTGGTCATTGGTTCGATGGCATCCACACCAACTTCCTCTCGCACTTATCAAATATGGGTGCTATGCCACCTCACCACGTTCGTAGCAATAGGCCCATGTTTGAGGATCTGCTTACCCAAACGAATCTAGAGAGATTAAAGGGATTGAGTATTTGCTTGCTGAGTGGGGCTGAGAATGCTGTTTGGAGCCAGCAAAGCACGAAAACTAGCTATGATTTGTTGAGGGAATGTTTTCCAGAGGCAAAGTACGAAAGGGTTGTTGTGAATGGTTATGGGCATCTGGATTGTTGGATGGGAAAGCATGCGCATGTTGACATCTTTCCGAGGGTCGCGAGGCATTTGGCAGTCTGTGAGGAGGCAGAAGAGGGCTGCGAGATGACGGTAATCGGTAAGGGCTATGAGGATGACGGATACGTGAGTGTGGCGGCGGAGGGCTACAACGGGTAGGTAAAGATTGGTGTGTTCATGGAGGAAGTTTTGCAATCACTCTTAGTATAGCCGTGTTTCTGACCTTTTATACGGAATGCGGATGGTAAACTATCTTGTGGCTCAGCAGGGACAGTAACTAGGCCTCGTCGCGCGATGCCATTGTATTTGGGTAGTTTCCGCATTTAGTTGTGTGTGTTTGTGAAGGATTGACAAGATAATGCCTGAGACGGTAGATGAACACTGAGACCTGCTCATAATCATCCTGTTACCACATCTTCTTCCCCAGGCCACCGAACCCCTCCTGCAAAACCTTCCTCCCAGCCAGCTCATTCGCAAACTCGAGTCTCCGCTGCAACGACCACTCATCATGCTCATTAATCGCAAACAGCATACCAGCAATAAAGGTGTCCCCAGCACCAATAGTATCCACAACCTTTGCTTGCTTCTCTCGTCCAGCCTGCCACGCCTTAACATCCGCCCAAACCTCATCATCCCCCTTCTGAACCGCAGCCGCGCCTCCAGACCCCCATGTACAACATAACAGTGCACCATCTCTCGTCTCACTCCTCCTATCTCCAAGAAAACTCTTCGCATCTGTATACCCATTCTTCTCGACCCAGAGTTTCGAATAAAACACCACATCTGCGTACTGCGCGACCTCAGCCATACCCTTGCGTTCTGGCTTCTCACACTCCACGCTGATCTTAAAGTGCGGGAACTGTTCGCGTAGAAAACGAACGCACAAGAGCGTGATTTCTGGAACACGGCCTTCGAAATGGAACCACGCTTTCTCCCAGCCTTGCTCTTTGCCATCGCCACCACCACCACCACCACCACCACCACCTCCTCCAGTAAAGCTACAGACCTGTTGCATAAACTCGTCTCCTTGCATTTCAGGTAGCTGGTTGATACTGACAATCGTGCGCGACCGGTTCTCCTCACTTTGGATAATATAGCTAGATGCCGCTTCCTGATACTGTTTGCGAAACAGACTTACGTCTGATATCTTCACTTGAGGCAGTGATTCGCAGATGAATTTTGACGCAGCAGAGTTCTCTTCAGGAAGTACGGCTAACAGATGCAAGTCTGTGGATCGAGGATCCCGCGCTGTCTCGGGATCATGTTGTTGTAGTTGCAATAACACTTCTAGGCTGTTTGCTGTGTTTCCGCCTCTTCTTCGTGTTATGGATTTGGCGCGTAGCTTCTCATCTTCTATGGGGAAATGGGGAACACTGGATGTTTGACGGTTAGTGGGCGCTCTGTTCTCGGCGAGACCGCATACGGCAAGTACGTACGTTAGGATGGTATCGATGTAAACGGCACCGACACACACTATATGGTTTACGGCATTTTCAGACATTTTAGTGCGTAAGATTATGGCTGCAATTAGTTTGGAGACGGTGAAGGAAGATGATTAGTCGAAGATTAGAAGTTTGACATTGTGGAGCTCAGGTGCTAGAGGTTACGTCAAGTGTCGCGTGCCATTTCGACGCGACTGCGCGCCATCACATGGTTCGCCAAACATAACGTCAATGCATACACTCCAGAGGCATCCACGCAGTCCATGTTTCGCGAACATATATGAGAATTGTTGAATTCAGTCTTAAGATAAGGAGCGACCCTATTCTGCCTCTTCTCCTATCCAGTAATGAGCGAACATCCTAGCTCCCAGATTTGGTATCATTGAAAATCACACTCGCTCAAACGCCAATCCCAATCAAAAGATTATGAAACCATCGACAGTGCGTGCGCTTAGTACGCATTACCGCCCCAGCCCGGCGCTTTCCCCTTGCCTTCGTGCGAGGAGTAGTATTCGTCTTGCTCCATTACTGGACTGACCGTTATAGTCCCTTCATGCGTCTGCGGTGGTCCGTACCACGCATTACCTCCTGTTGGCACGTTGCTGTAATAGCCTCCATGCCCAGCCTCCTCACCGCCAAGATTGTTGAATGCTTGTGTCCGTGGTGTCATGGGTGACTTCATGCCACCAATAGTACCGGGTGTACGAGGCAGTTGTTGAAGTTCCCACATGTGCTGCCATTGTTCCTCGGCGGTCATCTCGTTGTCGTAAGGTGAGGAGGCCCACTTCTCCTTCTCCGCTTTCTTTTCCGCTTTCCTGGCTGCGTGTGCTTGTTTTTGGGCCGTGGTCGGGATGAGGGAATAGACTGAGAGAACGACGAAGACAGCGTAGATGGCACTATAGAGCATGATTAGCGCCTTTCCTTTTGGTTGATACAGGTGGCATGAGACTTACAGCATGATGATGCTGACGGCGAAACTGCTCTTTGCTTGCATGCAGTAACTCTTGATGTGCTTGTCGTCCACGATGTTACAGCTCTTTGTTATGTACCAGGGTGCTCCGTTGTTTGTGTGCTTGGGGTCGATTGTGTCGGGCGCGGTTTGGATGTGAATGCCGTAGGCCCATAGGGTCATGAGAGCGATATGAAGGAGGAGCGATAGGATCGGGAAGAAGACCTTGAGGAGCCATAAGGTCACCTTGACAAGCCAGAAGAACATGCATACTACGCCGATTACGAGATGGTACTGGGTGTTACTGCGATAGTCAGTCTACCGTTGGCTTTTGAAGTTTCCCAGAATGATAGCAAGGTTCATGGACTGTAGTTTTGGTTCTTGCGCATCCGTCATCGATCCAGAAGATGCTACTTACAAGCTACTCCACACTAAAGGTGTATCCACAGGTCGATAATTCGCATACGCATACAGGACTGTATCTGGTTTCGAGTTAAAACCCAACTCGCCTCCTACCCTCCATAAGATGTTGCGGTATAGGTTTGGCGATGCGATGCCGAAGAGCGCAAGGTTGGCCACGGTGAATGGCAGTTCAAAGACCATGAGGAAGTAGATAATTTTCGGCAGGCGCCATGATCGTGATATAAAGAAGCCCATGATGAATGTCTGTGACCGTCACACTCGATGGTAGTGTCTGGTGGCTAGCGTTGCCGTATATGTGAGGCTGCGCCTGGATGGGTCGCGATTGCGGAGATAAGGTTGAACTGCGCCGGGTGCTCTTGTTGCGCTATTGTCGGCAATCCGAAGTCGATAGCTGGAGATGCTACCAAGAGCCTCTCGTGGTCGTAAGCGGTCGTCGTTCGTGCTCGAGGTTCAGACGCACAAACGAAGCATCAGCATCCAGCGTTCCGGGGCCTTCCACGCTCTTAACAGCCATGTAAGCCCCCATCTTAGCCGACGCCAGTGAGTGAACTGAGGGGCGAAAGAGGCATTGCAGGCGCTGAGTGGCACACGCATGCTGCGCGATCACACAGCTTGTTAAGTGTGATGGCGAATCAAACTCGCAGGAAGGCGCTGCATGCGGGAGCTAGACGGCTTGTTCCTTGCGCCATCCCTGCAGTTTGTACCGGAGAATGTGGGTTAATATCGACGAATCGGGTAATTCAATATAGAACTTCGAGGTAAGAGGCCGGATGAAATGGAGGGCCTTATCGCGGGGTCGCACAACATAAGCGATCGCTTGCTGTCTCGTAAAATGCTCGCGGACGATAGATGGCTTGAGGCACAAAAAGCGATAGTGGTCATGGTTCCCGCACTGAGTTTTGGAAGGTGGAGCTAGTCTGGTGGAGCTCGCTCGACTACCACGAGCCGTCTCGAATTTACGGCCTTTGTGGGCGCGTAAATTCCAGTTAATGGTGTGAGCATCGTACATACAACAGCGCTTGCCGCAGCGACGGCACGGTTTTCGAGTGCAAAACTTAGTATTGATCGCCTTGGACTATCCAATGGTAAATTACCTTAACCTTGCCATTACCACCACTTCTCGCACAGCACTCTCTCCGGTGCCACGTTATCCTGTTCCTTGATAAACTTCACCATGTCGTCGGTCATGTCTGGAGGCCCACACACATAGAAGACGGTAGATTGCGCTTCCTTTCTGTTGCCGACGGCGCTAGAAAGGGCAATGTCGTCAATGCGATGCGTCCAGGCACACACTGGCACTTCGGTAGCCGAGTCAATTTGCGGCAGCGTCAGAGACATGAGTGGATGTATCAAGTCACCATCATTTGTGCCCATCTCAGACCCGTCCCAAGTCCCTGTGAAGAAAAGCTCCAGGCGGTCTTTGGTCACCTTGAATCTGGGTATGCGGAAGAGGTCGAGCACATCTTGCAGGAAAAGGACTTCGCTAGGGTCGGTCTCCCGCGATGGGACTTTAGTAGAGTACAAGAAGCGTACTTCGAGGTTCGGGTAGTTCTGGTTTATGTAGGTCATCATTGACATCATAGGGCTGTGGGGGTGTTAGCGGTCGAGACATGCGAATCGGTGATGGCGTAGCTGGACGCACTTGATTCCTACGCCTCCTGCGATGAAAATGGCCCGCTTGATCTTCTTCATATCCAGACAGGGAGGAGGCCAGACGAAGCTTCCACCCACACGCACAGTGACCTCCTTCCCCAGGATGTCGTCAACCGGCTGCCACAACCATGCTGCCGGCGGATTATCAGGACTCTTCTGTACGGCTAGCTCAAAGTATGGTACGAAGTCGGGATCTGACCGCGGCAGAGCTTCTGAAGGCGACGAGGTAATGGTAAACCCGCCGGCCTTTTCTACATCAGGCACAAAGACATCGAGCCATTGGCCGGGGAGGAACTGACTTATCCATCAGCGCATGTCGCGAGCGAGATGGAGATCGTCATACGTTGAAGCCGTCCTTTTCCTTGATTTCGAATTTAAAGCGCTTGATCCGGTCGTTGACAGGCGTCACTTTGGCGAGGGTCGCAGTGTGCACGTCGTTCTCTCGTGGTTCTGTCGCGGTGCGCTCTTGATGGCTAAGGATCGCTTTTGCTGAGCGAGCCTGTGGCATGCTGCTCAGCATGCTTCTCTGGGAGGAGAGTCGTCTCGGAAAGGAGTGATGGGACAAAAGTCGACGGGCAAGAATGCTCATAGCAAGAAGAAAGTATCTTACCACGAGGAAAATGTAAGTGGGGACACCGGGTAGAGGGGTCCAATGCGTTATGCAGGATGATCCACTGGGCGGGAGCTTGGACGACAGCCGTTAAGGCTAGCTGACTTCACCCTCATCATGCCATCGGCGCCTTTTCGGGCCTCCAAATATAGCCAAGTTTTATTGACCATCGAGTCTCCGAGAATGGGCTGACGATAACCATGTCGCCAGCTGAGTTGCCGTGTCTGACATGTGCAAGTGGTTGGTGGCACCAACAAAGCTATGACGCGTGCGGGAGCCGCGGCTGTCATCGGAGAGCTGAACAACTTCAGTTGTCAACTACTCTTATTTCCTTCATCGCTTGATCTCAACCAGATCTGCATTACCAAGCACACTAGATCTCCAATAGCTCCAATCTCAACTCCAAGCGTACTCTATTTTCTCTCCAATCTTCGCCTGATAGCGTCACCATGTCCGTTGAGGAAGGCACCCATACCTTGCCCGATGGCAAGCAGCTGTATACGAAAACATTCAGGGTATGGTGGAACCAGATCAATAAGATCAGCATTAACTCATTGAGTAGACGGACGGACCGGCAAAAGCCCGACTTGTATTCATCCATGGTTTCTCAGATGTATGGTTCTTGTAATTACAATTGGAATGCATCACTAACATTGTCTCTAGCACGGTGAGATCGCTCTTACCACATATATATTCGGCCTCTAACACATACCAAGTCAACACCTACGGCGGCTTCTTTCCCCATCTGGCGTCTAGAGGCATCGAAGTTTACACGTTCGACCAGAGGTGCGTGCGTGTACTGTTTCCGATATTTGATACTGACGAGGCGCAGGGGATGGGGCCGCTCTGTAACGAAACCCGCCGAGCGAGGAGACACGGGCCCGACTAGTCAGGTCCTTGACGATATCACCTCCTTCATCAAGACATTGATTCCGAGCCCGGTACCGCTCTTCATGATGGGGCATTCCATGGGCGGTGGTGAGACCCTTTGCTACGCTGCACAAGGTCCAGAGGAGGTCCGCAAGCACATTCGCGGCTTTCTCTTGGAGTCGCCGTTTGTCGACTTCGATCCCAAGTCCAAGCCCTCTCCCATTACAGTCTTTTTTGGCAGAGTGGCTGGAAAGCTCATGGCGAAGCGTCAGCTGACTAACAAGCTGGATCCTAAACTTATCTCACGAGACCCGGCGGTTTGCAAGCAATTCGACGAGGATGAGCTCTGCCATGACACGGGCACGCTCGAGGGGCTTGCAGGACTGCTCGATCGAACCAATGCTTTGTCCAGCGGCAAGGTCGTGATATCTGACAATGCTGGAGAAGGTGGCGTGACGAGAATCTGGATCGCGCATGGAGAACAAGACGGCATCACCAGCTACCCTGCCTCTAAACGTCTGTTCAATGCCCTACAGGTCAAGGACAAGGAGTTCAAGTCGTACGCGGGATGCTACCATCGCTGTGAGTATTTGATCCAATCGAGCGTGTTCAAACTAACCTAGTCAGTACATGACGAGCCTAGTCCTGATAAAGACGTCTTCCGAGACGACGTTGTCAACTGGATACTTGCTCGCGCGACAGACCCTGCGGGCGAAGATAGTGCAAAGCCAAGGCTATAAATATTTGAAGAAGCTTTCTCAAACAGGCAACAAGCAAGCTGGGCGACGTAACCACGATACGAATGGCCATGACGTTTCTTGGCTCTACTCGTATTGACACGCGCGTCCGCCCAAAGTATGAAACGCGGAGGATCTTCAGGTCCATTTCCCTGTGAAGATGACGACGCTTCGAGAAAAGCCACACAAGAGCAGTGACAGAATAGTAGTAGACGTCAAATTCAGACTTGTTCAAGATTTTAGCTGTGAGATTGAATTGTGACTTCGCACCACCATCGTCGTCGTTGATGGCAGAAAACACAAACGCCCGCAAATCAACATAGTCTAGCGAATACAACTTTTCCAGTTTACTGTGTAGAATGTGGAGAGTGGTGATGTGAGCTGAAGCGAGGCGGGACGGATGTGGCGGTAGAGAGCTTGCCCCCACAATTGCCGTGTGTTGACGCAAAAGGCGCCATGATACGCCAGGAACGAGGGCCGATAGCAACCGCGGAAGAGGGTCAAAATTGTCAGTCTTGGAGAGGCTCGCAGCAAGTCGCATCTGGGATTCCCGCATAACTAAAAGGCGCAACCGCTGCCACCACGTCCCATGTTACTGCGCACCGCCTGCAGAAATGGAGATGGCATGCGTGTCCAGTTTAGCCAGCGTGGACGCGTCTTACCTTCACCCCGAACCCTGCAGGGTGCTCAATCCAACTACTACTCTACGCAACCTTCAGTGCGACCGCACGGCCTATCACGATACGCTTACAAGCCTCCCACTTGCTGGCCCAGATTACGCGTTCTCTGCACCCAGACGACGACTAAAGGCGCCCAATACCTCAAGTCTCCCTCGCATACGGCGCCCCTACTCAACTGGTCTTCCACCGTCCACCGCAAACCACACTTTTCCCCTTCCACCATGACAGGCGCCACGCAGAAAAGGGAGCATGCTGGCCATTCCCACCATCACCATCACCACGACAACACGTTCCTGCTGTCCAAGAACAAGAATGACGCCGGCGTGCGCATCACCAAGATTGGCCTCTACGTCAACTTGGGCATGGCTGTCAGCAAGGGCTTTGGAGGCTACGTCTTCAACAGCCAGGGTAAGATGCATGTACGCGTTGTGTATGAACGCCAGCTAACTCCCGCCAGCGCTCATCGCCGATGCCATCCACAGTCTCACCGACCTCGTGAGCGACATCATGACGCTCGCAACCGTCGGCTGGTCCCTCAAGCCGCCCACCGACCGCTTCCCCAGCGGATACGGAAAGGTTGAGAGTCTGGGCTCGCTCGGTGTCAGCGGCATCCTGCTTGCAGGAGGCTTCTTCATGGGCTGGACCGCTCTACTTGCCCTCTGCAAGCAATTCTTCCCCGAAGCCGCCGAGATAGCTGAGCACTGGGGGCTTATACCGCATCACCACCATCACGGCATCGAAGACATGGGCCCCAACATCAATGCTATCTGGCTCGCTGCTGGCTCAATCGTCATCAAGGAGTGGCTGTACCGAGCGAGTGAGTACACCCCAATCGATTCAAGAAACGCGCGCTGACAACCATTCTAGCTCTCAAGATCGCCAAAGAACGCAAGTCTACCGTCCTCGCTTCAAACGCCTACCACCACCGCGTAGACTCCCTCACCGCTTTTGTCGCCCTCCTCCTAATCGCCGGTTCCAATGTTCTCAACAACGCAAAATGGCTGGACCCTGTTGGTGGATTGGTTATCTCGCTCATGGTCGTCCAAGCTGGCTGGGGAAACACCAAGCAGGCGCTCTTAGAACTAGCAGACGTCGGCGTAGACCAGGAGATGAAGGATAATGTTCGGAAGGCCGCGATGAGCGCTGTCGAGGGCATCACTACCACATCGGAGCCGGTGAACGTGCGGGCAATTCAGGGTGTAAAGGCTGGGCAGAACTATCTTATGGATGTTGAGATTGGCGTATCAGGTGCGTGGACCGTTGAGCAGACACGCCACGTCGAGAACCTCATCCGGGAGCGCATCGGTGCCAATGTACGCGGAGTGAAGAAGGTGCGCGTGCGCTTTGTAGCCAACTCGGCGGAGGCACCAGACTTTCTCGACGAGTTCATCCCTGGCGACCCTACTGCGACACCGAACCCAGCATCGGAAGGACAACATGATCACGACCACGACCACAATCACGATCATAAACACGAGACCACCGATACCGACGCAAGGCGAAGGAAGTGATTCGTGTATATCTATAGACAAGCATGGCTGGGCGTTCGGAGTTGGGCAGAAGGACTACCCGGCGGCATATACAAGATATTCGACAGTTGAATATCTATTGAATCTATCACCTCAATTCGACTTCAGCCCACGCTCTAGACTCGTACTTCCCCACGCTAACAAAAACTCCTAGTTGCCATCGGCGTTTGGCCGACATGTTACTCCAGAAAATCATAGCTGTACTCACGATGTCTCGGCACGAATTTATCCGTTGTCCAATCATTTCGCGCAAAAGAACTGGCGCTGCTGCAGGCACCGCCGGCAAAATTGCCTGTGATGTAGCTTGTCCGTCAATGTGGGTCTTGCGTCAGTGTGCCCGTATCTTGGGTGTGGGTGTAAGGAGGGTCCTCAACACCACGAGACGTGATCTGCTTATTTTAGCCATGTCTTGTCAAGCCAAAACACTCAAATTCCCAACACTGCAGTCCGACACAGAATTGACATACCGCGACCATGGCTGATCAATTCTTGGGCTTCGACTTGAGCACTCAGCAACTCAAAGGTGAGGAGACCCCACTGGAGCTACCCCACTATCTGGGCTTCCGACTTGCAGGGCTGAACTGACGCGACCGCGGTTTTCTAGGTATCATCGTTGGTTCCGACCTTAAACTTATCCACGAGGCCAAAGTCGACTTTGACGCCGATCTCTCCAAATATGGGATTGAGAAGGGCGTCCTCACAAACCCCGATGAAGGCGAGGTCTTCGCGCCCGTCGCCCTGTGGCTCGAGGCCATCGACCTTGTTCTGCAGCGATTGAAGGAACAAGGTGCGGATTTCTCCAAGGTACAGGGTATCTCGGGTGCGGGCATGCAGCACGGCACTGTGTTCTGGAGCAAAGATGCAGAGACGCTACTTGGCAGTCTAGATGCCGGCAAGACACTGCTCGAGCAGCTGGAAAGTGGTGCCAAGGGTGAGAGGAAGGGTGCTTTCAGTCACCCTTTCAGCCCGAACTGGCAAGACGCAAGTACACAGAAGCAATGCGATGCTTTCGATGCGACACTACAAGAGCCCAGGAATCTGGCCCTGGCTACTGGAAGCAGTGCTCACCACGTAAGCTTCATGTCGTTTCCCGGCCTCTATCGAAACTAACACCATATAGCGCTTCAGTGGCCCCCAGATCCTTCGATTCCACGACAAATATCCCGAAGCCTACAAAGCGACCGCCCGTATCTCTCTCGTATCCTCCTTCCTCGCTTCGATCTTCCTCGGCAAGGTAGCCCCCATCGATATCTCAGACGTGACTGGAGCAAACCTGTGGGACATCAAGAACGGTCGCTGGCATGAGGATCTTCTGGCACTTGCAGCTGGAGGAAGCGAAGGCGTCGAAGATCTCAGGAAGAAGCTGGGCAATGTGCCCGAAGACGGTGGTTCAAGCTTCGGTACCGTCTCGCCATACTTCAGCAAGCGCTACGGTTTCCCGTCGTCCGCTCAGGTCATCGCCTTTACTGGCGACAACCCATCGACTATTCTCGCCCTCCCTCTCCGCGCATCAGATGCCATCGTCTCGCTCGGAACCTCAACAACATTCCTCATGTCCACACCCCAGTACAGGCCCGACCCAGCCTACCACTTCATGAACCACCCCACCACAGCGGGCCTCTACATGTTCATGCTCTGCTACAAGAACGGCGGTCTAGCTCGCGAGCACATCCGCGACGCCATCAACAAAGCCTCTGGCACATCGTCGGACAAATCCTGGGACAAGTTCAACGAAACAGCCCTCACGACTCCCGCGCTCGGCCAAGCTCAACCCTCCGACCCCATGCGTCTAGGCCTCTTCTTCCCTCGCCCAGAAATTGTACCAAACGTCAAAGCAGGAACATGGCGCTTTCTCTCCAAAGACAACCAGCTCTCGCCCATTGCACCGGAAGCCGCCCAGGCCAAGACAGAAGACAAGTCCTGGCCCGTTCCCCAAGCCGACGCCCGCGCGATCCTCGAATCGCAGTTCCTGTCACTCAGACTGCGATCGCAATCCCTTGTTTCGCCTCAGGGCTCTTTGCCCGCTCAGCCCCGCAGAATCTACATGGTTGGTGGCGGTGCTGTGAACCCCGCCATTGCCGAGCTTGCGGGTCAAGTACTCGGTGGCTCCGATGGCGTGTACAAGCTGGAAATTGGAGGTAATGCTTGCGCTCTTGGTGCGGCGTATAAAGCGGCTTGGGGTGTGCAGCGCTCGTCTCCTCAGGAGAAGTTTGAAGATTTCCTCGAGGCGAGGTGGAATGAAGAAGGGTTTGTCAAGAAGATTTGTGAGGGGTATAGGAAGGGTGTTTTTGAACAGTATGGGGATGCGCTCAAGGCTTTTGATGAGGTGGAGAAGGTGGCGCTTAGGGAGAAGGGCGAGGGTGAGAAGACGGATGTTAAGAAAGAGGCTATGGGGTTGCAGGGTCTGGATAACCAGAGATAGGGTGGATTTTGCTCAGACCAATTTGATCTATTGCTCACGCTATTCACGTTTTGTGTTTCTGTAAAGCTGGAGCAAGGCTATGCAACAGCTAGGCTGTGCCTGAGGCAGGCGCGCGTGATATGACCCCACTTAAGGCATGCACAGCCTTACGGCATAAACCTGCAGGTTTATACAGCTCTAGGTGGCAGGCCTGGAAGCTAGCCTTCTCATATCCATCTTCTTTCAAACATTCTACTATACATTGTTTTGTCAACTAACGGCTGTTCACCCCGACACCTGCTGCAGTCATGAGTACGACCGGGGATAAAGATCATTCACTCAAGCGGCTTTCCGAAGATTATCCAAATTGCACCGCACGCCACGAAACTGCAGCGCATTCATCAGGTCCTGCTGGAACGTTGTGCGCCAATTGTTCAGACATTGATCTTTTTGCGATCTTGGAGGGCGATCACGAAGGCATACCACTAGAAGAGGGATATGAAGTATGGATCACACGGAACTCTGATCCTACTGTCATCTGGATCTGGGATGAGCAGCCTGGTTGCGAGTTCTGTGAGTTTATCTCAGCAGCAGAAATCCATTTGTTGCCCAAAGATGCTTCAAAACGTCCGCGATATCTCCAACTCGACTTTGGGAAAAGCCAGTACAGAGATTGGGAGAGATTTGAACCTTCGACGAAGCTATCTTCACATGTCAACATCGTTTTTGATACTCCAGATGGACGGCGCGAAGATGTCAAATACAGATTCAGCCACCCTAACAATATCGTTCCTTTCAGTGTGTCTACGGATGCTGAGATGCCAGATTTCCAACCGTCCCCGTTGCAGGTAAACGAGATTTCGGCCTGGCTTGATCCCAAAAACACAAAACGATACCTACAAAACTGCTTGCGCCATCATGCATCTTGTCACCAACACAAAAAATTATCAAGTAACCGACTAAGCCGACTACGACTGATCGACTGTGCCACACGGTCGATCATCACGCCTTCTGGCGACAGTCCTTACGTCGCATTGAGTTATCGGTGGGGTGAAAGTCACAGTAAAACTAAAGAAAAACAAGCGGACATACTACCAGTGAATGTACCTGCCACGATAGAGGATGCTATTCAAATGACTCGAAATCTTGGCTTTCGATATTTATGGGTCGATAAATATTGCGTCTCTCAAACAGATCAATCTGATTTCAAGCACCAGATTCGCCAGATGCATCTCATATACCGGTCTGCTCAAATCACAATGATAGCAGGTGGAAGTATGGACGCTAGCTCTGGATTGGCGGGCATTTCAACACCACGTGCGAATATGCAAACAAAGGGTCGATATGGGAGCCTTAGCCTAATTACATTCACCCTTCACCCATGGGGTCCTGTAAAACTCAATAGAGGATGGGTGGATCGGGGATGGACGCTTCAGGAAAGCTATTTCTCTCAGCGAAGACTCATCTTCACCGACAAACAAGTTCTATTCGATTGCGATAGGGGTATCATTAGCGAGGATCTACAGCACTCCCAAATCGATTATCTATTTCCGTTAGGGAGAGGGAAACCTCATGTCGTTGAGCATGATGTTCACGCTCTGATAGTGGATTACACTATGAGAGTACTCACTTACGATGATGACATCCTCAATGCCTTCGATGGCATTCTAGCGGATCTCGAGCAAAAAGAGCCGCCCGTTAGATCACACTGGGGCATATGCTCAACACTGGACGCATCTGGGTATCTTAACGGACTGCTCATTGGGTTATGTTGGATCCATCCGGTCCAGAATGAAAAGATCTATCGTCGGCTTGGCTTTCCTAGCTGGTCGTGGGCTGGATGGTCGTACGATCCTTGTGTAATGTACAGGCTAAAGAGTGATGAAGATACAAAGCTTGTTGTTGCCCAAGGTCTAACCATTCAAGTTGAGAAACAAAGTGGGCTTATCGAAGCTTGGGAGACGTTTGAGGAAGCTAGTCTAGCATCCACTCAGCGACACCATCACTCTCAGCGGATACATATTTCGGCACCCTCTTTGGAAGTGAGGCTTGTAAAGAGCTCCACTTCCGTGCCCTATCGTGGTCGCGAGATACATGGCCATGATGGAAAGGTAGTGCGAAGTGAGGAAGACGGTTGTTGGTCGGAGTCGGCCTACCCTGATACGTCGTTCGAAAGTCTTGAGTTGTCACCTGACACCTATGCATCCAGAGAGACTAGAATGTGTCATGCTATATACCTATTCTCAGCCGGCACGATGACAGATACGGATTCTAGTACTGTTGTGCATAAGCTATTCGCAATGCTCCTCGTATCCAAAGTGGGGACCAACTGGGAGCGGGTTGGTCTATGGATACAACCATTCAAGTCTGAAGAGGAGGCCCAAGTCTTTAGGCAATGGCTTCAAAGCTCGCCGACCTACAAGACGAGAGACTTTTGGATTGCATAAGCTGTGCATTGGCTATTCCAGTGGGACCCATTAGGAAGTTAAACATTACCGGCGGGATACCTCTTCACAAAGAGGTAATGACGGGACAAGATAGTCTGGGGTGAGATTTTTGTTGTGCTGTTAGCTCGCTAGCCTGTTCTTTTTGGTATATACAAGATCATCTTCCTTCGTTGTGCAATTCGGGTTATGAGAGGAGAGAGTCTTCTTAGTTAGACTTTTCATATCTGGAGGTAGCAAATGGCAGTTTCAGCTCTCATATTCTCATGAACGTTACCGGTATTCACTACAGTCATTAGCCATAATGGTATGTTTCAGCCCTGATAGCCTCGTTCCGTGACTACAAACATAGACAGTCCCAACCATACCTAAAGTAGCAGCCTTCCCAGACACGAGAACCCATGCATAACACACTTCATCTCTAACACACATTGCTCAATCTCCATGTAGCAAAGACGCCAGAGATACACAATCACTCCACCTCTAACCCACACTACCGCAAACAACCTGAGCCTACATCAAGATCGATACCTATACATCCCAAACGCCTGAACCCTTTCACCCCCCAAAAGCCAACTGTCCGCCTCAGGCAACACCGTCCCCCTCCCTCCCTCTATCTGCTGCTGCTGCTGCTGCTGACCACCCACGCCCCCCACATACACATTCAACCCTGCGCCAGCCCCTCCCTCTCCCTTATTGCCATGCCCAACACCATGTATATTCCCAGCCGTCGTCAACGATGACGACGAAGCAGAAGAAGCAGCAGGTGTGAAAGCGTAGAGCGAAGAGGGATTCGCATCGGCCCACCGAAGAATATTTCGACTCAGTGTTATGGGACTCTCGTCGCCTGCGGTGGCCATGTCCTGTGTAAGATCGGGATCTGCTTCGTCAAAGGGGAGTGTGGGGAGGGGGTCGGCGAGGTAGGATGATGAATTGAAGGGCTTCAAAGCTGAGTTTGGATTACTGGTGTTGCCGTTGGACGTAGCGAAATGGGATGACGTGTTTGTGTTTGATACGTTGTGGAAAGGATGCATGTCTTTGGCTGCAGTAGTCATATCTTGCTGCGGATGACTTGTTTTGGCGTACTGTGGAGTGTTGTGATCCAAAATAGCCTGCTCCGACTGCGACGGACCATCTTGTCGCTCTTGCTCTGGGACATGTGTCTGTTTTGATAACGTACGTTCCTTCTCTTTTGCTTTGAGTTTGTATCCTGCTTTGGCGTACTTGTCCGGATAACGGATTCTGAAACGATCGCGCAAGTCTGTGGGGTGCCGAGAACCAAAATCCAGATCCTCGTCGTCACGCATCAGATGCCAAACAGATCCGTACTTTTCAAAGCCCTTGAGTAGATTGACATCGTCGCGTGCGCTAAAGGCTCGGCGTGGTCGACGTGTGGCTTTTGAGAATGGTTCGTGGATTCCAAGCTCGGCTAGGTCTAGATGCGTCGTGGCCTTGTTACGAGTTGCCACGCGTTGTTGAGTTTCTGATGGACTGGGAGGATTTGAAACTAGGTTGTTGTCATTGTTGTGTTCTCCGACAGGAAGAGAGTGCTGGTGGGTATATATGGCTTGGTTTGGTAGATCAAAGGCTGTGTTTTCCAAGTCCACTTTCTCTTTTCCTTTCGTCTTGGGCTGCCGTGGCTTTAAACCTTCACCCGGGCAGCATACTCGAAAACGGTCTTTGAGATCAACGGCCGTGCGATTGTTAAACCCAAAGTCTGGATCCTGCAATATCTTCTTCCAATTCCCTATACCATACCTGCTGACGCCTACAAGCAAGTCTTTGGTCTCTTGTTCAGACCATTTGTTGCGTTTCTTCCCACGCTTGGTCTGGGTCGGTGTTTGGGTGCTTATAGAGTCGTTGGTTGCTACATTGGTCTCATGGGCCACGTCTGGTGCGTTAGGCTGGGCGACCACTTGAGAAACTAATGGGTGATCAGAGTTTTGGGTAGTTCTGCTATAGTCCAACGCACTGCTTTCGAGAAAAGCATGTTCGTCCACGTCCTTGTTCCTAGATTCTTCAAAACGCGCATCATAGCCCCTCTCACCTACAAATGCATTCTTTTCCCCAGTAATTGGTGGGAAGAGCCTGCCCTCAGGCGGGAGCGGAGGAGGCTGATGCAAGCCCTGTAGCAATGGCGGAATTCTGGGTCGTTTTGCCGTCCTTTTAGGAGGTTGCGGTAACCTCGGTAGTTTGATGACAGATGGACTGCTTCCTGCATTTTCAGGCTGAAGAAACTGGGGTTCATGATCCCACTTTTGCCTCGCATGATCCGGACTATCCAAAAGCAAGTCAACTAGTCTTCCACTAAAGGGCGTCGTTGATGAGGCAAATGTCGATGGTACGGGCTGTGCAGCCCCAAGCACATTCGCCTCGTTATTCAATACCTGTGCGATCGGTGCACTAGGCATCGACCGTGTGGGATGTGACCTCTCTTGGCCGTCTCTTCGGACATCGTTGAATTGAGCGTTTTCTGGAGAGGTGTTCGCCAGCATGAGCGATTTGGGGCGTACGAAGCTATGATCAGGATGGTGCGATGGTCTTTGCGAGCCAGAGGAGCTCATGTTGGGTGCCTCTGTAATGAACGGCATGCTACTCTGGCTCGACATATCCCGTAGCGCATGCAGTCGTGGCTCCATGATTGGAGGCCCTCTCGTGGGCTATGTCGAAAGAGGTACAAGTCCGTGGCGTTCGCGTGGCTTCCGATCTGCCAAGCAGAAGCTAACGCGCATCCACTCAGCTGCCGTAACATGTTGCGTCGCAATCAAAGACACCAGTGCGGAGGTCTTGGAGCTTTGTTGGAGTCATTCCGAAAGCTTTTTTCTGATCATTGGGTTCTTTATCTTCTGTCTACGCTGATGCGATCAGCGTGGCAAAGTATTCGCTGTACATGACATGACTGGTTTCAGGGTTGCAATGATTTGTAAACTTAACATTCTATAGAGAGGAATCTAGTGGTATGATGCGCGTAGTTGAGCTGGGAGACCGCAATTAGAGAGACAACACGGCTGCGCCAGAACAACGCCAACCAATGCAAATGGTCTCGGACGGATGAGATGCATATGCTAATATCGCACAACCAATGCAAGGCAAGATATCTACAATTCAAGAAGTCCCTGCGAAAAGGAAGATCAGCGCGCTATGCTCACCATATTGACACCTGGCCGTTCACTTTCAATGCGCCGAGGGAGTTATACCATTTGTCTTTGTAGCAACGTCCGACATCTTGGTGTCGGCATGGAGCTTGTTGAGGTACTCCTTGTTACCTGCGGGTGTCGCTTTGATGGTTTCGTCACCAGGGTTCCAGTTAGCGGGGCAAACCTAATCAATAAACGTCAGTATGCTTGCAAAGACTAAGGGGTCTAGAAATGATTCTTACCTCGCCGTATTTGTCAGTGAATTGGAAGGCATCAATCAGACGAAGTGTCTCGTCGACCGACCTTCCAACAGGAAGATCGTTGATAGTGATCTGTCGTACGATGCCATTAGGGTCGATCAAGAACAGCCCTCGTAACGCAATACCCTCCTCTTCAATCAGCACACCATAGTCCTTGGCAATACTATGGTTCTTATCGCTCAACAATGGGATGTTGATCTTGCCCAGGCCTCCGTCCTTCTTGCTCGCATTCGTCCAAGCGAGCAAACTATACTCGCTGTCTGTGCTGGAGAAGACGACGCTGGCGCCACGGGCTGCGAAATCGGAAGCGCGTTCACTAAAGGCGATAATCTCGGTTGGACAGACAAAGGTCCAGGCCATGGGAACGAAACCGAGAACAAGCCATTGCTTGGTGGATGTGTAGGCTGTTAAGCTGAGGTCTGCGTGGGAGTTGTCAGTTTGTTGGTCTGACTGGTGTGTGGTTGGATAGGTACATGAATGGAGAAAGTGTAAGATGGTGAGACGAGCGCATACCTTCGAATGTGCCATCGACAACCGCGGTGCCGGAAAAGTGAGGAGCGGGCTTCTGGACCCGCGCCTTGGGTGTGTATGCTGGAAAAGCCATTGCGATTGTTCGTACTCTATGGACGGACGATGCGACACAGTGTCGGAGGTTTTGGTCGTGTCAACACTCTAAAAGGATAGAAGGTCCGATCTCGCAGGACTCGTTATCGATGCTACACTTCGGTAGGATTGGCGTGGGTAAGGTTTGGCTGGACCCTTGAAGTTCAACGGCTGCTGTAGAGATTGGGGGACTGGCGTAAGGTCGGACGTCGATCAAGGTATCAGACTAGGTGGATTTATGCTGCGACGGTTGGAGACGAGCGCGACAGGCCAGGCGAATAGGAATAAAGGTAAAAGAGTACTCAAGATCAGCAGATAATTTGCGACAGATGTCAAAACGCGATGTCGAGGGTGACTAGCCGTAGGAAGATAAGCGTCAACGCCTTGTGCACGTTTCCGAGGTATGCCACTCTAGCTGGCACAGCGTGTCTTCGGCGACTTCGGGAATTTGTGTGACTGTCGGAGCAGGCGCAGACACAAGATTCTTTAAAGCCTTGCTAGTCTACCGGGCCGCAGCCATTGCGCGTGGCCTGACGTGCTGTAGTCACTCCGAAGTCCCTGTTAATCGGCGTCTTCGGCATGTCAAGTCGAGACTTGGCCTGCTTACAGAACAGTCCCAGGTTATCTCATCACTAACAGCTGCGCGCCACTAACTCTCTTTCATCCAATAATCTCGACGCGTCACCGCCCAATTGCTATCGGTGGTCCACCAGCAAACGCTTGTGTATGTTGATGATACTACTTTGAGCGGCGTGAGACATTTGCTGTGCCGCAAACGTACCTGCATGCGCTCCAGACGGCGTGGCTTACGCTGGTGCATAAGGCCGCCCACTATAGGCCGATCAGCACGCCTGGTCACGGGAGAGCGCGCGAGCGCGGCACAGACGTGCCCAAGCAGCATGATGCTGGTAGTCGCATGGAGTTGTGCCCAAATTATTTCAAGCAATGGCCTATGGCTTTGCACTATGCCTTTATCTAACATTGAACTATGCATCTATATCGTACAATCCATGAGCCGTCCACCTATCCAGCAATTCTCCATGCCCTCAGTGGCAACGCCTGTATCCGCATAACCGCTGGCTTGATGTAGCCCCAGAACGTCACTACACCGATCACAATACATAAAATGTTTACAATGTAGTACCCATCTGTTGTAACGCTGCAAATACCACCACCTTGCTGGCATCGATGCTTCTCTGCCTCTAAAGAACAAGAGAATGCTTGTGTAATGAGTGGTCCTTTCAAGAGGTCTGCTTTTGGAATGTCTGTGGGCGGTATGCAGGTTGCCGACGTGAACATGTCGACGGCTTTAAGAACGAAGTAGCGTGGGAATGTGCCGCCGAGATTGGAGACACTGCATTGACGTTAGCGACACATAGGTAGATTGTGAAAGAACGAAACTTACGTAGCGAGAAGCGTCATATAAGTACCGCCAATAAGCGGATCTGAGATCTTTGCGTGGAACGCGCTGACCGCAACGAACATGACTGTATTCATGAAGGTTGAAAGCACATGTTCAGCAATGACCAGCAGCAAGAATCCAGTCGAGGCTCCTCCGACCGGGAATATGGACACCACAAATTGCGCGAACCCAGCAGCAACCAGACGTCCCATGAAGGACCAACACCAGATGTGCATAGGCGGGTAAGTTTGACACCACTTTCCGATGTAGTAACCCAGGAAGACCTCGACAGGGAAGTCGACGAGGATAACAAGGGAAAGCTGCTCCTGCTTGAGGCCCTTATCTAAAAGCTTCAGGCTCGTAACAGCATCGTTGGCTTGGAATCCAATCTTGGCGATGAGGTGGATGATGATGAAGCTCTGGATGTTCTTCAGTTTCAAGATGCCCCACATGGTGCGGTAAACCTCTCCAATGCCGTCGCCATTCTTATCACGGTCTTCGCGTTTCATGACTGCCAATCCAAGAGTGACTATCAAGTATGCCCATCCCCAGAAACTCAAGTAGCCATCAAGCTCCATAATACCAGTTTCCGCAGGAGTGCTACGGAACCACTTGTTCGCAAAGTCTTTGGAATTGAAGGCTAGGAAGACGGTGTAGGAGAGGAACTGGCCTGCGGTCAGGCCAACAGTTTGCGCTGTGGAGGCGTATGCGAGATTCTCTTTGGAGAGAAGAGTAAGCGCCCAACCTGCTTGTTGTCAGCCTGGAACAAGTCAATATGGGGAGTATGTGGCGCCTTACCATCCACAGCGATATCCTGTGTAGCGCAGAGGAACACGAGCGCGAACCACCACCACGTAAAAGTCCAAACTCCACTGTCTGTCTCGCCCGCCTCCTTCATCATGCGATTGATGTTCCTCCCTAGCCAAATCATGGAGAAACCGGAGATGGTCTGGATAGGCAGAATCCAACTCTTCCGGCGTCCGACCTTGGGCGACCATACCGCATCCACTATGGGACTCCAGAGAAGCTTGAGCGAGTAGGGATAGGCAGCGAGCGAGAAGACGCCAATGGCGGCGTAGGATACGTTGTGCTTGAGAAGGAAGGGAACAGAGCCGTGGGCCAGCCCCATGGGTATGCCTTGGAGGAAGTAGAGCAGCACCAGGAGGAGAAAGTTGCTCTGGTCCTTCTTGGAAAGCTCAAAGAAGCCCTTGGAAGGCCCTTCCTCGTCGTGGCCCAGCTTGGGCACTTCATCATCCAGGGAGAAGTTGGAGTTGCCCATGAGGGATGCAGCTTGGCTCGAGGGCGACGTGCTGTCGAAGGACGAGTGCTTGCGCCGATGTTCCAACATGACGCTGTTCATAGCAGTAGAATTTGCATTGCCGTTCTTCTTCTTTTCTTGCAGCGAGTCGGTGGAGCTCTGTTCACGTAGTACAGAGCCGTGGTTCTTGGATCGCGAGGCTCGTTTGCTCATTTGGGTGCGTCGGTGGGATGTGGCGGATGGGGTGGGAACTCGGTGGTGTAGTTTGGACAAGGTTGAGCGATGGCAGGGACAGGGGATGGCGAGAGGAAGACGCGAACTTTGTGCTGTGACGGTTGTTTAGAGAGCGACTAGTGAAGGGCAAGAAACGTGTTAAGAAACAGCCGGGTTAGTACAACGCGGGCACCAGTCTATGATTATGCAGCGATGATGGCCGCGGGCCCTGAACGTCTGGACGGAACCGTGTCCTCTAGTCTCAAGCTCGCGACGAGGGCGGAGCACTAACCCCCACCCCCCTGCCCGACGCTTATTCACGTGTTAGCGCGTTCATCTTGCCCGCCCACGCGTTCCAACACCAACACCGATGCGCTTCCACTGCGGCAGACGACTACACAATGGAGACTACTGAGCAACTCGACGACGAAATCAGCGACCTGCATACCCGGATAGCCACTTTGAAAGCTCATCGCGCGAACCTATCTTCCGTTCTCTTGTCGCAACCCCACCTCGCTGCGCGTCTCCATAGTAGCGGCACACACAACAACCCTGCCGACGATACCAGTCCAATCATCACACAGCAGTCGAAACGCGTCCTCGAAAACACCTATCGCGCCTGCGCTGGCGTTACTGCATACAAAGTCAAAGATCCCGACCCACATGCGCTGAACCATGGCAACATTCTTGGCGTTAGCATAGATGTGCCACTCAGAGGCAGATTCGTCGAGACATATCACGTCTTACTGAGCGTCAGACAAAAGGATGAAAAGACTATCCTAAGAATCAACAAGCACACTATTCCACCATGTATACCTCTGCAGCAATTGTCCGACAAGTGGCTACCCACGGGGGGCAAAGACGAAGAGAATGATCCAGAACAGGACTTGGTGCAGTTTGGGAGGCTGCTGCGGAAGGAGCTGGTGAGCTGGCACTTGCGTGTCAACGCTTTGGAAGAGTTACAGAAGGAGGCTGGTCTGGCAAAACCACGCCCGAACAGCGAAACTGAGGGCTTTGCACCAACTGGAAACATCTTGAACGCTTTCGTGAGCGATGATGAGACGAGCTCAGATGTCGAGGAAGCTGAAGACGAGACTGATAGCGCACGCATACTGGACATCGAAGCCGATGCTGCTGTCAGGCAAATCACTGTTGTCTGGTCCGACAGACGAACAGCGGTCATGTCCGTCACCAAAGATGGTAGGATTGAGAGGGCTGTGTGCAGGACAAGAGATGGAGTCCGAGATGATATTTTCAGCAGGAAGGCCATAGGTCCCATCGGTAGCTTGGTCCGCAGACTACGAGCATGAGTAGACGAGCGAAGCCTGAACCAGATCTTCTAAATCTTTATGAAAGCTCGGCTGCTGGGCACGGCGTTCATGATTTTTACGATACCCATTGATAGCGAGTCGTTTATCATATTCATCAAGCGCTCTCTCAACTAAAAGGTCACGAACCCAGACTTTCTGTTCTACACTTTTGACAAGGAAATTACGCGACTTCGTAACGGTCCATGCAGACAGCCTATCTGCTGTGGGACCTGGTAGCGTCATGCTACGGGTGCGCATCGCTCATTTCCTGTTACCAAATGCTGCAAGTGCACTGCGGATATCGGGCAGTACATCGTTCACTCACGACGTTGAATATTCCCCAAGTGGTGTGGAAATGTTACAGTGGTGCAGTGAAAGACTAAGCGCGCATTGGCCACACTCTTTGGAGGGCTGATAACACCGGTGGGGATGATCCCTTCCACCTTTCACGCGACCACGCCTTTCTCGCCAGTCATCTCCATCGCAGCAAACTTCACACTCCAAATCGCCCTACCCCGCGCCACTATTCTGCATATGTGTTTGTCTCTCTGCTATACTGCAGTGATCTTGCCTTGCCCGATGTGTGAGAAGCCGAGGCTGCGGGCCTCTGCCTGGCCATCCTCCCGCGCTCCAGGCCTACGATACAGCGCAGCGTGCGTGTTGACCCCGATAATTTCGACTTGTTATCCTGCCCTGGACTCTTATAGCGCGTGCTATCTCCATAGTGCTGCTTCAATCTGCAAGAACCCTAGCAAAGCATCGCGTGTCTTCAATCAGCAGTGCACGAACGCGGATAAGCCTAAACAACTGCACGCTAGCATACTTCGAGGAACGGCTCATTCGAAGCGCTAGAGGTCCATCTTTCCATGCAGAGTGGCAGGTTGCAATATCGCTGCATCTGGGCCGGGTTTACTTCTGTATCTGCTCATCCCTCGCGTATGGATTGCAGCTCAATGCGGCTAGCCGCCCGTCCCGCATGCCATCCTTCCCGTCAAGCACCATCTCCTCGTGCAGCCTCAGTCTCCACTTGTCTCGTCTGCGATACGCCGCCGCTAACTCACAATCTATTTGCACCTGGGGCTGTCAAACTTTTGACAATATCTCTGCTCAGCCTAAGCGTTCAGACGGTCCGACGGCTTGCCACACTTATGCAGGTGTGAAAGATGAAGACAAACTGTCACCCACGGGTTGTAAGGAGCAGGGTTTACACTGTTTTCTTTGACTAGAAGCTGTACTTTTGCTTCCGGAAAGGTTTGTGCAAACCCTTATCTCTCGTTCCCGCTCAGGTGGTATCTATCCCGTGGAGCGTACTCGAGTACACACCATCACGGCCTTCACGCTCACTTTTTCCACTCGGTATTGGAAATGTGTTCCCATGTGCCGATGCGCGGTTTCACCCGCAGGGCTGCCCCCCGAGACCATGCCGCCGTGGATTGGGGGGCGAAACAAGCCGTTTGGGGTCGCAACGCAACCTGATGCCATGTTGTATCTCGATGTTACACATCCTAACAACCGCGAGACCATCTATCGAGCAGTATAGGAGTTCTCAGACACGACTCACATTTCTAAAGGAAGCTATCACAACAAGAATCTTGATGTCACTCGCTGTCTGAAAAGCGTACTAGCTTTCTTTCTGAGCAACAGACGAGCTACCGTTCTGTTTCTCGCTAGCAGCAAGGCAGATATGGAGAACATCCGGTCTGTACTGCCGCTACAGTTAGACTCAGACGTTGTATGCTTGCTCAAAGTACCGGGTGTATTCAACGAGCGTTCAAGGCCACTTGTCGTTTTTGTCTACAAGTCGACTAGTCATAGCTGCAAGCGGTTCGCCTAGAAGCCTTTAGCCGTCGCCCCCCAGATCCTAGCCGTCTGTACCTGGTCGATTAAGAGCACTCTCTACAACCGTTCCTGGGTCTGGGCATAGTACATCTTGTCAATTGTGCATGTGCAAATAGCCTCGCCTCCCACGCCGCGGGCGCGTGTGCGATGATATGTATCCTTGGGCCCTGGATCTTTACAAGCCCGCGTGCCCTCAGTTCTCTTCTCTACTGTTACATTCCTTTCAGAGAGCTCTTGTAGCATTCACTAGTCGCGACTCACTCGCCAGTTGGTCGAGTGACCATCCTTTACAGTCCTTGACCCATTTTTTTCTGATCAACTCTCTTTTGCTGCGAGTCATCTTCAGACATTCTTTCGAGCATAAATACACGTCTTTGAGCCTTCTCAACATCGTCAGCTTCTCTCCCTCTCTATCCAAACACTTTACGTGGACTTTCGGCACTCAAGCGAAACCGCGTTCGTACCTGCACTAGCCCGCGCCACAGCCACGTAGCACAGTAGCGCGCCACTAGCGACATCATAAGGATGCGCGCCGCCAACATGCTCGCGGGAGTAACATCGTTACTCTCGTTCTCCACTCTTGTACAAGCCGTTGCAATCCCGCAAGGTACCAACTACAACATGACGACTAGTTCGGCTGTTTCAGGTTACAAAAACGTTGCCTACTTTGTCAATTGGGTCTGTTCGCTAGCCTGAGTGTATGTAAGAGAGGTTCGTCTGACAACATATGCAGGCTATTTATGGTCGCGCATACAACCCTCAGGATCTTCCTGGTGAAGAGCTTACCCATGTTCTCTACGCTTTTGCCGATGTTCGCGATACTGGCGAGGTCTTCCTGACGGATACTTGGTCAGACACTGACAAGCACTATGCGAATGACTCGTGGAACGATGTTGGCACCAACGTCTATGGATGCGCCAAGCAGTTGTTCCTCCAGAAGAAGCGCAACCGCAAGTTAAAGGTGCTACTATCGATCGGCGGATGGACTTACTCTGCCCATTTTGCCCAGCCTGCGTCGACTGCCCAGGGGCGAGCCACGTTCGCAAGCAGCGCTGTCGAGATTCTAAAGAACCTGGGCTTCGACGGACTTGACATCGACTGGGAGTACCCGGCGAATGAAGCCCAGGCCAACGACATGGTTCTCCTTCTTGAGGAAACCCGTCGGGCTCTCGATGCGTACTCTGCACAGTATGCCCCTGGGCAGCACTTGCTCCTGACTGTTGCTTCACCGGCAGGCCCCACCAATTACAATAAGATGAAGCTTAGAGCCATGGACCAGTACCTTGATTTCTGGAACTTGGTAAAATACCCTTCCACTCATCCCAGTCGCGCTGGCTGCTAACGACGAGTGTTTAGATGGCTTATGATTATGCTGGATCCTGGGATACGAATGCTGGCCACCAGGCTAATGTGCAGCCTTCTTCTTCCAACCCAACCAGCACACCCTTCAGTACCGCCAAAGCAATCGACGACTACGTCGCCGCCGGCGTACCCGCTGCAAAAATCGTCCTCGGCATGCCCCTGTACGGCCGTTCATTTGAAAACACCGACGGCCCTGGCACGCCGTTCTCGGGTATCGGCCAAGGTACCTGGGAACAAGGCGTGTATGATTATAAGAAACTTCCACTAGATGGTTGCCAGGTCAAGACAGATGATAGTATTACTGCTAGCTGGTGCTACGACGCGACCAAGAGGATCATGGTCACGTACGATACGCCTGACATCATCGCTAAGAAAAGCCAGTTCATCCTCGGAAAAGGACTTGGTGGTGGCATGTGGTGGGAGAGCTCGAGCGATAAGCCGGGAGATGCGAGTTTGATCTCGACGGTAAGTGTCTTTGTCTCTTTTGTTCCCCGTAGCCCCTTTGTATGTGCCTGTTGTGTATAGAGAGACATGGACTAATTGGCCGGTGTAGTTTGTGAAAACAATTGGTGGAGTCGATAGATTGGATCAGTCGGCCAACTTGCTCAGCTTCCCAGAGAGTAAATACCAGAACTTGCGCGAGGGCATGCCAAACAACTAGTGGGCCGTCTTGTGGTCGTGGTGGTGGCGGCGGTAGTGCTGCTGCCGTGTCAACGTCTGCACGATACGGAAAGGTCGCTTTGTGTGAAGAATGGGCCAAGGGGCATTAGATTAGTTCTTCCCCTTTTTTTTTTCTGTGTGAAGACTCTGGGCTTTCTGTACATACGACAATCGTTCATTTCTTTCTTTAGGGTGGTAGACGGCTGAACGGCGTTTGTGGGGCTAGAGTGAGACTGATTTAAGGTTGGACAAGAGGCCAATAGATATGGCTCGTATATACGGTTTTATGAATTCATTATTTTCGAAGATCAGTCACGTCAAAGCTTGGGAGTGAAGGACAACAAGAATGCATTGTCATGCGTAACACCATCTGAACTCTGCTGGGATTCAAGACGCCCCAAATTATTTACGTGGTCGAAGTAAAGTGTTGTACATTGCATAGCCTGGTTGAAGCAGGCTCCTACTCAGGATTGAGTTGAGGTAGTCCTGAAAGTCACAGTAAAGCCATAGCCTATTCTCACACCTCTATATCTACAATGTCTTGCTAGTTTCCTCTGCAGCACTGAGATCTGCGACTTCGCTCTTTCCCGCATTGCCTAATCTCCGCTTCTTCAGGACATTCTCGATAAAGGCCTCGCCTGCTTTGTAACTTGAGCGCACGAGCGGACCGGAGGCGCAGTACAGGAAACCCATATCGAGAGCGCGCTGGCGCCAGAGCTCAAACCTATCGGGGGTGACGTAGTCGTGGACGGCCATATGGCGCTTGGTGGGTCGCATGTATTGGCCAAAGGTTACGACGTCGACATTGTTTGCGCGGAGCTCTGTATACATATTAGTTTAGTCTTTTTGTATACTGGATGGTGCGGACGTACCCCTCAACGCATGCCATAGGTCCTCGTCCGTCTCGCCCAAGCCCAGCATCATACTGGTCTTGGTGATAAGCTCCGGTCGTGCCTCCTTGGCCGATCGCAACACGTCCAGACTCTGCCTGAACTTGGCCCTCCGATCGCGGACGAACGGCGTGAGGCGTTCGGTCGTTTCGATGTTGTGCGCAAAGACGTCGACACCACTTCGCGCAACTACCTTGGCCATCTCCAGATTGCCTCCGTAGTCACCACCCAACAACTCGACAAGCTGTGTTGGGTTCTTTTGCTTGATCTTCATAATGGTCTCGGCGATGTGATGCGCTCCGGAATCTGCAAGATCGTCTCGATCAACCACTGTGATGACGACGTAGCCCAGCCCCCACCTCCGCAACGCTTCAGCTGTGTTTTCTGGTTCGTGGGGATCCAGGGGCGGGGGTGCTTTGGATGTCTTTACGGCGCAAAAGCGACATCCTCGTGTGCATGTGTCTCCCATGAGCATGATTGTCGCAGTCGCGGCACTCTTTGAGCTTCCGCCCCAACAATCGGAAATGTTGGGACATCTTGCCTCCTCGCAGACTGTGGCTAGGTTCAGCCCCCGCAGGTCTTTCTTGATTTGCTTGTAGTTCTGGTTTGCGTTTGAGGGTATGGGCGTCCTCAGCCACTCTGGAAGTCGTGTGATGGTCTTCTTGCGGCCTTCTGGGCCTACCTGCACCGTCTTGATCTCGTATGCTTCGGCGGGGGAGAGGGGCGCCTCGGGGTTGACAAAGTCGCCGAACGATGGGCCGGCATTCAGTGTATCGCTGAAAGATGTCGCTGGCCGTGATCGCTTTGTGGGTGCTTCGGGTGCTGCGGTTTGCGGCGTATCGGAGGTCGTGGCAAAAGTTCTAAGCGGCGTCCTGGAGCGAGGGACAGCCTTCAATGTGGACGGGGAGAAGAGACATCGCGAGCGTGGTATTGAGGCTGCCATTGTCGCGTATATGTGAATGTGAAAGAGAAAAAAAAGAGGGAGGAGAGCGAGTGAGCAAGTGTGTCGAGTCTATGTTGGAGGGCAGAGCCTTGAATACCCGCACCGCATTGAGTTGCGCATTCCGAGCGCCAAGACCTGGAACATGCAAGAGCAGCCCACACGGCGACATCCCTGCAGGTGGACTCCCTCGCGCTGGTCGAGGGCATCTTCAACGTCGCCAATTCAAGACGGCCAGGCAATCAACACTGCGACTTACCCCCGACACCCCCACGTCTCCGCACTCACCAGTCCCAATTGCAAGGCGGCATTTGGACACATTTACACACGCCGTCGCAAAAGGCCACGTTAGGCGGAGGAAGAGCGGGACAAGTTTACACACCTGCGGAGAGAGCTAGCCGTTCGGAGCTGCACTACAACACCATGGACAAGAAGCACGAGGATGCTGGCGGAGTCGCCCAGATTGACAAGACATCCGTGTTCCAAGAAGGTAGGGCGACTGTCACTGAGACCATAGGCTGGCGGGGGGAAAGCTGACCTTGTCCAGCACGAGTATTCAACCAGAGCCCTATATCGCCCAGGAAATGTAGAGTGATCCTGACCAAGCTGGCCCTGCTGCTCTTCACCGGAGAGAGCTGGGGACGCCAGGAAGCCACAACCCTCTTCTTTGGCATATCGAAGCTGTTCCAGAACAAGGATGCCTCGCTCCGCCAGATGGTCTACCTGGTCATCAAGGAGCTCGCTGGCTCTGCCGACGATGTCATCATGGTCACCTCCTCCATAATGAAGGACACATCCGTCGGCAGCGACGTCGTATACCGCCCCAACGCCATCCGCGCCCTCTGCCGCGTCATCGACGCCTCTACCGTGCAGGCCATCGAGCGTCTCGTCAAGACGTGCATAGTCGACAAGAACCCCTCCGTGTCCTCGGCCGCCCTCGTCTCGTCGTACCATCTTCTCCCAGTCGCCAAGGATGTCGTTCGAAGATGGCAGTCCGAGGCTGCGGAAGCTGCATCTGGAAGCAAGTCGGGTGGAGGTTTCTTGGGAGGATTCGGAGGAGGCTCGCATAGCGCTCTGCAGGCCAGCACAAACTACATGACACAGTACCATGCAATTGGTCTCCTCTACCAAATGCGCTCTGGCGACAGGATGAGCTTGGTCAAGATGGTGCAGCAATACTCGGCTGCTGGCGTCGTCAAGAGCCCTGCTGCTACCGTCTTGCTGGTCAGACTGGCTGCTAAGCTCGCTGAAGAGGACCCGAACCTACGCAAGGTAAATCTTACGCGCTTCATAGGGAAAGACTTACTAACACCCATCGCAGCCCATGATGCAACTTCTCGACGGCTGGTTGCGCCACAAGTCGGAAATGGTCAACTTCGAAGCTGCAAAGGCCATCTGCGACATGCGCGATGTCACCGATGCCGAACTCGTACAAGCCGTTCACGTCCTCCAGCTCTTCCTCACGTCCCCTCGCTCCGTCACCAAGTTTGCCGCCCTTCGCATCTTGTCGCAAATGGCTTCCTTCAAGCCGGATGCTGTCCGATCATGCAACCAAGACATCGAATCGCTCATCACAAACTCGAACCGCAGTATCGCAACTTTCGCCATTACTACACTCCTCAAGACGGGCAACGAGTCTTCAGTTGACAGACTGATGAAGCAGATTACAGGCTTCATGGCTGAAATTACTGACGAGTTCAAAGTCACCATTGTAGAAGCTGTCCGAACGCTGGCACTGAAGTTCAAGGCGAAGCAGTCTGGATTCCTTGCTTTCCTCAGTGGCATCCTGCGCGACGAAGGTGGTTACGAGTTCAAGCGGTCTGTTGTGGAGGCCATCATGGATCTCATCCGCTTCGTACCCGAGGCCAAGGAAGACGCGCTTGCTACCCTATGCGAGTTCATCGAAGATTGCGAGTTCACCAAGCTCGCCGTCAGGATTCTTTTCGTTCTTGGACGCGAGGGCCCCTCAACACCCCACCCCACCAAGTACATTCGCTACATCTACAACCGCGTAGTCTTGGAGAATGCCATCGTTAGGGCTGCCGCAACCTCTGCTCTTTCCAAGTTTGGCGTTGGGCAGAAGGACCCTGAAATTAAGAAGTCGGTCCATGTTCTCCTCACAAGGTGTCTCGACGATGTTGATGACGAGGTCCGTGATCGAGCTGCGCTTAGCCTTCGTTTGATGGACCAGGAAGACGACGACATGGCTGTCAGCTTCATTCGCAACGACTCGATGTTCTCACTCCCTGTCCTGGAGCACCAACTGGCTATGTACGTCAGCTCGGATTCCCGTGATACCTTCGAGACAGCCTTCGACATCACTAAGATCCCAACTGTCTCCCGTGAACAAGCAGATGCAGCGGATCTTACCAAGAAGACCGAAGGCGCTACTCCAACACTCAAGGCGCCCAGCGCGGCCAAAGCACCATCAAAGGCAGGTGCCGATGCCGCCGCAAGCGCAGCATCAAATGCTCAGAAATACGCTACAGAACTGCAAAAGATTCCAGAGTTGGCAGCGCACGGTGGTGTGCTCAAATCAAGCGACGTCGTCGAACTTACAGAGTCCGAGACCGAATACGTCGTCACTGCCATTAAGCACATTTTCAAGGATCACATTGTCATCCAATATGACATTAAGAACACTCTTGAGGACACCGTATTGACAGATGTGGAGATGGTCGTCACACCAGAGGATGACGGAGACGTGCAATTAGAAGAAGAATTCGTTATCCCAGCGCCCAAGCTCGCCACCAACGAGCCCGGTACCGTTTACGTGTCCTTCAAGCGCTTGGAGACCGAGTCGCAATTCATCGCCGCCAGCTTCACCAACGTACTCAAGTTCACAAGCAAGGAGATCGACCCAAGTACGAACGAACCAGAGGAAGGCGATGGATACCCAGACGAGTATCAGGTTGAGGATCTGTACCTCACCGGTGCTGACTACGTTGTTCCGGCATATGCAGGCAGCTTCGATAACGTTTGGGATCAGTCGAATGGCGATTCGGCAACCGAGACATTGCAGTTGGGTAACATGAAGAGCATATCAGGTACGTCATTAATGTTACAAGCTATCTCGAATGGTGAACACACGACTGACAGTTTACAGATGCAACTGAGCAACTTACCAAGACACTCTCCCTCCAACCTCTCGAAGGTACAGACGTCACTCTGTCAACTTCAACACATACTCTCAAGCTTTACGGCAAGACCATCACAGGCGGCAAGGTTGCTGCGATGGTGCGGATGGCCTTCAGTGCTAAGACTGGTGTGACGATGAAGATTGATGTAAGGAGCGAGGAAGAGGGTGTCGCTGCATTGGTCGTAGGTAGCGTGGCGTAGGTGACGGTAGGCCGAGATTTGTTTAGTAGCGTGTCTTGAAAGCGTAAAAGGTCAACGGGCTTCTTAGTAGAACTCTTGATATGCACAGCTCAATGATCATAAATGTTATATGTTGACGGGATCGACCAACAAGCGCCCTGAAATACTAGATCTCCTCTGCAATTCTCTACTTTGTAAGTGCTTCGATGGCCTTGTTCACGACACTCCGTATTTGTTTCCATCTCTTCACCAAGGTCTCCTTTTGGCCTTCCGCAAGCTCATGCTCGTTTTCTTCACCCAAATCCAGATCCTCAACTTCCTCCAAAGTATCCACTATCTCCCTTGAGTACTTGGTCAACACATCCGCCAGGTACTTATTCAACCGCGCTTGATCCCTCGCTCCATCATCATCCCCAGACACAAACGCCGAATACCTCCTCGAATCCAGGACCAACAGCCTAAGGACAGTCTGCGTTCTGTAACACACCGTCTCCTCCTTCCCTGCACCAAACAACGTGTAGTTACCGTAGAACCCATCTTCTTTCAGCGCATCCACTTGCTGCTTGTCCAATAACGGGACCAAGACGTGATCCAAGGGCAAAGAGTCGTGAACGTTATGGTCCAAAATGAATCCGTATTCCACAAGGAGGAAGTCGTTTGTGTGGGGACCATATGTCACAAACACCTCCTCGCCAGCAGAGTATGGTCGATCGGCGGTTACGGAGTAGCCCTGGCTGTCGTGTTGGGGATGACACCCGTTGTCTGAGTGGTTGAAGTAGTCGATGAGCGGACACATGCAGTAGCAATCGTCTGCGGTCAATTTCGGGCGCCGTTTAGGTAAGCGAGGGTGTGCGTTGGGCAGGTCGGGATACTCCCAGTAGAAGGTTCGGGTATTTACTATCAGCCAGGTGTACGTGTAGAGGGACTTGGTGATGGAAGGAGGTAGATGGGTGGAATGGGCGGCCCAGTCCTTTTCTAGGTTTGTACGCTGTTTGGCGAGGAGCGTTTTGCAGGCGGGTGGCAGGAGAGACTGGAGCGAAGACGGGTAGTGGATTGGCATGGTGGATTTGAAATCTTGTTGCGTGGGCCAGACGTCTTGCCAAAGGTGGTAGGAGTGCGGTTCCTGGCCACTATACCATAGGGATAGGGATGCTGCGAGTTTTCCGTGAACAGTGGTATTTTCCGGAAGCTTGAAGGCGTGGATTGAAGGTAGGGCGACATGAACGAGTGATTTGTTGGAGACGTGCACTAACTTGTCTCCTTTCTTGATGATTTAGTTGAGAGTTGAGTGGTGGGTAATTCGAGAAGGGGGACTGACTTTGATGTCTTTTGCTGCTACGATACCCATTCCTCGTCCGCTGAAGCGTGCTGGAGCGATTCCATTTATCTCAACCCCATTCGACTTGGCCCAGTCGACAAACTGGGTGTGTTGTTCACCAGGGTCTAGTGCTGCAGTCATGGCTGCAGTGAAGAATTCTGAAACTTCCCAGCTTGATGTGCGAATACAATCTTGAAAATTGTCAGTGGTCAGATCTAGAGGGAATATCTTGACTGGAAGTACGGATGCCATACTGAAGATTCCCAATAAAGTTTGCTGTACAACCAGTGTTCAGTCCGCCTAGGTACAAATCGCTTTATGCCGGATCAAGGTCCAAGTTGTTGAACAAGCAGCCTCAGTAACACGACGGTAGATGACGGTGGCAATTGCAAATATATGTTAGCTCATCGATTGCGTAGCAATGGATGGCGCAATTGTCTTTTTTCGGAAGTCAAAGAAAGAGTCATGATTGACATACTTTTGGTGTGGCTGGTGGCATGTGGCGTATCGATAAGATTGCATCATGTCATCAGCTCAGAACGATGCCAGCCAGCTTTCCTGTGCTTCACCCAATTTTTCATTGACACGCGTAAATGGCGAGAAATGTGCGAATACATCAGCTCCAGAAGCTGACGTGGCGCCCATCCTTCCAGGCGTCTTCGTTTGTACAGCCATCTCGCTGCTTTTCAGTCCTCAATCGCCCTCCGCCCAAGTATGAGGGCCACATACCACTAACACGCGTGGAAAGATTAGGGTTGGCAATAGGTTCAGGCCTTGGAAGCTTCTTGGACCCCCGGAGAGGAGGTGAGATGAGATCCAGAGACTTCACATCAGCGTGCGCTGCTTACACAGGTCAGACCTCATCGCATCCTTTGGTGAAGCGACCGCACAGCCCTACTTCATATACAAGCTTCGCGATCGCATGCTTCTGAACCCAATTGGCCGACGAATACTACGCGACCGACCGCGATTGACGTCCACCTCGCTTGACATTCCCCGCCTTCGCAACCTACCGCCGAACACACTGGGCTATGCGTATGCTGCATGGCTTGACCGCGAAGGCGTCTCTCCAGATACGCGGGCGGCAGTACAATACATAGATGACGAGGAGTGCGCATATGTCATGCAACGATATCGCGAGTGTCACGACTTCTACCACGCTCTGGTAGGACTACCCGTCTTCCGTGAGGGTGAAGTTGCTCTGAAAGCATTCGAATTCGCAAACACTGGCCTACCCATGACTGGCTTGGCTGTATTCAGCGCCTTCACCTTGAAGAAGGCTGAATGGAGACGTTTCTGGGACGTCTATGGACCGTGGGCTACAAGGAACGGCGCACAAAGTGCCGACGTGATCAACATCTACTGGGAGGAAGAACTAGAAACAGACATTGACGACTTAAGAGCTAGGTTGGGTATCGAGAAGCCACCGGATCTACGAGCTATGCGCAAGGCTGAACGCGAAGCGCGCAAGAAAGAGAAAGAAGCCAAAGAGAACATGGCACGGGCTGCCGTATGAAGCAACATAAATGTACATTATCGTGTAATAATGAACTGACACACGTCGTAAATTTAGCCTGTCAATTGTGCAGGATAAGTCTCATGCAGGTTACCCGCTCGAAGTAGGAGGCAACACAAGGATGCGGGGTCTCCACACGGGACGGAACCCGCAAGCCGGATCACCCACTCCGGACGACCCTGTGCTATGAATGCGGCCAACTTACAACCATGCTTCTGGCCTGCTTCCTACAACAATATCCGATTAACGGGTGCTGTCATGGCTGAGAAACGGAAGCATGATGAATCGGTTGGATCAGACCATTCACGACTACCACCAAATGATCGCCGCCCGTCCACAAGCCCAGTGGATGATGGTCTGGCTGTCGTCGAGAACTATCCCAGAAAACGTATAGCCATAGCCGTGGGTCGAAATTGCTCCTTACTTCGTTACATGGATTACTCATACTTTTTAGTGCAACGTCTGTAGATTCCGGAAGACTCGCTGTGACGCTCAGAAACCGGTTAGTGAGACGACATTTGCTTTGCACGTACCGCTCATTAACAGTCACAGTCATGTGGATTTTGTACTGAGCTTGGAATTGAATGTACTTATCGAAAACCAACAGTCGGCGACCGGACGAAACCGGTTGGTCCCTCACCAGAAGCTTGGTCAAGCATTGAAAGACGACTGGCACAAGTTGAAGCCAGACTGGATTCTACGCAGCAATATGTACATGGATCCGCCGCGCTCTCACCTAATACGTCTACTCATAGCGACATATACCCTCCACCGGAGCCTAGATCTCGACACTCAAGCGCCAATAGAATGGCCATCGAGATGGTCAACAATACCACTATGTCCATTCCATCGGTCGGCACACCAGTGTTATATGATTTCGCTTACCGACAGACAAGTACCGAAGGCAAGACCCCAAGACCTAGTCTTACGACTTTCCGCGCGCCTCCATACATCCACGTAGAGAGTTGGGACTACACAGCTGACTTTTACGATGACGAGATCTTGGCGGGTGAACGACTAGCCGACCAGTGTGATGCAGTCATATTGCATCCAGCGGACTTATCGCGACGAACTTGCCGGCGACTCCAACAGTCGTTTGTGGAGAACTTCCTTCGTTGGACACCGATCTTCGACCAACAAACGTGTATCAACGCGCTTGAACAAGGAGACTCGGATAGTTTTGCATCATCCGATGCACCGACATGCCTAGCCTTTTTGATCTTGGCCCTTGGTGCTATCTCTGAAGATAGAAACAATTCAAACAACCTCACACCTGGACTGGAGTACTTTGCACGTGGCTCAAGAATTCTCGAGCATTTATCGCTTCGTATCGGCAATCTGGCCACCCTTCAGTGTCGGATCCTGCAAGCTTCGTACTTCAAGTTTGCTATCAGGCCTTTACAGACGTGGAATTCTATTACGCAAGCAGCGCGTGATTGCATGCATATCCTGTCATCCAGAATAATGCAGCGATACAATCCTTCCGATCAAGAAGCATTCAATCGAGCGTTTTGGGCTTGTTCCACAATACTCCATGAGCTCGAGGCAACATGTAAGATGCATCCCATCGGACTGCGCCATTTCCACGAATTAGTTCCGCTTCCCCAGTTCGAAGAAGAAGACTCAGGCTTCTATTTCTTTCTAGCGCAAATTAGTCTCAGAAAGTTCTTGACGCAGACCCTTGAAGTTGTTGGGTACTTTACAGGACAGGTCATATTTGCACCTGTTGTCATTGGCGAGTTGCGCAAACAAGTACGCGAATGGTACGATCATCTACCTTCGGTCGTCCAATTCCCCATCGATTCGACGCCGCTGTTTGACTCCAGGAAATCTTTCCTGCGGGTTCAGTATATCGCTTTACACGTAGTGCTTGGCTGGCCGTCAGTGCTCAAGATACTGGAAGTTAGTGAAGAGGAGGCTGGCGCTCAAGACCACGAAACGATAGTGGTCACAAGGGATCACGCGCGACACTGCATAAAGAGTTCAGCCTTGCTTCTAAGTATAGCAGACGAGCAGCTCATGGGAAGGAAGATGGGAACGCACTTCACATTATATCCAACATTTGCATGCTTTGCAACTCTCCTTATTGCATTCGACCACCCGGCTCTCGCCTTCATCGAAGAGACTAAGCAGGAGCAGCATATCCGGAACGGATACGATGTACTGCGACCATGGGCCCACCTTCCCCTCATTCGACGGGGACTGGAAAGGGCACGCATCTTGATGCAGCAGAACAATCTTGCGCACATATTCCACACATACACGGATGAATTACCTCAAAATGCATCTGGTGTTAGTCCACCAGTAGCAACGAGTCACGACTGGAGATCTCCGCGTGCTGAGTTCACCATGAAACCATGATAGCCGCCTGGACCCTTAGATGGCATCTGAGTTCCCCTGTAGGATGACCGATCAGATTGCAGTACGGCACGAATGAGGGAATCCCACTGGCGCGAACCGTGCCGCAAAGACGTCATGCTAATCGGGAGATATGCACCATAGCCGGTATACACATTCGGCCCAAGCATCCAGTATGGCTGATTCCTTCGATTCTTTATCTGTTCCATCAGGGCGCCCTGCGGATGGATCCGAACAAATAGGATTGCTTCCAGACCACATGACGTTCATTGACTGCAGTCATATCCCCATGCAGCACCGTTGATCCGCAGTCCAGGATCATCGTTATGTGCGGGACTCCTCGATCGCGCTTTCATTCCGCGTCTACGAACAAGCGACAGTGGAGATTCCTTGCAATTCCGTGCTTGAGCAGCCATTACGGGCATTACTACGAGTATCTGGAGTTGAGTGCAAGACTTGAGAATTAACGATTGAACAAAAGACCGACCAATAAGTCTCACTGAATCACGATCCGCGTTTTGCGCGCTATGGAAATTGGCCAATGTACACTGCAAACTTGCAAAGAAGTAGACCACAATGATAGCGAATGACCAAACAAGACCAGGCCCTTGAGAAAGACTGTGCTGTACAATGGCTTGTGTCGCTGCACATTATCTCCACTGGATACCAAGAAATTGCTTTCCGAAACATTAAGGTCTGCAGCGCCGCTCATTCCAGATTGCGTGGATGTACGTTTGGTGGTGCTGCATTCTGGCCTGAATAAGAGAAGACCTACACCGAAACGAGCCATGCCATCGTGCAGCCTTACAATCACTGGGGTGTAGCAACCCTATCAAGCGTGTTGCGCTTATCGACTGTCAACTGACCGCTCAGGCGAGCGCTGCGGGTGTGACTTGAGTAAGGGTTGTCCTGGCTTGGAACCACTGCTGCTAGCATCACTTATGAAATGCAAAAGGTGTGACGGTCGCAAATTCAAGCTTTTACCGCGTCAATTGTACCACTTTGTTTAGCATTTGTCTCAGCTGCCCATGCAGCGCTTTACTTCGTAACACCATCCTTCGATAGCCTATATCACTGGCGTACGATCCACTTTGCGGTTTGCCATGGGACAAAACAGACAACCTGAACTCTACACAGCGGCGCTTGTACCTTATGTAGCTGCTGCGATTGCACTAGTCTCTCGGCTGGCTTCTCGCCGTCAGACTAGGCATGCTTTGGTGTGGGAAGATATTTTGGCTGTTATTGCCTTCTCCAACGGAAGCGCCTTTACCTTCATTAGCATATACAGTACGTAGTATCGCACAGTCGAGCCAAGTGCGCACTAACAACAGCAAGAGATGCGATGGGGCCTAGGAAAGCCACTTCAAGACGTGGACATGCCAGAGGATGAGATTGTGTACCATTATTTCTTGGACCTTTGGGTAGACATGTGGTTCTACACATTCTCCGTTGGGCTGTCGAAGTTCGTGATACTAGGCTTCTACTGGAGAACCTTTTCACTTTCAATCATTAGGCAGCCTATTAGAATCCTCTTTGTCTGCTCGGTAGTTTGGATCATCGTCAGAGTAAGTGGACAACCAACCTCGGACTCCAAGAGCAACATGCTGACCTCCAAAGGTCACACTCATCTCTATGCAATGTCAACCGATTCGGAAATTTTGGCATAAAGACGTCCCGGGCAAATGCCCTCTGACACCGATGCTGTCGCTCTTTGCAGCAAGCATACCGCACTTCATTCTGGAAGTTGCAATACTGCTGTGTCCACTCATCGAGATCTATAGACTTCACATCTCAGCCGCACGTAAGATCGCCGTGGCAGCCATGTTTGCATCCGGGCTACTGTGAGTTCTCCACATACAACACCATTTGAATTCTGTTGACGCGTTCAAAGAGTCTGCGGCTCAGCACTTGGCACTATCATTCATACTGTCGCGCTAGGTAGAAAGAACAATCAGGACCTCACTTACGATGGCATCGACGACCAGATATGGGCAGTGTGCGATGTAAACTTGGCATCCTTCGCAAGTCAGTCATCTATATCAACCCTCATTGTTAGAATGATTGGCTAACCCTTTCGCTAGCATCCCTCCCTCTTCTTCGCCCCATTCTTCGCTCTTGTGGTGGCATATTCACCTATCTGAGGTCAAGCGACAGGTCCATTGCACCCAGTAATTACGGCAATACAAACTCCGTCCCGACATTTGGTAGTGCCCCTAAAAGGAGACGCAGCCAACCCTTGACAGCTACCAATTTAGATACTGAGTCTACGATCGAGCTTGCTGGTGAATTTCGTGGCCACAGAGGCGAGCGCCGTGGCAGGATATCTGCTCTGCATAAGGACGAGTGCGAACACGAGTGCGAGCATGACCTGCACCACGATGGCGAAGACAAGGTTGAGACACGAGGTGGTGTACATATACGCAGTGAGACTAAAGTAGATTTCGGTAGCGTTTAGTTTTGTGCATACGAAATCACAGCAAATATCTTGTCTTTCTCATTCTTTGCATGTTTCTGCTTGTACTCCAAACTCGCATGCTGCACAATTAGTCAATTATACAGTTCAGCTGTAGCGTCACCATTGACAGAGAACTCAATGTGCGTTTGTTCACTGGAATATAGCACAACATGGTTCTTTGAAGACATGGCCTTGAACATCCCAGCAAGTCATGTACAAGGCACCCATACACTCAGCATATACCATGTTGCAAGTAGTTTCCCAGGCTAATCACGATAGTAGACTTGGCTATCATGAAAACCGGATGCTACGCTCTCCGGTTTCGCCGACGACCAGCGCTGACAAACAATGTATTCTCAAGCATTTCAGCAATGCACACAAACCTCAAACGAAAGAAAAGACCGCATACGTGTTCAACGAAGCTTGAGGAAATAACTGGGGTTATCTCGACTATCGCATTATTGGAATCTAAAGTCCGCGATGCATTATCAAACGACTCGAAAGACCACGCCGAAAAGGCACAAAATACCCTTGATTTTGGCGACAGCCTTGAGGAAATATAGGGAGGTAGTTGGCAGTACAACGAGATTGCTACAGGAAATCAGTTAAAAAAACATCCTCTAGCCTTACACTCAATACTTTCCCTGATCGAAATGGCTTCTCACCTCATTACTGGCTCATCCCGAGGAATTGGCCTTGGCTACGTTACGATCCTAGCTCGCAAAGACGCGTCTAAAGTTAGCAAGATTTTCGTCGCCGCTCTCTCTGAGAACTCTGCGCTTAAGAAGTTGATTTCTGTATCAGCTGGTCGCATCGAGTTTGTCCCTCTACAGGTGACGTCCGAAGAAAGTGCTAAGAAGGCAGCGCAGCATGTTGAGCGCTCTCCGGGTGAACAGGGCCTCGATTTTCTTATCAATAACGCTGGCGTTCCAAGTAACACTGAGGGTGGTATTGAGAATATGTTCGTTGTTGAAAGCTGGGGCACCATCTGTACCTTGTGTACTGACGATCTACCAGGACAGATCTTACCGAAGTGCTAAACATCAATGTCTTTGGGGTGCATAATGTCACCAGAGCCTTCCTGCCGATCCTTAGAAGGGGTCAGCTCAAGAAGATTGTAAACATGTATTCATTTTCTCTCTCTTCTTATACAACTGTGTGCCCCTAACATGATATTAGTTCTTCAAGCCTCGGCTCAATGGCCCTATCTATCAGCGATATTCAAGTTCCAGCCTACTCCTGCGTACAAGGTATCGAAAGCCGCACTTAACATGCTTACCGTGCAGCGGGCAGAATCGCTCGAAAAAGACGGTTTTACGGTGCTTACTGTCTGCCCTGGCGTAGGTGTCCCTGTCTGCCCTTGGTATACGAATTGTATGCTAATAGTACATGAAAAGTGGGTTAAGACAGACATGGGAACTGAGGCGGGCCATTTGACTGCTGAGAGCGTAACTGGGGGTCTTAAGGTTATCTTTGGACATACTGCCGCAGATAGTGGCAAGTTCTTCGTCATCGATCTTCCTAGCAAGGAGGTCAATGGGGAGAAGATCTATGATGGTTCTGTTCGTCCATACTAGTGGCCGATTCAATGGTGCTGCTATGCATAGGATGCATGACGTAGATCCTCTTTAGTCTATCAGTGTTAGGACACCTTGGGCGCGGAAGAGGGGACTAAGAGACTAACTGTGTATGATTGTGTAGATTCATGTATTATAGACATGGAGTGCATCCTACTGCAGCTTGTTCGGGGCTTTCTCTTGTGACAAAACATGTCTCATTATCTCACATTCTATTCTATCGTCCTATATAACTTTGGCGTGATTTGTAGGATACAGGACACAAGGCAACTACATAGAAGAGACGGCAAGGTAGTAGTATTATCATCCATTGGAAATCTCAAGCTCTCAGACTAGCAAACGTATACCATTTGTCAAAACGTAGCTCTACACACGGACACACGTATACACGTATTGCTTACATGGTTCACACTCTCGGCTCTGGAGAATCGGGTATCGCTGCACCTGATGATCATCAACGAAACTAGCTATCTTGCCGTTTGGCAGATGGCAATAGAAAATGCTCTCAGGTCACCTCTCGTGGCCTCGTCAATATCCTCCTCGACTACGCGGCCATACTTCTCTTCGTACTCTGCCTTGACCCTGAAAAGATGCTGACGATCCCAGTGTAATCTCACAAGGCGAGAGATGAGTAACTCGACTCTTTGTTGACGTTCATGCTTGCTAGAAGTGGCTTCCCGCGATGACAGCCGGCTGTTGGAAGACCGGGAATCATTTACAGGTTCCATGAGGTCCGTGAGAGCGTGGTGTAGGAGCATTGCATCCCTTGCAGGACGATTAACTTGAGTGGGCAATTAGTATACGTGTGAGACGCAAACTTATGCGGGTAAAACTTACTGACGCCATTGAGGATATGTGCAATGACTTCACCAACCAGATTGTTGCTCTTCTTCAGAGCGTCTCTCGCAAAGTTGCCTTGGTATTTCTTCTCATAGGTCCTCAACACCTCGCGCAAGTGCGCGTCGCTTCGCATGATAACAATGCTGAGCATGGTGCTTTCTCCGCCTTCCCTAGCCCTGACCGCCCTGTATAGAGCGTCGACATCACGCATGCGATACTCGGGCGGCCACACATCGCTTTCCTCTTGCCGCTCACCTTCTAGTGCCATTAGCACAGCTTTTCGGAATTTGTCGGCTTTGAGCTCCTTATCCATGCATCGGGTCAGAGAGTCGCTGTAACGCTTGTCCTTGAATGCGTCCTTGATCTCACGAATCTCGTAATTTTGACGGCCCATCAATGACTCGATGAGCAGCTCGCGACGCGCCGAGTTTGACTGATACCAGTAGTTCGCCCAGTACCCCTCCCCTTCATATTTTCCCAAGGCTGTCACGTAGGCGATCTTTCCGAAATTGCCAGACGTTTTGAGTTTGATATGCTTGGCGATGTTGATACCCCTGCCTTGTACCTTGCAGTGCCGTTTATACTCAGCTCTCAATTCGAGCATCTGGTCATGCGATAGAGCCGGAAGGATATCGACTATAGTATCCACGTCAGGAGTTCGCGCAGCCAGAGCGTCAACAAGCGCTAGGGCGTCGTCTGTAGCGTCATAAACTCTTGCCCTCCGCTCCTTCTTCTCGGGTAGTCGCTCACCGCGGCCATATGCCGCCAATGCCAGCTTGTCGTTATGCTTGGAAGACCTCGAAGGACTTGGCGATCGCCGCGAAGTGGAACGAGAACGGTGACGGCCATGGATAGAATGGCCAGAAGCCCGAGGAGAGAGGGTGTCGAGGGCAGGCAGATGGTCAAGATCGTCGTCTAGCATCAGCGCCTGAGGCATGGGGCTGATGGACTGATAGGTTCCGTGGTAAGCTTCGAGCAGAGGACTCGGCGGTGGCAGTCCCGTTGGAAATCCTCCAGGCATACCTCCAGGGACGATAGTATGCAGGTCTGGTCGGTTTCCGCTCACCGACAGCCTGTCCATGCGCAGCCCATCAGGTCTGTCGCCTGCACCAAGGTGACCCTGTGGACGCAGCTCGACCACATTGCGACCATCGTGTGTGCTCATTGGACCCGAGTAAGAAGCAGCCCGGTGGTGATCGGGACGCTGCGCGTGGTGACCCATTGGCGGAGGTGGATAGCCGGACTGATCAGTTGGCGGCGGCTGGGGAGCCTGTGGCATGGTCGCATACTGGGACTGCGGCGGAGGAGCTTGTGACATGGGGGGATACTGGGACGGGGGTGGAGGGGCGTGTGGCATGGTCGTGTATTGGGGCTGCGGCGAAGGGGCTTGCGATGCAGCTGTGTATTGCAATTGAGCCGACGGAGGGTACGAGGGACTCATGGGCTGGGAGTTGTGTCGTACGTGTGGCGGCTCGCCGGCGCCGCCCACTGGCTTCGCCGTATACTGGAGGGTTGGATTGGCATACTGAGGGCCCCCGTTCGAAGTCGCTGTCGCCGCCGGTGTCCTCGTAGGCGCGTTATGGGAAGCTGGGGCTGCCGTGTAGGCAAAGTTGTGTGCGGTCGGCGCATACTGAACATTGCCAGGCTGGGCATAAGAGACGCCCGCCGACGGGCCTGCCGTGGGCGCGGGACGCGCAAAGGACGTGGGTTGAGAGTAGCCAGGTCTCTCGTGCGGGGGGAGATCGGTGTAGTTTCCCATGGTAATGGGTTCGCTCGCTGGTCTGGCCGCCATGTCTCAGTTTAATCCGTGCGATGTCTGTCGCAACATTTGGCAGAGTCGATTCTCGCAGTACTCACGTCGCATATTGCTGACCCTGACCCGGCTGCCTAATCTCATACTGCGGGGTTGCAGCTCCGTTGTCAGCTGCACCGTATCGCTGAGGCTCGCGCCCATCATGGCTGCGTGAGCGCGAACGCTCTCGACCGCACCCAGGCGACTTGGACCGCGAACGCCTGGAGCTGTCGTCTGGCCGTAAAGACATGGCTTTGTTCTTTCACTTTTGCAATTGACAAAGCAGATATCAATTCAGGGTGGTCGAGGGTTACGCGCTGCCCAGTCCAGTCCAGTCCAGTACACGCGAGGACCAAAATTGCGATGGCGGGTAACTGGCACACCATAGTCGCTTCTTTCAGCCTCGCTCATATTCAAGTTGGGGGCCGGAATCTGTGCTCAGGTCGCACTTGTCGCTAGAATTCGAAATCCGACACGCGTCCGAGCACATCGTGGAGCAGCTCCGTAGGTTCATGCTGTAGCATTATTGTGCAAACTGGTGTTGTTGGGTTTGATGTGTTGTTGGAAGCGGGGAGCGAGGCTTGCTCCGATGCCAACACGCACATCGGCGCTGCACTACAGCCATGATTCTTATCCCGCGTCGCAGCGTCGGCCAAGTGCCAGGAAAAGGTGACGACCATCAGTCAGAGACTTATGTTGAGCCGCTCCAGTTCCGTAATGCGCCGATATCAACGTCGCCATCGGCGAAGACATAAACTGTGGGTCTCAACTCACCGCTTTAGCTACCCTCCACGGAAATTCTAAGCACTCCACACACTTTTTACAAGCCATGACTGGGGAATGCTAGGTACCTTAATGCTTAGGCTATCCGTCCTGTGAAAAGATTTCAGCTCGGGCTGATGTGCTGAATCGGCGGAACGCCACGATGCATAGATAAACAAAGCATGACAGCGGCTTATGGGCCGTGACCATCAGCTAACGCCTTGCCGCTTCACACTGTAGTTAAAGCTGAGGTGATACCACCTTCAAAGGTTGAGTTTTCTTAATATATACTTTGCTACAATCATGGCTACTACCATATCACCCCCTAGTAATCTTCAGCCACAATCGGCACTCCTCCAACTGCCTGCAGAAATCAAACATATCATCTTTGGACTTTGCTTCGTTGCTGAAGCTCCCATAATCGACCCCCAGATTCACAGCTCAAAAGATCGACAAGATGGCACGGCTCTTACAACACCAGGCGCTGCTCTGCTCCAAACATGTCGCAGAACCTATCACGAAATCGACCGCCGTCCACTGTTCGCGCAAAACACCTTTCGCTTCTCAAATCTTACTGGAATGCGCACCTTCCTCCACGCGCTCCCTCTCGACTACAGAACGCGTATTCAAGATATTGAGATTGACCTGCGCGAACTAAACTCGGATCGCCCTCATGTTGCACATGAGTGGCTACAGTACGTTGCGCTGGCAAACAACGAAGCCATGGGTTCACTTCGTGCCGATGCAGTCGGCCTGCGGTGTTTACGAGTAAATCTAGAGGCATGGCCTATCAGTAGGTGTTGCCCCGTAGGGATTTGTATGAGACTTACGCTGACTTCGTGATTCACCTTTCAGTACCTATGTTCAGAAGTGAGCTTTGGCAGTTCATCCGGAGCATGCTTTCAGGTCTCGAGAGCTTGGATAGAATTGTCGTTACTGGAGCTAGTAAAGGCAAAGCAATGGATCGGAAACTGCCATGGTCGCCTGTACATTTTGTTGGCGGGGACGACGTTGGAGCTCACGACTTGCTTGCTCGGATGAACAAGTGTGTCACTGGTAACTCTAGCGACAACCTTGTCAGGTGGACAAGACAAGACGGGAAATTACAGCTAGAGGTACGCTCAAAATCGAGTCTACAAAGTAGCACTGCTGCGCGATGGGCGCAGGCTTCTGGAATCGAAGGTCGCACGGAGATCTGGCCACCAAACGGATTCTGTTCGTTCTTTGCTTGCGAGAGCCGCTACTCCTACGGAGAAGAGTCCGAAGATAAAGAGCTCAATCCCAATGCCGCCGGATGACGGGTCTTGCTGGATCCCATGGACCATGAATCTCATTCTTATACTTCTGGAGACCGATGAGCCACCAACTGCAGATTCCCATGCTCAAAAGAGTGAGAATGCCTCCTACGATTGCACCCGCCAAGAATGCGCCGCGGCCTCCTCCTGTCAAGGTGATGAAAAGGCCGCCCCATGCGCCTGTTACCAATGTAATGGTCAGGGCGAGGTGCCCCCACGGAGATCGAGCGCGGAGCTGACGACGGAATATTGGAAACAGTCCATAAACTTCAATGGAAAAAAGAGTCAGCGAGAAGACATGCGTAGTGGATGGAAGACGCGAGGCAAGAACAGCTGACGCCATCATGGCCGAGTTTGTGGATATCGAAGCTGGTAATCTAGAGACACATGACTTAGCCGCATGTATACTCAAAAGGAGAGTGGTTCTCATACTGTGCACCTGTACCTCCACTGTAGTCAAAGAAGGCAACGTTCATCATCAGCAGCCATGTACTCAACGCCCATATTGAATCACTTGTCGTGGAGCGTGTCAGTGACTTGAGAATCGGACTGAGCCCAAGTAAAGCCGCATAAATCAACAGGGCTGATTTGGCAGTTGCTAGACGCTGTTGAGCTCGTCCTGAGAGCGCTGATGAGGGTTGTAGTCCAGCTTTGTCTGTATTTAAAGTGGGTGTCGATGCCACGTTGGAGACGGTCGCGAACTCCTGGCCCATCCAATGGTCCCATAGGAACCAGGCTAGAACTGTGCATAAAGTGGCCCACCCCACTATGGCTACAGGCGAAACTCTATCATGAATGATGGCCACGAAACAGCAGGCAAATATGATCACTGTTGCAAGATGCTGCACGATGACCGTGGCGTCACCCATCAGTGACCAAAATTCGTAGGGCTGCAATCTTGGATTACGCTGAAGGTGGTCAAGAAAGGTGGTCTCATCTGTATAGTTATCGGGAACTGTACGCGTCAGATATATCCTATCACAGGGACCTACGTGAGTACCTACAAGGCTGTTTGAACCAAAGTAGCTTCTTGTAATTGCCTTTTGCCGACCGGTTTACGATCCGCGGCCCGCCCTTCTTCTTCCTGCTAGTGGAAACAAGAGACGCGCCCGTTGGATCCAGTAGCCGGTTTTGATACATAGTACGCTGTTTAAGGGTTCCAGGAAATATGATTGATGATGGAGAGATAGTTCAGGCGCGAGTTGGAGAAACGGGACGCGATACTACACGTGCGCCAATCACAGACGTTTCCGGTTCGGCCAATCACATTCTCCGCTTTCGTCTCATACATCACGACCTTGGAAATCCTGCAAGCAGGGCAGTTCATTGGTATTGTTGCAAGCATTAAAGGCATAAATCTCGCAAGTTATATTAGCGATTAAGTGTTCTCCAAGCAACCATTATCCTCCTCGACTTGGGCACAGTAGCACGTCCAGCTTTGACTTTGAAGTTGTCCTGTCCTAAGACCCTTCCAATCTCCATGTAGCTCTCAACCGCGACCCGGATAGGGCCTCTCGCCTCAATTGGCAAACGCTCGATCGCATCTCTGGCCTCTTCATACAGAGAAAATGCATCCTTCAGAAGACGCTTGCGCAAGGCCTCGATTTGCGTGTGATCTGGCTTCTTTAATACCTCGTCGTAACTTAACCCCACTTCAGCAAGCCACTTCAGAGGAAGATAAACACGCCCAATCTTAGCGTCTACTTCTATGTCGCGCGCAATGTTGACATACTGCAGGGCCACGCCCATACCGTTACCAGCAGCAACTATAGTCCGTTGCTCTTCAACAGGTAAAGCGCTAGGATACCAGTTGAAGATGAGTTCAATGCACATTTGAGCTACAGTGCCCGCCACACGCTCCGAGTACAAACGCAAATCCTCCGTGGTTTTGACCAGAGGCTCCTTGTCGAAAGCAAGGTCCATCTCAAACCCGCGCAAAAGATCCTCCAACGGTTGGTGCGAGAGCTTAGCAGCTGGAAGCTGTAGGAGTGCAGATTGCGTGCCGGCCGGAAAGTCTTCCCGGACCTGGGCTTGTATAATAGGCTTAGATGCAGAATCGCTGTAAGTATTATTCAGGAACTTGCGCAATTTCGCTATCCAGTCCTTGGCCTCATCGGCAGAGGAGGCATTGTCCACCAGATCATCAGCAACGCGGCAGAAGGAGTAGAGTAGCAACAAATCCGCCCGTAAAGGTCCAGGGAACGTTGCGGAGGCGAGGTAGAAACTACGGCTCTTTCGCTTGAGACGATGCACAGCCTCGCTAAGGCCCACAAGGCGCGCATCGTCGTACTTGGAGCATGAAGTGAGCAAAGCGCGCATCAAGACCATGGGCGATGGGAGCAGGGAGGGCTTCGAGAATAACGCCGGGAAGGTGTATAGCACTGCAAGAGCATTGTCAAACGCCAATTGACCAAACACTATAAGCGAGTTGGTGACCAAGAAGAAGAGAGCTTCTTCAATTTCGAGGCCATCCCATAAGTGCACGCCATATTTTGTACCTGTGTTGATTACCCATGTTCCTCTACGCAAGGCCAAGGTATCGACGATCCAGAGGTAGAGTGTCGGAAGGATAATGGGTGCCGCGGTATTGGTTAGAGGAAGCGCCAGGATGAATTGGTATGCAAGACTCCTGCTTCCAGTTAGTGGGTGTTCAAGGCATAGTGATAGTTGCCATACCAGAGCAGCAGCAGAAACGGGCCGGCCCATATCAAGATGAGTCCAGTATACGTTCCTTTGCTGTCATCTTTGATGCAACGCCATCCCCACGCAATCACGCCCAAAAAGAAGATTTGGCCAACAAATTTGGTGTATCGCCATCGATGGCCGGATGCGCCGCGTTCAGGGCTGAGGTAGACAGGCTGAAAGGTGGGCTTGCTGAGGAGAAGATAGAGGATCGATGTGTTGTATGTCTGCACAACGAAGAAAAAGACCTCTTCCAGAGGGATATCCAGCAGCTTGGGTCCAACAATGACATGGGCGGGGTAGCTCCAGATTCCGGTGCGAATGAGGTACGAGTCCCATGGTATGGTCGACAGCACAGCGACCTGGCCTGTTAGCACGAGAAGTGTTGGCGAGGATGCGCGTACCAACCAATATCAGGTAGACGACCTTGTACACGTCAAGTTTGGTGAAGAAAGGGCGATAGAGCCAGGTAAGCCCCACGGCCGGGGGGATCGTGTACTTGAGATGACTAGCCGTTAATGTCAGCCATGTTGGTGGAACGCAGCAAGAGGGCGCGTCACGTACACGAGCGCGTAGTCAAAACCCATGATGGCACCGTGTAAACAGAAGGGAGTAGCCGGAGAGATGTGCAATCAGCGTCACTCATGGACCCAATGCTGCAGGGGAACAGACTAGGCCGCGGCGGGCGTCAGGCACAAGAGATTGCGCGGAAGAGGCCATGATAGAATATTTGCAATGTCGTTGAGACGGCGTTGCTCGGGCGGAAATGGAGGATGCGCGCTGCCCAAAACAGACTAGTCTTCATGCAAGCTTCAACATGACATCACGATTGTCTGGCCGCCATCACAAGCAGACGTTAACCGGATACCCGTGGAACTGGGCAGCAGCCTTGTCTTTATTGCATCATGCCACCACTTCCTGACACAGTCCCGCTTTCGCCGCGGCGACATGTGAAGACAGATCAAACCCACTGTACTAATGAATTGCCTGCGCCGTTGTCCTGAGCCAACCCACACGCGTCTTTCAATGCCGCCAAGACAATAACACCGCCGTAATGTCCAAGACTGGACCGCACAGCAAGTCGACGACGCCAAAGCATCCGTAAGCATGCCCTCCTAGTTGACTCCCCAAAACCTACACATCGCCCTGACTGATTCCTTGTAGATACCTCGCCGGCAACTTTGCGCCCATCACAACAACATGTCCTCCCACGCCCGTCTCATGGACTGGCCGAATCCCAGAAGAGCTGCTGGGCGGCATGTACGTCCGCAACGGCGGCAATCCCGTGACCAATTCCGACTTGGGACGTGAGGCGCATTGGTTTGACGGCGATGGCATGCTCTCGGGAGTATGGTTCAGCCGCTCTCTCACCGACCCTACGAAACCCATTGTCAACTTTGTGAACCAGTTCATTCTCACCGACGTGTACCGTACTGCCGTCGAAAACCCGACACTTCGCACGCCTATTCTGCCTAGCATTGCGACACTTGTTAATCCAGCATCCAGCTTGCTGCTCATTCTATGGCGCATCATGCGTACTGTTCTGCTTGTCTTCTGGACGCACATCTTAGGTTCTGCACGTGCTGTCAAACGAATCAGCGTGGCCAACACCAGCATATTATATCACGATGGACGTGCACTAGCAACATGCGAGAGTGGGCCGCCGATGCGCATCGCGTTGCCAAGCCTTGAGACGGTAGGCTGGTTTGATGGAAATCGTGCCGAAGGAGAAGCTGCACCTGGCGATCGAGACTCCCATGCCGATGAAAAGCGTGAAGCTTTTGGTGGAACGGGCTTGCTGAGCTGGATGAAGGAGTGGACAACGGGTCATCCCAAGGTTGACAGGGAGACCAACGAGATGGTTCTCTTCCACTGCAACTTTGTTGCACCCTATGTCCACTATTCTTGTCTCCCAGCTGAAAACTCGGTCGCGAAGAGAACTAGCTCGGAAGGAAGCAGAATCATTAATGCACCAGTCCCTGGATGCACTGGCGGACGACTCATGCACGACTTTGGCGTATCCCGACATAATACTGTTATACTCGACTTGCCACTCTCCCTTACTCCTTTGAACTTGGCAAAAAACAAGCCCATAGTCTTCTACGAGCCCGAGAAACCCGCTAGGTTCGGTATCTTTCCCCGACATCATCCCGACTCAGTACGTTGGTTCGAGACGGACGGTTGCTTGATTCTTCACACAGCCAACACTTGGGATGAGTACAATAGCGCCGGTGGTATCTCTGCTGTCAGCATGTTAGCCTGCCGGTTGACGTCTGCATCCTTGGTCTTTAGTGCTGGCAACATCGAGCCTCCCCCACATCCGAATCACAAGGAGATAGTGCGCAGTAAACCCATGTCCTTCTTCGCCAAGTACGATGATGAAGAACAGGTTCAAGATCCTGAGAAGCCCTTCCTAGACGACACGTCGCCTTTGCTGGGACAACACAATGAGCCAGAGTCATCAAGGGCGCCTCATAACATCCCCATCTCATATGACGAAGAAGAACAATGTCGATTGTATTACTACCGGTTCTCACTCGCTCCAGGCTCGTCTAACACCATCACTCATGAGTTTGCATTAGCAGCCATTCCTTTCGAATTTCCCACCATACATCCTGCCACGGAAATGTCGCGCGCACGATACATTTATGGATGTAGCACTTCAGATGAATCGTTCGGTGCGGCATTAGGCAAGGCGACCAAAATCGATATACTTGTTAGGGTAGATGCACAGACTCTACTCAGACGCGCCCAGCAATCACCTCCACAGGCTGTCAACGGTTGTGTTGACAACCGCTCAATTGATGAGATACTCGCGTCAAACGACCACAACGATCCCATAAAAGCATTCCGACTTCCGCCGAATCACTTTGGCCAAGAAGCTAGATTTGTGCCTCGTAAGATGAAGGAGGCTGAAGCTGATGATGGCGCTGGCGCCACCGAACAAGAAGGTTATTTACTCTTCTATGTCTTCAATGAAGACCAGCTAGACGAAAACGGAGAATGCAAAGCAGATGCGGAGAGCGAGTTGTGGGTTTTGGATGCAAGCGACATGCAGACTGTCATTTGCAAGATTCAACTTGGGACTAGGATACCTTACGGCCTACACGGAAACTGGTTCACTGAGGAAGATATCGCTCATCAGCGAGAAGTCGCAACAGTGAGATCTGAGTCGGATGTTCAGTCCGAGACGGGATCGAGCAATTTGCGGAAATCTCTCATTAGTTATTTGGGCTAGCAGCACCTGTGTGTTTGGATCACATGTCTAATAAACGGGTTGGACTCGCGACTTGAACGCTACCACCATTTTACGTACTCTACGAAGTCTTTTTAGCAAGATTTAATTAATATTCAAAGCATTCAAACAAGACTTGTCACACATGCGGTGCGTTGTTTTGGTGGAGTGAGGCACAACCCTAGCAACGCTGTAGAATCTAGATTCGCCCCGCTTTGACGAAAGCTTGTATGTGCCGATCCTTGCCGTAGCGGTCGATCCTGCAGCAAGCATATCTAACGCCCTCCATCGCACTGACGTAAAAGAACACCCCGACTGGATCGATGCCTGCCTGGGCAGTAAGTGCACAAGAAGATCACACCACCATGCGATGCGGTAATGATCAACTGTCCCGCAATCGTTCCCATTATGCAGCACATTTGAAAACTATGCTTACGCGTTCCCATGTCGAAATACATATGTCGACACCAGCAGACCTCAACAGACCGTAAAATCAAGGCCAGCCTAGCAGTAGCGGACATGCGATTGACGCAAGTCGATGTCAAAGTAAGCTTAACAGATCGACGTCATAAAGCTTAATCCTAGTGGCCCTCCACCCAAGACGTGGGACGGAAAGCCCGGGCGCTATGCTCAGAAGCTCTAGCGTCGGTAATGTGCATAGTGTGACATCTCTATTACACCGAGAAGCTGCCAGTGGTCAGTGATCTCAGCCATTAAGGAATCAGAATCTGGCAATGCTAAACTGTAGCGCATGGTTCTGACTGGTCGTTGCTTGTTTGTCCAGCGATCGTGGCCTAGTCTGGGCCCCCTTGCTCGATTGGAGGTTTCGAACATGTGCATGATCAAGCTCTATTCCCGCGCGAAAGATATGTCGTCATGACGGCATATTTGGATCTCGTGGGCTGGCTTCCAAGATATAACCCAGAGCTTGCAGCCACATGGCTGCGATAAGCTTCTCTTGGTACATCTCCATCTTGTGCTATCAATTTTGCAATTGACGACCTTTTTCGCAATGGATCTCGCTCGTAGAAACAACGTGCTCCAATATAATGGTACATCTCCCTCCCTGGGTGATTTGATGTATTTTGGACATCCTCCTAACATGTAATAGACAACACCGTCAATGGTGCAACGGCAGACATTGCCATCACGACACATGGATCCGACTTCTACTTCGCTATTTGCGCTGCGATGGGGTTCTCTGGGTTTTGTTTCCTAGGTCTCGCCTACCGCAAACAGCGTCGCGACCGTCTCTTCCACTACATCACCGCATCTGTAGTCTTCGTCGCATGCATCGCCTACTGTAAGTCTCCAAGTCTCGGACTTTGATAACGCGAGCCATATGCTGATAAGGTTTCTTACAGTCACAATGGGATCCAATCTGGGCTTCACACCAATCGCAGTCGAGTTCCACCGCAGCGACCCCAAGGTAGCAGGAAACTACCGTTCGATCTACTATGCTCGTTACATCGACTGGTTCATCACTACGCCTCTGCTGCTCCTCGACTTGCTTTTGACTGCTGGCATGCCATGGCCGACTATACTTTGGGTCATCATGGTTGATGAGATTATGGTTATCACTGGTCTGATCGGTGCCCTCATTGACAACCGTTACAAGTGGGCCTACTTCGCTTTTGGTAAGCACTTTCCCTTTTTCTCACTTTGTCTTCGAGTATCCTGCTAGATCATTTCTAACGACACGCAGGCTGCTTTGCTCTTTTCTACATCGTCTACCAACTTGTCTGGGAGTCGCGCCTTCACGCAAAGAAATTCGGTCGCGATGTTGAGAAGGCGTTCTTGATGTGCGGAAGTATGACCGCTCTACTTTGGATCCTGTACCCAATCGCATGGGGAGTCGCCGAGGGCGGGTAAGTCACACTCAGATCCGAATGTTATATAACCATACAGTGGCTAACATCGGAATAGTAACGTCATCGCCCCTGACAGTGAAGCTGTTTTCTACGGTGTACTTGACTTCCTAGCCAAGCCATGCTTTGGTGCCCTCCTCTTGTGGGGCCACAAGGACATCGACCCAGCCCGCCTCGGTCTCTCTATCAAGGACTACGATGGTGATGCCATGGTTCATGAGAAGCGCAAGCCTGATGGCGTGAACAACGGCCAGACCGCTACCCACCCTGACGGCTATAACGGCACTGCTCCTCATGTCGACAACACTGTTTAGACTGAGGCTTGAGTTTTGCTTAAAAGACGATCTCTATGAACGGGGAAGATGTATTGCAGGTACGGTGGAAGTTGTAATATGGTAATGATAATGTGTTGGGTGTGGCGCAGATTGTGATTACGATTAAGCGTGGGATACCCTCTCTGACAGTAACATAATAAATCCTTCCTCTTTTCCATCGCCCAGTTTGAACAACGATAGAACACATCTAATATTCGCCGTCTACGTTCCTTTCATAATAGCGATCCACAAACATGATCCATGCTAGGCTGACGATAAAAATTGGGTATTGAACTATGTAGATACAGTTAAGGTGATATGATGCGTCAAAATCCCATACCTCAGCAAACTGTGCACCAGCATGTTACCAATCACCCATCAACCCATTGCCAGCCTTTTGATTTTGATAGTACAAAGCACCAGGTACAGTCGTAAACACGAGGAAGATGCTCAACAGTATCCAAACGAGCCAACTGAGATATGGTCCGTTTTGTGTCCGATCCAGAGGACCTGGCGACGCCTTGGTCTCTTTCGTGCCTAGCGGGCGCCACGGGATGCGACTCTCTTGCTCCCGATCGTAGAGTATTTGTTCAGTAACCAGTTTGGCACCAGCGAGCACAATAGGAACTCCAGTACCTGGGTGAGTGCTTGCACCGACAAAGTACAGATCTTCGATGCTGCGATGCTTGGTCTTCGGCCTGAAACTGAGCACGTTGAAGAAGGAGTGGCTCAGGCCCAAGATAGCGCCACGGTCGAGGTTGAATGAGGACTTCCATGTAGGCGGCGTGTTGATGGTTTCTTCGATAATGTGGGGACCGAGTGAGATGTTGAGTCGTGCTTCCATGGTTTTGATGACAGTGTCGCGCGCTGATGCTACCATAGAATCCCAATCTTGAGTTAGGCCTTTCGTGTGCTTGGAGCCCTTGTGCGAGTTCGTCGAGTCGCTTTCCAAGTGCCCAACCGGTACCAAGATGACGATAGAATCACACCCCTCTGGCGCCGCAGAAGGGTCAACGCGGGACGGGACATTGACGTAAAAGCTGGGTTGATCTGGTATCAGGTGCTGCTTGAAGATGCTATCAAAACTTTCCTTGTAGTCTTCGGCGAGAAAGATGTTGTGAGCGCTTAGTTCAGGGAATTGTCGGTCCAGTGCCCAGTAGAAGGATATGCTGGAGCAAGAAGCCTGACGTTTTAAGAGAGATCGCCCGAATGAGGAAGAGGGAAGAAGCTGATTGTATGCATATGCCAAATCTGCGTTGCAAACAACAACATCGGCGGTTAGCGGTTCCTTGGTGTTGTCTTCAAAGACAACGCCGGTGGCACGCTTCCCATCATCTGAAAGCTGTATGTTGCGGATCGGACTATCGAACCTAAACTCAACGCCCAAGCGCTCACCAACGTTGACAAGAGATTCCACCACCTGATCAGGTTAGCAAGAGAAGTTCCTGCATTGGAATATACTGACTTTGTGGAAGCCGCCAATGGGATACCAAATACCCTCAGCCAACTCCGTGTATTGCAACAGACTGTAGGTTCCCGGAGCATCAAATGGGCTCATACCCATATACATGCTTGCAAATGTGAAGACTCTTCGCAACCTCTCCGTCCAGAAGTATTTGCTCGCTCGGTAGTAGATACTCTCGAACGGATGCAGCTCGAAGAGATGCAACAAGAAATCGAAGCGAACCATGCTCAGTAACGAGTAGAAATTCTTCTTCAGCACATGGATGATGGAAACTTCATAGTGTCGATGCGACTCTTGCAGGAAACCAAGGTATCGCTCGAAGCCGTCTTTTCCTTCAAAACGCTCGATTTCACCCTTCATGATGGAGATGTCGGTTGAGAGCTTGAACGTAGTGTCATCGTGGAAATGAACGTTATAATTCGGTTCACACTTGACCAGCTTGACGCCCTCGGCATCGAGTGAGGTCCCAAGATCCTCGAATGTCTCGTGGAAGAATCGAGGAAGCAGCAACAAGCTCGGGCCTTGATCGAACCTCTGCGTAGCGATTAGCGATGAGGTGCGATACACCGCACACTTGTCAACTCACATATCCGTTGCGATGTATCAAACTGCATCTCCCGCCGGAGAAGTCATTCTTCTCGACTACAGTCACCTTGTAGCCTGCTGCCGCAAGTCGCGCTGCAGTCGCGACACCTCCGGCACCAGCACCGACAACGATCGCACTAGGGCGCGTGCCCTTGTTCTCGATATGGTCTCCCATTTGGTAGACTGGTAAATGTATGAGAAGCGGCACAATTGCGATGAGCGTTGTAAAGAAGACGCGTTGTAGCGCGCCACACTCGGGTATTCCTGGATCAGTGCACCCAAGACTGCTAGTCATGACGTCTACAAAAATCAATAGGGCTAGATGCACCTTGAACACTTGTTGAGTCGCATCGGCACATGTGTTTCGCACGTGAACGCTTCTTGCTGTTCGAACATTAACATGTGCATTGTTCCAGGTGCTCCTCCGCCCCTGCATACGATGTTGTAGCTGTCAAGCCACGCGGGTGTAGCTCGACACATCAGATATTGCGACTCGCGCCAACACTACAGTAGAGCGGAAGGCGGCGGAATATGGATCTGCCCCAAGACTTGGCACCATCAGAAACAATCAACTACTCAACCATCCAGTGGTGTGATATTGAGCGTTATCCAGTTCATGATGATCGTCAACGTTTGAACAAGTGCCCGCGATCGCCGAGCCTACTAGCGTCATTTTTCACTGAACGGATCATGCGGGAACGATGATTGGCATATTACAAAAATGGTATTATATCATCGCGACACTAAGCGTCGTCTCAATTATACAAAGTAAGAATGTCAGTAGAGTTTGAGTACTCTGGTTGGCACTCCTCAGTATATCCGCCAAAAAGTGCGGCTCTTTCTTGAATGAAATCCTGGAACGCGCTCTTGGAACAGCTCTCTCCTGGGCCGTCAGCACAAGACAGCGGTTGTGGATCCTTGTTAACCAGAACTCGGAAATACTCGTCGGCAGAGAATCCGTAGCTGTCGCAAGTCATTTTCTCAATGGCAATGTTGGACAAGAAAGGTAGAATTCTTGATGACCTCCATGCTCTTGAGTGGTTGGGCCTGTCGAGCGGCATCGTCGCGTTGGGGTTGTTCGATCCGGAATAGGCAGAGTTGTTGTAGAGGCCCATAGCGACTACGACGGTAGGAGGCAACTCGCGATGCGTGAAGGAGACGTAGAGATCCTGGTCGGCCTCGTCGGAGAGCATTTCGACGGCGGAAGCGTTGAGCCAAGGAAGGCCAAGGGCGCCCGACAGCTGCGTGCTTCCATAGCCGGTGTTGTAGAAATACATGATATCATTCATGTACTCGAAGGAGAGCCACTCGTCCTGGGAGAAGAGTTCGAGAGAACAGAATGGTGAAGAGCCACGGATCACAGTCTCATATCCGCACAGCTGCTGCATGCCCACGACATCATCGGCGGTGAAGTTGAAGGCAGGGGCATACGCATTCAGACGGTCGACGATGGGCTTGGTGTACGTTTCTTGGTATTGCTACAGGAGTGTTAGTCGTGGTCATCTTCTGTCACCCAGGATACGTACAGATGACTGGTCACTACCGTAGGAAGAGCTGTACTTGGGGCAACCCTTGTAGGGTGTCAGAGAATCTGCGCCCCGAGCAGCATCTTCGCGCACGGAAACGCGTTTGGTGTTGTTGCTCTCAGCCACGAGGCCGTCAATGAATGAAGACGCACTGAGCTCGGTCCTCTCAGCAGTTGATGTCCATACACGCTCAGGGTCCTTGAAGGTGGGATAGCGCAGACGGACGTCGACACCCAGCTTGTATGATTCAAGCCTGCCGACGGAAGTGAGGTCTTCTAGCTCTTCATCGCTTATGGGTGTCTCCCACTTAGAAAGGAAGGATAGGGGTCCAGCACTTCGCCAGTTCGCTGTCGTGTTCTTCAGCTTGTCTGTGAAGGGCTCAATGTACTCCTCAAAATCAAAGTCATTGGCGTAGATGGCGGCATGACGGATGAGGTACGAAGCGCGCGTCACATTGCAACCCTGAGGTGGCTTCGGGTCAAGGCGCGGATCTTCGAAGTAAGGGGCAATACCGGCAAGATGCTGCAAGGGGTCGAATGAATAGGCCGCCTGTACGGTGGCCGCATTAGCAACTGCGAGGAGAGACACGAGAGCCGACTGCATGGTGGACGATGAAGGCTAGATCGCAAGCCGTACCTGAGAAAGTAGGGAGACATCATCCGCTTTAAAACACTGCGCGAAGCAACAAACGATGTCATTGTCCGGATTGAGCCTGCCGTACGCTGTGGGGACAGCCCAAAGCAGGATGCGCTCGACGGCTATGGAATGATATGACGATGTTTGCCAGGTACCAAGCAAGGAAGCGAGTTAAGCTTTGACTACACCAGCCACGTCAGCCACCATTCAGAGCCGCCTCACCGTCTCCACACATGCACGCTGACGCACCTAGGCTTTCCGGCTCCGCAATGCATTCAAACAAACAAAAAAATATTCATTCATGGGTATTCGGCAACAAACTCAATCCTGGCATTATACCGCCTCCATCACACTACGTTTGCGCGTCTCTGCAGCGTCTGCACTTTGAGCTCCAACACTTGGCACTCGTTCTCCTTGCGGTGCAGATCTCTCATGAGTCCCTCCTTCTCCGACCGGAGAGCCTGCAGCTTGCCTCCGATGCTCTCACGGTAGCTTGAATGTTCCTCCAGTAGCGCTTCAATCCGGTACCAGTCCATCTGCCCGCTTCCCGCAGAGGCACCCTGGCCCCTTAGACGCGAGATCTCAGCATCCTTGGCCTTGATCTTTGATTCCAGATCGGCAACTGTCCCTTTCCATGCCTGGTGAGCTGTTGCCCGGTTCAGGTCATCGATGCTACCACCTCGCGACGTTCCCAACTGCGCGACAAGGTCCGAGTTTCTCTTTTCTAGTTCGAGAGCTCGTTGCTCAAGAGCTGCCACCTTGGCCGCAGTGAATAGATCTGTTGTATCGCGCCGCTCGAGAAAGCTGCCTGGACGCCCTCGGCTCGGGCTGGTACGTCCGGTCTGTGCATGCAGTCGCTCCACTTCTCTGGTCTTTTCCGCAAGCTTGCTCCGTACAATCTGTACATTCAGAAGATCTTCATCGCGTAATGCTTTGGTCGCGTCTAGTTCGCGTCGACAGCTAGCTAACAATCCCTGCACCATATTAGCACATGGCCTTCGCCAGCTCATTGTCTCTTGCACTTACGCGAATCTTGATGTTGTTCTCCACGTCTTCGTCTCGAAGGCTCCAGATGGCCTCGTGTCGCTTCCACCACAGCTTCTTTTCCTCTTCTAGCGCTTTCAAACGCGCCATCGTCTGCTCATATTCCTCAGGCTTGACCGTTATGGTAGGGTTCGCTTGTTCGATATAGACAAGCTTGGACATCAAGGCAGCAAGCTGCGACTCTAGAGGGCCGGGAATGTGCGGTGCGGGTGCTGGAGATGCCGGTTCCTGTCCTGTGAGGCTCATTTTGATGGCAGAATGCGCCAATGACTTTTTCAGTGGATACGGGACATCCTCCTCGTTGCCATCCAGCGTAGAGGACCGCGAAGTCGCATCGTCGTCCACTGGTCGCTCAACAAAAGTTCTCTGGTCTTGATATTGCGGTCTGTTTGTGGGGGCAGCATAGCTAACGTCGTTTCCTACTTTTTGAGGGGCCAGATTCGCTGTGGAGTTAGGTTGCTGTCGTTGCATTTGCGACATAGCTGACATTGAGGTGTTCTGTGGACCTCGGGTGTACGGCTGTTCGTCTTCTGAACCTAGGTCAGAGTAGTTGTCCGATTCATAGCTCCTCGATTGTCTCTGCATCTGAGGCGAACTCATCGATACGGGGCGGCTCCCTGACTGTAAAGATACAATCGAATGGACTGATGAAGTGCGTTTAGCACCTGGGTTTACGCGGTTCGGTGCCCACATCCTGTGCTGGCTCTGTGGTCGGGATAGTGCTATTGGGAAGCGTCTGCGTATATGACGAGACCAGGGGGACTGAACGAAGAAGCTGGGTTCAGCTTGGTTTGTTCGGATTCAGAATGAATTTGATGGCCTTTGAAAAGTTGAGGTTCGAGTCTACCTCTATGTAGTCTACCATGGCCATGCTTTGAAACGATGCTGAGACGCAGGGGTCAGAACACAGATATCTGCGACACAGACATATGAACGACAGCCGTATCAGGCTAAAATTGCTGTTCAGCCTTGAATTGCAAGAGTCCGACATATCGTGCCTGCACTTGGTACAACAAGTCAAGTCCGTACGTCGAAAAGGCCCCACTCCAAGCACTATCTCTCGCTGGTGTAACATCAAGTACTGCGCGAGTCATGTTACGGTTTTCCAACAGTTCAAACTAGAAGGAGTGGGGCGCTACGGATGCTGGTCTGAAACACTTGGAGCCGCGATCTTGTATCAACACTACCCGTTATCACATTGTGTCTAACTCGTATCCACGCCCTCTTGCAATGGATGCCTCAGCCAAGCTGCAGGCACACAATTGTGATGAGATTACGGACTTGTGCGTGCACAGTGTCAAGCACACCATTCTCGATATCTAATATGACTATACTACGCCGTGATGTGAACCGAGACATACTGCCTTATCACATATCGTAGCGGTCTGTACTATGCTTTACGGGCGTGTATAGAAAGTAATCGAATGACGCTACCTTTTCTGTGCCATTGATATCAGATGCTGCCATGCCCACAAATGCGCCAGTAAAGCTCCCGTGTCTGTTTTCGCAAAGTCAGCATACGCATATAGTGTGGCTAGAGGGGATAATGAACTAACGCTTGATGACCGCCACACTCATCACTCAAGATCGAAGCATCGTAGACAGGTCCAATGTCTGTCAGGTCCGCCTGTCCCTCCAGAGCGTAGCGAAATCGGAGCTCTTTACCCCGAATGCTCAACGCCAGTCTAACTTTGCCCTCTTGCGGCAGCGGCACCGGATCTGCGAGGGGGAGTTTCAGATTCCCATCCGGCCATGAAGCTTCCGAGCTTAAGATGAGCAGTTCACGCTGACCGTCAGAGTCGGCAGTAACGGTCAGGTAAAAGAAGTTGAATCGACAATAGTAAGCAGCCAGGCCTGCATAAGTGCGTTCGTCGTCTGGACTGAAGCTAACGACTGTTTCGGCGTCGTACGAGAAATGCGTTTGGCGACGTGCAACAAGAGCTTGTTCAAACCAGGATCCAATCGCCTCGCGTCCAACGAGGTGCAGACCATTTTTAGTACTAAAGATACGTTCTGGTTCTGGTGTACGGAGCCATTGAAAATCCTTGTGGATACCGTCGCTGCCGTCGAAAAGGTAGCGCTGCTCAGACCAGTAGGAGCTGTCGTCGCGCTGTGCTGGCAGTTCGACATGGAGAGACGGAACAGGTCCATTCTTGACATACAGCCAGTCATCCTTGTCCCAGTAAGCCTCTTGAATCGCTGTCTCGCGTCCAAGAACGCAGCGGCGGGCCTGTGTAGTTGGGCGACCGGTCAAATGAACGAGGTACGTCTTGCCCTCTGGAGTGTCGACTATATCTCCATGACCCGCTCTTTGCAGAGATGCCAGTGGTGCGTCTTTGGAAGTAAGTATGTACTTTTGAGGATGAAGTTCGTATGGGCCCCAGATATCGCGGGATCGCGCCAAAGTGCAGGCGTGCTCGTATGCTGTGCCACCTTCAGCAGTCAACAAGTAGTACCATCCGTTCCGCTTGTATAGATGTGGGCCTTCTACAAGAGCCAGATCAGTACCGGGAAAGATGGTCTTGCACGGGCCGACAAGCTTTTTCGCTTCAGCATCGTATTGCTGTAGTCTGATGCCCTGAATGGAGATACACGAGGTCAGCGTCTGTCATATCGATCGAGTATGATAACCATATACTAACAGCAAAAAACCGCGGACGCCTTCGGTGGTCTTGTAGCATGTTCACGAACCATTTCGTGCCATCGTCATCGTGAAATAGGGATGGGTCAAATCCTGAGGAATTGATGTAAACGGGGTCAGACCACGGACCCTCGATGCGATCAGCAGTAACAATGTAATTGGGCGTATCTTTGAATGAGCCATCTTTGCGTTTTACATCGGTATACACCAGCCAAAACTTGCCACCGTCATGTGTAAGACAAGGCGCCCACACCCCTTGAAAATTCGTTACAACAATGCACAATTACAGTCAATCTTGATCGAGTACGTACCGCAACTATCGGGATCACCGCGCATGTCCAGTTGGCTTTTCCTATTCAAAGGGCGGCATAAGAGCTCCCAATTGGCGAGATCTGTCGAGTGATGGATCTGTACTCCTGGATACCACTCGAACGTGGACGTTGCAATATAATACTAGTATGCCGTTGTCAGTTGATGTCACATAGTAGTCTCGATATACAAATTTGGATTGTTCTCTAATCGTATCAGAACAGCCCATACCATGACTCTCATGGCGTCGTGGCTATAAAACGGAACAAAATGTAAAGACTGTAAAACTCACTATGTCGTCCAATTAGCTTACACTACCCAAGCAGAACATTGCGATATCTTACCGTCATTGCCAACACGTAGAACGGAGGGATCCGCGTTGAAACCTGGAAGAATAGGATTACGAACCAACGGCATGATGGCTACAAGACCTTTTCTCAGTTTTAGGTTGCGACACTCTTTGCACGATTGATCAGCTATATATGCGGCTTTTGAACGACGAGAGATGTAGGCGATTGCCCGCAACGAATTAGCCGGCTGCGAACCGCCTCTTTTGCCGGCGCCTACTTGGCCACAGTGTTCTCTCAACCCCGCGCCTGAGCCGACATGCAACGTCACGCCGAAGGAAGCATAAAACTGGAGCTGGTGATCGCATGCTTAGAGCCATGTCTTAGAGCATGTTGTTACGAGGGGTGCAAAAGAACGTAAAACGACCAAGAGCGAACCTGTTCAGTTTTCAATTGTAAGTGAACCAAGTCAAAGCATATTGAGACATCACCAACAGCCATCAGGCAGTTCAATACTAGTCAGAGTATTTGCAATGATCGTACCAATTCCAAATGGGGAAATGCCACGCTACAAGCTGCCCAGTGACCCACATGCGGCTCACTTGACACAATTTAGCAAGCATCTCTACCTCGTGCAGTAGATACCAGAATCGGGCTGTTATAGTCCCGTTCACACAAGCGGTGATCCTTGTAACGCTCCCCTGCTTGCCACAGATTAAACCGCTCGGTGTTCAATTAAGTTCTCTAGTCTTGGTTTTCTGACACACTTTCGTTACCTGCTTCTCGTCTTTCTGAGTCTTGATTGTTGGCAGAATCGTGACTTGTTGTCTGGTCGGCATTTGCAGAAGCAACGACACCTGCAGGAGGGACGAAAATATCGCCTTCGTCCGTATCTAGCTGCATGAGGAAAGTTTCCCAGATCTCGATGAGCTAACACGCAAGTCAGTAAGCCGTAGGGTTTGATGCGATAGATGAACTTGCCTCTTTTTGTGCTTCTACAGCACTTTCCAGGAACGTTTCGACGCCTGACTTGAAGTCTTCGACTTTCTCCCTCTCAAAACGTTCTAGTTCGCTACGCATCAGCCGACCCATGTCATCGAAAAGCAACCTTGCTTGATGAACTTTCCGCTCAGCGTCTGCAACGTCGGCGCTGAGTTGGTTCAGACGATCTTGCTGCGATCTGCCTTGCCTCAAAAGCTTGTCCTGATTCGTTTTCCGCTTCTGTAACTCCTGCTCAGCAGAATGCCAGGAATGATAGGCCTTCTGTCGCTGCTGGAACGCGGTCTTTACGGAGCCTATCAAACGAATGTACTCGTCTATTACGATGCCCATGGTGAGTATGTCTTGCTGGGCCTGACGCTCGTAAAGCTCACGAATGCGAATCTGAATGTCGGACAGACTATCAAGCGGCGTGGACAAAGATGGCGATAACTCAACAGCGGATAGAGAATGTAGAGAAGCTGAGAAGTCCCCACAAGCCTCGGCCAGACCTTTCCGTTGTGTGACTACAGCATCTGTAGCCTTGAGAAGAGCCTTTAGCTGGGCTTCAAGAGCATCGAGATAGATTCGGCGGTCGTGGAACCACTGCAATACCGTTAGCGAATCGACCTGTTACGAAAACTAATATACGTACGTCATCGTGTTCCACAAATTTACCACTGCTACCAGAGAGCATGGAGCCAAACATGCCTTTGCTCTCAGTGAGACCGGGGTCTTTGCGCTCCTTGTTCTTGATGTCCATGCTGAAGGCTTCGCTTTCAAGGAACAGCTTCAAGTCACTGTCATGTTGCAACACTGGATGAGCAGCGGCCTTGTTAAGCATGCGCTCCAGAGCAGAGCGTCGTGACTCGACAAAATCAGCTTCAAAGCGACCAACAGCCTGCTTCTCTGGCGGCGGAGGAATAATAACTCCAGGGTTGTTGTTGTGCAGTTGTGTGTATAACCAGAGGAAATCACGGTAACGGCGCGAGACGGTGAATTCGGGTTTGCGGTAGCCCTTGGAAGTCGTCTTGGTACTGACGGCGTATTCTGTGTGCGAGCTCGTGAGGTCACCGACTTTGTGAGGGTCGCCTACAGAAATGGCAAAGGACGGCTTTGCGGCCTGCTCCACGCTGACGCTCGGCTGTGTCTGGCGCTGGGGTGCGGTGGAAGACGGCGCCTGGACTGGAGGCGGTATTCTGGCTCCATGAGAGGAGGGCTGCTGCTCGTCATTGTCGTCATCGAGGTCGACGGAATCCATCATGCCGCGTAGCGAAGGCGTAGAGGCGCCGCCCGGCGCGGGACGAGTAATGCGCGACGCAGCGGCTTCTTTCTGAGGCGGCGCTGGAGGGGCAATCTCGGTGCCTGTCGTCGGCGAGGGAGCGCCTAGAGGGCCCAGGGGATCATCGACAGCCTCGAGTTTGGTGGACTGCAGGCCATACTGCCGCCGTCGGGGACCGCGTCCAGCGGGTGAGCGCGGAGCAGAGGCAGCAGTAGGGGCCGGGTCTGCAGACGGCTTGGCCGAGGGCGCGGGGGAGTCGGTGTCGAGCGTGTCGTTCTGCTCTACCTTGGACGCACTCGGCGCAGGGCTCGACCGTGAGGGCACATCTGGAAGCCTGTCAGCTTTGCGCAGTATCGTCGACAAGACAGTAGGCACGCACCTCCCCACGGGGAGCTCTCTTCATCTCCAAGGTCCATTGGCGCAACGGTTGGTTGTGTGCGGGGGTGGGTCGAGTGGAAGTCGCAGGTGTAGTAGTAGGAAGCCGCATGCTCATGGCAGCTATGCATTGGCGCTGGGTTGGCTATGACATACAGGGTCCCACTAGTCGCGAGACGCCCATTCCCCCACAACATCAACTACAATTACAGACCAGCACTACCCAGGCTCACTTTCCCATGTTCGCAGCTATAGCACACTTTACCGTCTTCAGATTCCAGCCTCATCAAACCCCTCGTCTGACCCAGTCGCTTCCCAAGATGCTCGACCCAGCTCTCAACGAAGACTTTGGTACCCTCAGCCGCTGGCCTCAGGTAGGTCGTGTTCACTTCAAATGCGTCAATCAAGTCATCGGCAAGCCGACACTATCCACAAGGTTGCACTTACTGCCAAAGCATTAGCAATCATGTCTCAAATCTTCTTGCAGAATCACCATACCGGGTACGTGAGACATGCCCACTATCCCAGAATCCGTCGCGCATACACGGCGTAATGGCCATTGACGTCGTAATGTCAAAGATCAAGGCCACGGCGCCGCCATGAAGCGAGCCTGCCGCGTTGCACAGCTGTCTGGGCACGGTGAAGCTTATGACATTGCGCGAGTTGTGAGGATTGCCGCTGGTTGGCGCAAATGTCACAGATTCGAGCTTGAGGATTCGCCCAAGGATAGCATCGTGACCCTATGCAAAACTATCAGAGCCGCATCATCCAATTTGAAAGACAACCTGCATCGTAGTCGCTGGAGCTTATTGCGTCGAACTAATGCTTCGTGTTAGTCTGGGTGTTACTGCAAGGTATCCACGGCGGTCACCAACCCAGTGTTGGACTTTTTGAAACGGTGACAGGTCATCATCGCCTCCGCTCTCTACAATCTTCGCGCTGTGCTTCCGTGCAAGGCTGCCCATATTCGAGTCTTGTCAATGTAGAGGATCATTCATTGTACGGATCAAGCAAGTATGCGCGATGCATTAGGACCTCGGCATCTCCAGCAGCGCTAACTTGTTTGAGCCACTGTATCAGAAATCAGAAAATATCCCTGGAGAGCAATACGACCAAAAGTTCCATCCCACGCGCCTCAAGCCCGCCTGTTGAAGCAACGTCTAATCATGGACTCGTCCAGTCTCTTCCGTCAGCTACTACGCATGCCGGTAGTACATCGCACTGCCCTGATCGCGCCGACGCGTCCACATGCGCGCGCTTTCGCCATGCTCGCACCCCCGCTGCCGCATTCACGCTTCATGTCTATCCCCCGCATCATCCAGCCGAGCTTCTGGGCCTCCATGGTACCCAAGCCACTCAAGACCCGCTCCGAACAACCTAGGCGCAAAGAGTGGAACCCCGCTACCCCATACATCATTCTTGGACTGCTCGTCGGCAGCCAGGCCATTCAGATACTATGGTTGAAGCAGGAGAGAACACACAACCTTCGCAGAGCCGAGGCTAAGATTGGTGTATTGAGGGAAGTCATTGAGCGCGTGCAACGAGGCGAAGACGTCTCGGTTGAAGCAGCTTTGGGGACGGGCGACGCAGCAGATGAGAGAGAATGGGCGGAGGGTAAGTCGGCACTCTGAGACACGAATGCTAGAGACGTGTTGAAAGCTGACATGTCCCAGTTCTCAAAGATATCCAGAACGAGGAGGCTCTCTTCCAGAGTAAAAAGAAGAGAAAGGCCCTGAGAGATGCTGCTATGCAAGATGTCGCCAATACGCCGGACAAGGACCAACAGGAGACAGCAAAGCGTAACTTCACTAAACAACAGGTGGAGAGCGTGGGCGGAGTCAAGTTTTACTGAACTTGGAGATCGTAGGTGACATGACCGTTGACATTGAACTGGTATAAAAGCTTTATACTTGCGCGGGCCAGCCGCCAAAGCAAAAAAAAAAAAGCACAAAGCTCTAAAAGGAACGAGTATCGAACAGCAGTGAAGATCTGGCATCCAGCCAAGACTAGTCTCTCGTTCCCAACCCGTCATCCTTCGCCTCAATCATCAAGAACACTCATGACTCTTCCTCCTCAGATTCTTCCGCCTCCGCCCCCGCCTCCGCCTCCTTTGCGGCCCTCAGTCGCTCTCCACGCTTTGCGTTACCGGCGTTGTTGGAAAGCTTAGTAAAGCCCCTCGCCTCAGGGTTATCGCACAGAAGCGCAAGAGTCACACCTCCACGGAGAGCGTCATCAACTGTCGCCTTTTTCTGCCGGAGACAAAGACAGATGCGAGCCAGCCGCCTCTCCAAGCACTTCTCGCTGACGTCTGTGAGTTTGCCGCGTACCACCTTTTTGTGGTAGATGGTGGGTCGGATCCAGCCCCGCTCGTGCACAGCCAAGGCTTCATCGAATACATGGTGTGCTGCGGCTTCCAGATCCAAGGGATTGAATGCTCGTTCTACCATGAACCGCGTTCGGTGGATGGAGTTTGCGCTGTCACTGACGTTGGAGATGTCGATCATAGACTCGTAGATGCGGCGTACCCAGTACATGCCTAGAAAGCACATTCAATCAGTTCATGTTGGGAAGCTTGTGGTTCTCCTGCTACTTACGTCCATAACGCTTGACACGCTCGACATCTGGTGCGAGAGATTTTGGTGCTATGCGGTTGCGCTTCCGGTATGCTCTAGCAGCTGGGCCAGACTGGAACTGTCCGGTGTATGCTGGATAGATCGGCTGAGGAGGTGGAGGAGCGTGAGGATCTACATCCGGCTGAGGCTCCCAAGCGATGGGGGTGTAGTTGTTCTCGTTGAGGGTCTTGGATGGAATGGTGGTTGGGCCGGTAACAGGGATGGCAGATGGAGTTCCAGATGGCATGTTGGACGGCACGGCGGCTACATCATCGAGCAGAGTGGCGGTTGGAGCAGAAGAGGACACCGGACGAAACCCGTGGGAACGCATCAGGTCATGGTACATCTTGTCCATGTTGAGCTCAGACATGCGGCCAATGGCCCCAGCCTGTTGACCTGGACTGAGTGCCCCCGACAGTATGCGTGCAGCGACAATCTGAGGGTCATCCTCGCTGCCAGAGTCGTCGTTACCTGGCATCTGGTATCCATCGTTGAGCTGTACGGCGAAATCATCGAATATGGTTGCTGAGGGCTCGTTACGGTCTTGCGTTGGACCGAGTGCAAGCCCCAAAACCTGCTCGAAGTCATCAGGAATATAGTCGGCATTGTTGTGATGGCCGTCAAAGTCGTCGTGTCCAAAGTCGACATGGCCAAAACTGTCGTGTTCAAGGTCGTTGTCGGGTATTGCAGGAACCGTTGCAAAGGCGTCACGTACGTCACTGTAGCTGTCGTGATTGTCGGCATGTTCATGATGACCGGCATCATTATGCTGAACAGAGCTGTCGACAGATGACTCAGGGAGATCTGCAAATACGTCGCGTACACCGATGTATGATGGCGAGCTCTCGGATAGAACAGGTGAGTATGGGGCAGAGAGTGAAGGAGTACTGATGTCGTCGTGCTCTCCAAGGCCTTCAACGGGTAGTGCGGGAAGGTTCGCGAAGGTGTCGTTTACATCAATGTGCCAATCTGAGTTCTCTGGTTGAGCGGGAGAGTTTGGAGCATGGGATGAAGACATTGTTGCTTGAAAAGAGTGGTACCAGACCGATGATAATGTAGAATGGAAGGATAAAGTGTTCAGTGACGACCAGCGTCAGAAGCAAGCAAAGTTGAGAGAGGAGGGGAGTTGGACGATCGAGTTGACGAGTGGAAAGTAGGTTGCTAAGAGGAAAAGAGTAGAAGCTGTCAAGACGTTATACTAGGTCCATGTGCTGCCCAAGCATATCATACTTCCATTGTCGAGACGTACGACAATAGCGCGCAACTCTTCGCTGCAGATGACCCTATCAAAAGGTGGAAAAGTCTCGCAACTCTCATTTTTTTGTATTGTTTAGATAAATGGGGCGAATCAGATTCAATCGTTCCTATTGTACCAGGTGGGTAGCGAGAAGGTTCACCCGCTAGTAGTTTCGAGCCGCCTTCACCTTCACTTATTTCCAAAAGGTGTGGCTTATCGATGCAATAGCTCCTAATGTTCAGCAGCAACAACTCAGATTTGTATGTGTAGTATCCACTGCTTGATAAATCGATCCGTATACATTAATGTGTGTTGATGTCCTACATTTGCCTGTGATTGTTCTCGAAACTTAAAAACTCCCCTGACATGACATGCCGACTGCTATATGACCCGTGCCAAAGACGAGCAACGTCAAACGACTGCCAGAAACTGCAACAAGACGCAGAAAGTTCAAAAGTCTTCAGTCATAGATCTTCTTGCAGTAGTAACAAATGGTATAAAACGAAACCCATCAGAAAATGATGGTACCATAATGAAGAGAAATTAGAAACCAGATTACGCCTTACAAATCGCTGAACACGTGTCCAATCCATTAAGCAGCAGAAAAGCGGTTCAAGGTTCGTATGCACCTTTATGAGGATCCGTGGAGCTGGGTTGGCGAGGCCATGGTAGCAGCCGGCTGTGCGGACTTTGCATCGTGACTACCTGCCGCAGCCTGGAACCCATCCTCGCTCTCCACCTTGTTCCTCCATTGCGAGAGTTCATTCAGATCCGTGTTATCATTGTCGGGCATGCGTTCAAAATCAAAGCGATCACTCAAACGGTAGGCTTTGTTGGTAGTTTCCCAGTGACTCCTGAGAGCATCCAGCTCAGAGGCAAGGTTATCCAGAGCCATGGAGTTACGCGTAGCAGAAGATGAAGGGCGGGGGATGGCCTCTGGGGTACTAGAGCCATCGTTGCGGCTGTAAAGAGATTCAGCGGATGCGATGCTATCGTGGGCACGGTGGCGGCTGTGTTCAGGGTGTGTGTTTTCGGTCGGTGCCTGGGACTGGCGGCGGTAATTATCGACTGATGACTCAAATTGGTCAAGGAACATTTGGACCCGACTCTCAGCTTCGCGGGCACGTTCCTCCGTCTGTGTATGCTGACGGCGGAGCGCGTCAAGATCTGTCTGGAATTGAGCTGCTTGATGCTCTGCCTGCTTTGTAGCATTCGTTGCTGTTTCGGCATCGGCGCGAGCAGAAGCCAGATCAGATTGTAGTTTGGACAACTGGGCCTCGAAACGTGTAACGGTAGCTTCCATCTCCTCTCGTGCCTTGTCCAGTTCAGAGCGAAGTGCCGCGCGTTCTGCATTCGACTCAGCTTGATCGGCTTCGTCAGTAGGACTACGCTTGTCTTGCTTCGCTTGGGTGAGTTCTTCCTCTAGCTTGAGATTTGCACTCTTGTAACGATCGAGCTCCTGTTTCATCTTCGAAAGCATCTTTTCGGTACCCCGGAGGTACTTGACAGCAGCTTGGTGATCGTTATGAAGTGCCTGGAGTTTTTCTTCCCACTCCTTGCTGACTTCGTGCTCACGCTCCTCAAACATGGAGCGCATTTCCTCATGTGCTTTAGTCATAGTGTCTACCTGTTGTTCCAGCTCGCGAACTCGGTTGAACTCCGGTGTGCCGAACCTTGAGTTCGGACTGTCCAGTACCCTTGAGCGTCGTGAGTCAACAGGGTTTACACCTCTTTCGTCGAGAAGATTGCGAAGTGTTTTGAGCTGAACTTCGAACGCATTGCTCTCAAGGCGCAGACGCTCGTGTTGCTGGCGGAGTTCGGTTCGTTCAGCCTCGGAGAGCTGTACATCTCGCATAGCCTGCTGTAACTGTTTACGAATGGTCAGCCCCTCGCGACTGGATTGCTCTTGGTAGGCCTCGAGACCGGCGATTCGTTCTTCAGCACGGCGAAGCTTTTCGGATGCTTGGTCAGCAGCTGTCTGATTCTTGCGAGCCATGGAGTTTGCAGCTTCGACTTGCTGCTGCAAGACTACAACCCGCTCATCATGGTTAGCACCATCTTGCTCGGAGCGCTCTGTAATCGTTTGAAGACCAGAGAAGACGGTGGCTCGATGAAGGCGTGCCTCTTCTGCATGGCTCTCCGCCAACTCCTCCGCATCACGAAGCTTTTGTGAAGTAGTCTCCAGCTCCAGTACGCGTGCCTCATATTCGCTACGAAGCTGACTTAGCTTCTGGCGCAGGTTTTCACTCGTAGTCCGCTCTTCAGTGAGCTTCTTCTCCAGCAAGGTTGACTTCTCCGTGGACGCGAAGACAGCATCGCGTAGAGACTGAATAATAGAAGACTGAGCTTTGTGCTCTTCGGAAACCTTAGCAACCTTGGCGCTCAACTCTTGTTTATCAATCGCCAACAGTTTCGATGCCGATTCTGCTTCTGCAGCGCTAGTAGATACTTCCCTTGCGACACGCTCAGCCTCGTGTAGTTCGGCACGTAGACTCTCCGATTCAGCTGTAGCTTTTTGTCGGGTCGAGTCCAGTTCTTGTACACGTTTTTGCGCAGCTTCTGCGGTCTCCTCCGCTAGTTGTTTTGCTTTCTTTTCGGCATCAATCTCACGGGTCAGATGCTCCACTTTAGTAGCCAGGTCACCTTGAGCCGCCAAAGACATCGCTAGTCGCCGACTGATATCTTGGAGGCGATCAGCGTCGGGTGTGTTTGTGCTTCGAGTCCCATCTGGCTGTGGAGTTCCATTCTGACTACCACCTCCGTGAGCAGCCAACTTGGTTTTAGCGTAGATGGCCTCGCTGACAGCCGCGTCCCGCTGTCTCTCAACTTCAGCGATTCTCTTCGCAGCATCGTCACCCTGGGCTTTGATGGAGGTTTGTACTCGTTCAAGTTCGGTCTTCATCTTCAAGAGTGCCTCCAACAAGGGTCTGTCTTCGTCTCGAAACGCGTCGGCCGACCGCTCATCGAACACTGGACTCGTGGAAGTACCCGAGCTGTAGCCTGCTCGACGAGCAAGTGCGAGCTCTGAGGCGTACCATGCGTTGCGGCTTTTGACGTGCTCCAGTTCTTTCATAAGTTCGGTGTTTCGTTGATCATTCGCCAGTGACGCATTCTTCAAGCCCTCATTAGGTAACTGTTCAACGTCACGCGCAAATCCGCGTTGTTGCTGTGTCTCTAAAGATTGCCTGATTGCCTGCTCTGTGCTATCTTGAGAAGGCTGCGGACGGTGGGATTTGGACGTGTTCCGTGACACAATGCTACCAGAGCGAGTAGTGTCCATGGACTCCTTCGGGGTCCGTTGGCTTACAGCGTCCGACGACATCTTTCGTTGCATGTCGTTCGTAGATGGACTTTCGCGGGTCATAGGCGACATGTTTTCTCTATCCAAGGCGGATGCAGCTCCAGTGTCGATAGGCGGGCCGTATCCACGTTCATTTTTGGTAGGAGTCTTGCTTCTGGGTTTTGCGGCACCTTGTACGCCAGCACCATTCTCACGGGGCTGTGGAGGTTGCTGAAGTGGTGGAGGACCTGGTGGTTGACCCGCTGCACGAGGCAAACGTGATCCTGCGTTCGCACCATTTCCCATGTTTTCTGGGGCTCTCGTGAATTGTGAAGCAGGCATCATACTCTCGCGCGTTGGAGGGGAGCCGACCTTAGCGGGAGGCACATTGCTTCTCTCACCGCCACTCATCTTCCGCTGTGTACCCTGCGGCTGGGGTGGAGGAGCACTTTCATTGGGCGGATACCTTATCTTGGAGGTGTCCAGAATGTAACTGAGGCTGAGCTCATTCCTGTCACTGACAGAAGAGCTGGGCTCGCCAGCTAAAACAACGATGTGTTTTCCGAAGGCGGTCATACTATGCCCCGACCGGGCTGAAGGGGAGTGTCCCATATTTTGGAACATGTACCAACGGCGTGACGAGATCCGAAAGGCTGCAAGGTCGCCCAAGTCGACGCCCTCTTGAGTGCGTCCGCCAAAGATGTACATGGTGTCGTTTACGAGGGCGGCAGAATGACCCTCGCGAGCTACGGGAATGTAGCCAATACAGTCAAGCTCGGTCCAGGCGTTGGAGCGCGGCTCATAGGTCCAGACATCGTTGAACCAAGTAATCCCGTCGGTTCCACCAAAGCTGATGGCAGTTAGCAGGTTGGAGTGCGGAGGAGACAAAGGGCTGTGACACGTACAGGTAGAGCTTATCGTTCCACGTTACCACGGAATGATTGGTACGTGCTGGTGGTGATCTGCCTTGTGGAGAAGCCTGCTCCTTGGTGTTTGGTAGCAACACCTCCCATCGGCTTGCGGATGACTGCAACGAGTTCAAATCAAAAGCTACAAGGTCATTGAAAAAGAAACCCTCGACCTGTCCACCGAAAATGTATATCTTGGAACCCAGTATGTTCAAGGTATGTCCGTAGCGACCAGTGGGACGGGGTCCTTGTGGTAGAGCGCGCGACCAGTGCTTTGTGGCTGTGGAGTGTCAGTTGAGGTCATAGGTGATTCCGAGTTGTACGCACAGGTATTGAGGAGATATAAGGTATCGTCCAGGTCGTCGTTGTCAGCCAGTTTCGTGTCTCCTCCAAAGACAATGAAGGCATTGCCAACGAGCAAACTAGCATGACCTACGCGAGGACCAGGGCCGTCTCCAGTTGTGGATATGGGATAGCAGGCCATGCTGCCGTTGCCCATCTCTGTCAACCACAGATCACCCTTGACTGTTGCGCCGCCAACAAGTCCGCCCATGAGGTAAATCGTGCCATCCTTGCTAGCCGTGGCATTTATAGCAGCGCCGTATCGGGGGAAGGGATTGCCTGCGGTGAAGTTCAAGCGTCGGGAGGACCACGGGTACGGGGAGTCTGGCGAGTTGCCGGCAAATCTGGGGTTCGTATTCTGAGGCAGGTAAGTCAGCACACGTGCAAGCGCAATGGGGTTACCGAACAACGCACCTGGTTGTTGGTGTCGGCCTTTTCTCGCAGCGCTTTGGGCTCGGGGGCAGGCGCATTTCCGGCGTTCTGGAGAGAGTTCAACGAGTTGTTTACGCTGCCTCCGGGGGTGGGTGTCTGGGACTGGGGGCCTCCACGGGTCTTCTCAATCTCACGAGAGCCGGATCCATTGACGGCTGGGGGTGGTTGCCCCGGGCCATGCGATGAGGTTATCTCTCGTGTGGCTGGGGGCAGCGCGTTGTTGGCCTGCTGCTTGCTCTTCTTGCCGAAGAGAAAAGACATGGCGGCGGCGGCGGTGGTGCTGCGAAGGCGTTGGTGCAGTAGCGGCCGGGGCCTATTGCGTACTCATTCGGCCTGGGAGACTGCGAGGGTGAAGTGATCAGGCGAAGCAATGGACGAGGCGCGCGCGCATGTCGTACGGCTGGGGGAGGACGGCAGATGGGTGGGAGCGAGACGGCAGCGCGATGCTGGGGATGCGGGTGCAGAGAGGCGTAATGCCGTCGGGACTCAGACGGCGCAGTACTTCCAAGGGCGACACTTCCAAGGTTGAGCAGGCCAGATGTATGCACGAGGGAAAGACGACCAGGCGGACAACGATGGTTAGCCTCTCCCCCAGCCCTGTTCACTCTGCGCGCCGCCCCTGAGAAGTGTCGGGAAGATCAGCGGACGCCGACAAGGCTAGGAGTGCCATTGGCTGCGTCGCGCCCGGAGAATGCAGAGGGCCTGCAAAAGAACCTCTTGTATAAGAGGGCGCGTTGACATGTGTGCAGATGCTAGCGACCGTATGCACCGGTGGCCAGCCAGCATCCCTACCCGAACCATTCGAGACTGCATCAGTGCTGCCAAGTTGCTTTTTTGCTCCCATGGCCGCGTCGTCAATTCGCGGTGGAGCTCGACTCTCACCGCGGCGCTGCTTTGGGCCTAGCGCCGACGACATGCACTGTCGAGCTCTCACCTATGCCCGACGTCCACGAGAACAAGTTTGATAGACGTGCAATTGTCACCGCCCTCTCTCGCCCGCATTTCCGACTTCTGCTCTCTCCCTCTCCCTCTCTTAAACGCGTCTCTCTGCCACGCGCACCGCTCGCCTCCCGCTATGGGCCCCGTCAACACCGTCACTGCTCGCTGAAGCTCACCATGAGAACAGCCAACGAACTACCTCTTGTCAGCGGCCACACCCACCCCAATCCGCTTGCTTCGCACGCCCCCGCGCCTGTCGACATGAACGGCTCCCATCCCTCCGACGCTGCTGCCGCTGCCTCGCGCCCCAACACTGCGGCCGCCGCTGATGCGTCGCCCACCTCCCACATGGACGAACACGCGCCGCCCGCCCGTCCTGCTTCAATAGGCCCACAGTCTGCCCGTCCCAGCTTCCTGCGCGCGAAGAGCGACTTTGGGCCCCGCCATCCTGTCCTACCGCCAGAGAGCGCCGATGAGGGAAGCGTCGACGGCCACTTCAAGATCCGTCATGGCTGGGACGACCAACTGAACTCTGAAGAGTACAGCAATCTGCTCACCTCCAACTTCTTCATGTACTACACCGACAAGAAACACGAGACCGGCGGCCACCCCAAAAGCGAAGACTGTGCCTTCCCTGTCCAGGAATGGCGCATGCGAGACCGCCTCAAGACTGTCTCGGCTGTCCTCGCCTTGTGCCTGAACATCGGCGTTGATCCTCCGGACGTCATCAAAACCAACCCGTGTGCCAAGGAAGAGTGCTGGATCGACCCGACCGTGACCTCTCAGACGCCCGGTCACACGCCCATGAACCAGATTGGAAAGGCTCTGCAAACTCAGTACGAGCAACTGAGCATGCGCACGCGCTACAAGCTGCTGCTGGATCCTACAACAGAAGAGACAAGAAAGTACGCTTCCACTCTCCGGCGGAACGCCCGCAACGAGCGAGTTTTGTTCCACTACAACGGCCACGGCGTACCCAAGCCCACTTCTTCCGGCGAAATCTGGGTTTTCAACAGGAACTATACCCAGTACATTCCATTGTCACTCTACGACTTGCAGTCCTGGATTGGTGCTCCAAGTCTATTCGTTTATGACTGCTCCGATGCTGGGCTCATCATCAGCAATTTCAACCGCTTCGCTGAGAAACATCAGGCTGAGTTTGAGGAGGCGCGCCGGAGAGACCCGAGCGTCGAACATGTCGACTTCAGTGATTGCATCCACTTGGCTGCATGTAGAGAGCGTGAATCGCTTCCCACTAATCCAGAGCTGCCTGCTGATATCTTTACTTCCTGTCTGACCGACCCCATAACCATGGCGGTACGCTTCTTCATCTTGCAAAACCCTCTTCCAACTAAAGTTAGCTTACGAGATGCCCACAACATCCCAGGCAAGGTCTCTGAGCGTAGAACGCCTATTGGTGAGCTGAACTGGATCTTCACGGCCATTACTGATACCATTGCTTGGAATTCTCTCTCTAAGCCGCTCTTTAAGAAACTATTCCGTCAGGATTTGATGGTCGCTGCCCTCTTCCGCAACTATCTCCTTGCACAGCGCATCATGCGCGCATATCACTGCAACCCTGTCTCACATCCCGAAATTCCCCAAACACATAATCATCCGCTCTGGCGCAGCTGGGACTTGGCGGTAGAGCTGATCTTGGCCCAGCTTCCGGACCTGCAGGCTGAAGCTCGGGGCGAGAAGGATTTCAACTACAAACACTCCGACTTCTTCTCCGAACAGTTGACCGCTTTCGAAGTATACTTGACACAGGGCGCAGTGGAGCAAAAGGTACCGGAACAACTTCCCATAGTGCTCCAAGTACTGCTCAGTCAAGTCCATCGTCTCCGTGCGCTTATTCTGCTATCGAGTTTCTTAGATCACGGCCCTTGGGCTGTAAATCTCGCGCTCAGTATTGGCATCTTCCCATATGTCCTCAAACTACTTCAGTCTCAAGCAAACGAGCTTAAGCCTGTCATGGTATTCATCTGGGCTCGCATTCTCGCAGTTGACCAATCCTGCCAAGCCGATCTTCTCAAGGACAATGGCTACCAATACTTCATCAATATATTCAATCCTAATTCTGGTATACAAACTTGTCTCCAAAAAAAAAACTGTACATCGGCTAAAGTTACACAGGCATACCTATTCAGAACGCAAGTGAACACCGCGCCATGTGCGCCTTCATTGTTTCCATGTTCTGCAAGGACTACAACCAGGGACAACGCGCCTCACTGAGTACTGAACTCGTCGAGAGCTGCCTAGATCATCTCAAAGATATGCAGAACCCGCTGCTCAGGCAATGGTCATGTCTCTGCCTAAGCAAGCTTTGGGTCAATTATGAAGAGGCCAAATGGGTCGGAATTAGATGCATGGCACACGAGCGGCTATGTGAGCTCATCGTGGATCCTGTTGCCGAAGTTAGAGCTGCGATGCTGCATGCATTGGCGTCCTTCCTTGGAATTCGCGACGTCACTCCCCAAGTGGCTAACATTGAGGAGTCTATCGCGTCAATGATTCTTATCATGACAATGGATGGTAACAGTATGGTGCGCAAAGAACTGCTCATATTCTTCTCAACATTCGTCGCTCGCTACAAGGCCCGATTCATAGTAGCTGCATTCGAACAATTATCCGAGGATCATGCCAACATGGATACAAAGCAGTCAGACGACAAAAGCACCGAAATGCTCTACATGAAGACACGTTCAGGAGCGACAGACGGCGCTTCGGAATCGACGTCTTGTTCACAGAACACCATATATTCTGCCATATGGAAGGAGCTATTGGTCATGTCCGTGGACCCGCACCCGGAAATCGCAAAAGACGCTGGAATAGTCGTTGATTGCATTCTTATCGCTCTTATCGAATCCTCCCTAGGAAAATTCGTACAGCCCCAACTAGATGAAGCCCTCCAACATGCGCCCGCTCCTCGTCCCACGCGCCGCGCAGTGGAGGAGACCTCTGCGCCGCAAAAAACTTCCAATCCTCCAACACCGACGAAAGACTCGACATATCTGTCTCTTTTCGGTGGTATCCGCAAATCCACCAGCGTTGGTGCTTCGCTGAAGAACCTCTGGGCAGGTCAAGAATCAGCAAGCCCTCGACAGAGGCCATCTGGGAGATCTGCTGCTGAGGACACCACTGTCCCGTCGGCGTCTCGTCCTCAGACTCCGGAGAAATACCACACCGTAGAGCAGCCAACTTCAAGAGGTTTCAAGAACAGGAATCTGTCAGAAAAGCCAGAGATACCACTCAAGAGTGTGTTCTTTGAATGGTCAGTCGAGTACTTCCGTGAGCCCCAGATGAAGCCCACAGAGGCCGACGAGCCCGGAAGCACCGATTACAACGGCCGACTCTGGCGGAGGAACCGTAACGACAGGATTATTGCTGAGACTCAGCCGTTGAAAGATATTGCTGTCTCTAACCGCTGGGACGTGCCCCGAGGGTATTTTGACAACCTCAGCCAACCTGCGAAAATGTGTTTCCATCAGTTTGAAGATCATCTAGTCGTGACAGATACACGAGACACCGTCAATATCTTCGATTACTCAAAATCAGTTAGCAGGATCAATTCTTTTTCTAACGGGAACCCTCCCGAGTCGAAGATAACGGACGTTCGATTTATCAACGAAGACGATCAGGCGCTGTTAATGACCGGGTCTTCAGATGGAGTCATCAAGATCTTCCGTAATTACGACCGTAAAGGAGAGACGGAACTAGTGACGGGATTCCGAGCCCTCACCGATCTTGTTTCAAGCAACAAGAATGCCGGCCTGGTCTTTGATTGGCAGCAAGGTAGAGGTCTGATTCTGGTTGCTGGCGACGTGAAGGTCATCCGCGTATGGAACGCAGGGACCGAAGTATGCACCAATGTAAGTTTCGATTTCTGCGTCTCTTGAAATCTTAGCTGACTTGAGTAGGATCTCCCGGCGCGTTCGGGCTCTTGCATCACGTCCTTGACCTCTGATCAAGTCGAAGGAGATGTGTTCGTCGCTGGCTTTGGTGATGGCGCCATACGAGTATATGATCAGCGCCAGAAGCCTGCCACCGCCATGGTTAAGGTCTGGAAAGAGCACAAGCAATGGATCACCAACGTCCATCTACAGCGTGGTGGTCAGCGCGAACTTGTGAGCGGCTGTCGCGGCGGTGAGGTTAAGCTATGGGATATCCGCTGGGACCGCAGTGTAAAAACTATACAAGCGACTTCCGACACGCTCAGGACACTCAGCGTCCATGAACACGCTCCGGTCTTCGCTACGTAAGTGCTCATAAATCGCAACCAGACTGGAACATGCTGACCTCGATAGTGGCACGCAACGACACCGTGTGAAGATTTTCAACCTAAACAACGGTCAACCCGTATCTCACCTTGAACCCTACTCGGGTTTCCTTCGGGATCGATCTGCTCCCATCTCTGTTACTGCCTTCCATCCCCACCGACTGATGATTGCCGCAGCAGCCGTCAACGACACCCACGTCAATATCTTCTCGTGTCACGAACCAAAGCATTCAGCTGTCAACAAAACAGTGAAACTTTGGGATGGCAATGCGAGTACAGCCGCGTCAAGCAGAACATCCATCATCGGCTGAGGGTGATCTGACGACTCCTCGCAGAGTCCGAGACTGAGGGTAAGGAATGCAGTCGCTTTGGTGAAGTCGTCTCAATGACCTGACCTTTTTTGAGACGGTGGAGCACAGCAGTTTATTTTGTTGCTGGGCGTCAGGAATGCATTGGGTTCGAGCAGGACTGTCAATTTCTATTATACCCAAGCTACATTAATTAGTAATTGCACACAAGTTCAAACACACGTCCTCGATGATGTTAGCCAGGCGGGCTGCCACTAATTGGCTATGACGCTGTGGGGGATAGCGGGGCTGTGACTGCCCCACTATGGAAATGTGAGTCGTCCGCACGATACAACTGACCACGGCACAACGCGACTTGAAATCCCCAACACTACCACAATGAGTGACGCCGCACCTACTGGCGCTGAGCCGCCTTCCAAGAACGCGCTGAAGAAGGCGCAGAAAGAGAAAGAGAAGGTCAGCAGAATCCCCTCCCTCTCAAGTTCATAATACTCACGATAGCCTAGGCAGAGAAGAAAGCTGCAGCCAAAGCCCGCGAACTTGCTGAGCGTACCAAGAAGGAGGCCGACGATGCCGCCGACGTCTCTGTAGGCGCATACGGCGAACTTCCCCTCATTGGCTCCAAAGAACACAAGCCCACGGGAACTCCGCGCACCGAGCTTGCCGATGTCGCCAGCAATGAGGACAAGGAGATCACATTCAGATGCTGGGTGGAGAATGCAAGGGTTCAGTCTGCGAAACTCGCTTTCCTGAACTTGCGACAGAACCTCAACACTGTGCAGGCTGTCGTTGCGGCCAGCGAGAAGCTGAGCAAGCAGATGGTCAAGTTCTGTGGCAACGTCAGCACCGAGAGCACTCTTGTCGTCACAGGCATAGTCAAGCGTGTGAAAGAGCCCATCAAGAGCGCCAGCATCACCGACTTTGAGATTCACATCCAGAAGCTGTTCGTCGAGGCCAGTGCGGAGATTCCGCTACCACTTCAGGTGTCCGATGCTGAACGGCCCATGCCAACCGAGACTGCCGCCGAAGAAGATCAGAAGGAGGAGGAGGGTGGCGAGCGACCGCTCGTCAGTCTGAACACGAGGCTAAACAACAGGACGATTGATCTTCGGGCGAAGATCAACCAGTCCATCTTCGTGATCAAGAGCGGTGTATGCGCCTTGTTCCAAGAATTCCTCTCAAAGAAGGGTTTCGTCTTGGTGCATACCCCAAAGATACTGTAGGTCATCTCTAAGAAAGCTCAATACAGATGCTGACCTGGCACTTAGTGGCGCTGCCTCTGAAGGAGGAGCCAACGTCTTCGAGTTGAAGTACTTTGGTCGTCCCGCGTATCTTGCTCAGTCACCACAGTTTTACAAGCAGATGCTGATCGCCTCCCGCTTCCAGAAAGTCATGGAGATTGGCCCTGTGTTCCGCGCAGAGAACTCTAACACGGCTCGTCATTTGACTGAATTTACTGGACTGGATCTTGAGATGGAATTCCAAGAAAACTACCACGAAGTCATGGGCGTATTGGAGGACCTTATGCTCTTCATCTTCAACGAGCTCAACTTACGGTACCGGAAGGAGACTGAACTCGTAAGAGGAGTGTACCATGTCGATGAGTTCAAGCTTCCTCAGTCTGGCAATGTGCCTAGAATTCCTTTCCAAGAAGGTATCAAGATGCTTCGCGAAGCCGGAGAAGAGCTGGGCGACTACGACGATCTGACGTAAGTGTGGTGAAGAAAGTCTCCAAGGCTCGACTAACGTTTCCAGAACCCCACAAGAAAAGCTGCTTGGCCGCCTCGTCCTGGAGAAGTACAACACCGACTTCTACGTCCTGGACCAATTCCCTCTCGCTATCCGTCCCGCCTACACTATGCCATCACCTGCCGATCCCGCTCTCTCAAACTCGTACGATATGTTCATGAGGGGTCAGGAAATTCTCTCTGGCGCGCAGCGTATCCACAGCTCGGAGCTCCTCGCAGAGCAGATGCGCAAGCATGATCCTCCAATTGATCCAGCTGGCGCTGGAACCAAGGACTACGTAGACTGCTTCAAGTATGGTTGCCCACCGCACGCTGGAGGAGGTTTCGGTCTCGAGAGGATTGTTCAATTCTGGCTCGGACTGCCCAACATTCGGATGTGCAGTCTCTTCCCCAGAGACCCACAGCGAGTTGTACCTTAAGATCGTTCTGCCGGTAGGAACTGATGAAACTCCTGCTTGATAATGCTTGGCAGACACGGATTACCAGAATGGACATGGACTTGATACTGCACGTGTACGCGAAACGCAGTAAAACGTTGGTCCAGATTTTCACATATTGCATGAAAATCCTACGGTTGTGGAATGGAGGATATACTGAGGGCTGATGTAAGGGCAATGTCGCGTCTCGTGGAGTCAACGACCAGCAGAGTCAATTGTACGCTAGACAATGAAGATATTATACATACTCGCCGTGTAGTCTGTGAATGCGACTATTCAAGTAAGTAGCTATTTTCCGATGCATACTTGCTTTCGATGGAGCATGCCGCCTTTGGAGGCATGGTCGGAGTATTTCAGACATGCCTCCGGTGAAGCCTTCTGCCCCCATTTAACTTCGCTCATTAGAACCCACACTTTCATCAAGTGCGGTCGGACGTCGCAGTCGACGTGATCCGGTGACGTCCGGCCTCTGTAACTCCCATGTTTACAGTGTCAGGGGTGCCCGTTCTTTATACGAACTGTACTGGGCGCAAAACCACACTGATACCCCTTGCAGTCAATTGTTCCCAACGGTTAATAACCTGCATGTGTTCAGTCATAACATGGGCCGACGTGCGTAATAATCGCGATACCCATCCATCCTGCGATTGCAAATGTTGATATGACAGCCATGATTTCTCCATCAGCATTGTTTCAAAGTCGCAGCAGCTAGTTTTTTCTGTGCCTCGTCTCCGAGGGCGGCAACATCCACCTCTTGTATAGCCTGCCCTATTGCCAATGTCGCCTTTATGTTCCCCCCGTCGACGTGTACAAGTCCGTTCCGACCGACTGTGACCTCGAAGCCGATTTTGGCACCCAAGGTCTGCAGTAGAGTTATGCCACCACGTGCTGCAAGCATTCGTCGAGCCATGCCGAGGCTCACCTTGAACAGCATGCCCCCCTTCAGAAGACCGAGTCCTTCACTCTTGCCTGTGGAGGGATCGACGCAGGTGAGTTCTGATGGCAGATCCTTGCCAGCGCTGGCAACGCGGCAGTATACCAGAGAGTTTGGAGGAAGCTGGGGTCGTGTCTTCTTAGTCGCGCCCTCGAAGGCCAAATGGGGGAGGGTCGCAGGTGGTGTGTTCGGGGTAAGGAGGCAGTTGAAGTTCTCTGCGGCAGAACCATTGACAGTCGCGATGACGAGGTCGCCCGCGAAAGGAAGGTACTGTGACGAGTGTTAGCAGGCCAAGAGCAGGCAAGGCGCAACAAGAGCTTTCTAACCCTTCCAGTGTTGTATTCAACCGAAGCAGCATTCTTCTTGTTGTCTGTCACGAGCGCGCCCGCAATTGTAGCAGTGACCGTGTCTGGCGGCGTGTGTCGCAAACCTGGTCCGAGGGTGAGCGTCTTCTTTTTGCCTGTGCCTGTAGGCAGGGCGCTCTTCGCGATGTCGTCGCCCGGCAGGACAATTGTGGCTGACGCTGCCATGGTGGTGCTTGCCAAGTTGTGTCTCCTTGGTGGTTGGTAGAGTACATGGTAACATGTGCAATCCTAGGTATAGTGAGCTCATTCCGAAGAAGCCCGTGCGCTTCCGAGAAAAATGCACGACTATGAATTTCTTAGCCGCGCAGAAACACACGCGCTACAAACGCAGCCACAGTCGGATATCCTCAATTCTTCCACTTCTACCGCGTTCTCGTCAACACCCGATCGTTCTATTCTAAATCGAAACCCGTTCACGTAACCAAACGACGTATACCCGCGCAAGATGAGTGCGCAAGCGGACCCCGCGCAGAGAGTCGCGATAGGAATATCCTTTGGCAATTCATACAGCTCTATTGCCTTTACCAGCGGTGTACGTAATGCATGTCTATAGCCGTTTTCTCCGAGTGTTTCTGACACATAACAGGAAGGCAGAGCACAGGTCATCGCCAACGAAGACGGAGGTATGCTGCTTGCCCCACGCCCTGGATCCCCTCCATTGCTAATTTGTCCTCAGATCGCCAGATCCCCACCGCTCTATCCTACGTTGAAGGAGAGGAACTCCACGGTGGACAGGCCAAGAGCCAGTTCGTCCGCAATGCGAAGAACACAGTCGCCTACTTCCGCGACTTTCTCGGACAAGAGTAGGCAGCCTGATCAACCCTCCATGTCTGACGAGACTGACGCTCTGAAGCTTCAAATCGATAGACCCCTCGCCATGCCACCAGTCGGCTCACCCCATACAGCATGAAGACAGCGTGGCTTTCAGCATTCGCGACACCGAAGAAGAGCAGGAAAACACCGTTTCCGTTATCGATATCACCACACGCCACATGAAGAGACTGCGAAGCTCTGCCTCTGACTACCTGGGAAAGGACGTCAACGCCGCCGTCATCACCGTACCCACAAACTTCACCGATGCCCAGAAGGAGGCTCTCAAGAAGGCTTCAACAAATGCTGGTATTGAGGTTCTGCAGTTCATCAGCGAGCCCACGGCTGCTGTCCTGGCCTATGATGCCCAACCTGATGCGAAGCTAGCCGACAAGATCATCGTTGTCGCCGACTTGGGTGGTACTCGTTCGGATGTCGCCGTGGTCGCATCCCGTGGTGGCATTTACACTATCCTGGCCACTCTACACGACTATGATGTTAGCGGCTTCAAGCTCGACCAAGTGCTCATGGACCACTTCGCCAAGGAGTTCCTCAAGAAACACAAGTCGGCAGGTGACCCCCGGGAAAACGACCGATCGTTGGCCAAGCTGAAGCTCGAGTGCGAAGCCGTCAAGAAGGCGCTATCCATTGGTACCACTGCCAACTTCTCCGTAGAGAGCTTAGTGGGCGGCACTGACTTTACCGCAACCATCAACCGTACCCGTTATGATCTCTTGGGAAGCAAGCTGTTCGCCGCTTTCACTCGTCTCGTAACGCAAGCTGTGGAGAAGGCCAACTTGGACCCTCTCGACATCTCTGAGATTGTATTGGCTGGTGGTAACTCACATACCCCCAAGGTTGCTTCGGCGGTACGATCAGCCTTCCCAGACTCCACGACTGTCCTCGCGCCTTCCACATCCCCGTCCGCCATCAACCCTTCGGAACTGGCAGTCCGCGGTGCTGCCATTCAGGCCAGTCTCATCCAGGAGTTCGAGCTTGAGGACATTGAACAAAGCTCTCACCCCATGGTCACCGTCACGCCCCATCTTTCTACCGCTGTTGGTGTGTTGTGCATCTCGGGTGACGAATCCTCCGGTGTCTTCCACGCCATTGTTGATACCGAGACACAACTCCCCGTTCGACGCACTGCAACCATCACGACACCACGAGAGGGTGGTGACGTGCTTATCAAACTTGCCGAAGGCTCACGACACATCAAGGTCACGAAGCCAGAACCAAAGCCCAAGCCTGAAAAGAAAGATGACGACTCGGAAGACGATGATAGCGATGACGACAGCGAAGAGGAGGAGGAAGAGCTGAGGGAAAAGACATGGAAGGTCGGCCAAGTGCTGAGTGAGGCTGCAGTCCGTGGAGTGAAGAAGGGAGGAAAGGTTGAAGTGCAAATTAACATTGGCGCCGACCTGAGCATAAATGCCATCATCCGCGAAGTTGGCGGCAAGGGCGGTGTCCGTGGTATTGTACAGGGAAAGAAGGTTAACGGCAGCGCCTAAGGTGGACTCGACTTCTCCACTATACCAATTCACCAACCGCTGGACGAGAGTCCTTCATCACATGCGATGTAAACGACATAGACAGCTTGTTTCTTTACTTGACCGCTACCAGTAGCTTGTATAGGCCTATCGAAAGGCTTGAACTCTTGAGCTGGCTGCAATGAAAATTATCTAGACCCGCAATCCAACGTGCCAAGTAGTTCAGTCATCGATTTTTCAAAAGTCGAAATCGCGGTCTCATCCTTCTACCCATTACTGTGTTTGTTCTCCATTGCTCGTATTCCATGTCTCTCGTATCCGTAAAATCCAAATCCTGATAGTGCCATCTGCGCTCCAACCAATTCTCCTTATCCAAGTCATCTATACTAGAATCCAGCGCACCCAAAACCTCATCTTCACTCTGCCACTCAGTACTCCATCCTATACTCAAATAGCGTAAACGGCCCAAGAAACGCTCGTCTATCATAGTAAAAAGATCAGTCATGGTAAAGCTGCGTGACGGATCGCCAGTTCGTCCACAGGCGACAAGGGTGAGGCTGTACAGTGGCTTGGCTTCTTGCCATCGCGCCGGAGAAAAGTCTGGTGGCATATTTCCGAACCGACTGTCAATATAGTCGAGCGCAATAGTCAGAGATACCAAGTTAGGTAGCCAGTCTAGCACACCGTTCAGTCGACCTTGCTTGACGGCCGGCAAATCGCGCAGTTCGACAACGGTTAGCGACGCAGCTAAACTGTTGAGCAGCGGCCTGATGCCTTGTCTGTGAATTGAAAATCAGCATTGCGCTCATCAGGTTCGGTCAACCAGTGACTTTCTCGAAGCGTGACTTTGACATACTGATCTAGCCCAGGACTATGGTAGATACCTAGTGAGGAGAACGTCGGTGGGAAGTTGTCTGGTTGTCGTAACATGTCCCATAGGAACTGACCCGAGACTGATCCGGACAACGCAAGATGTTCCAGCTTGGGTGGCCAGCGGATGCTGGGACCACCTGGCGTCGCTGGTGGTTCGTATCTCGACGAACAGCGAGGCAAGTAAAGCTCACGCAAATCTCCCAACTGCCGTATAGTTTGGTTCAGGCTCTGGAAGCTGATGCATTCTGAAACCCTGATATTGAAATTGCGCGTCAGTCTACGAGCCGAATGCATCATGTACTTGGGGGTTACTGACAGGCTCAGGTCAAGAACGCGCAGTCGAGTGCATTTGCTTAGACTAGCCCAGCAATTAATCGCAAAGCTAGCTTGGGGTGCTACAAAGACTTCAAGAGATGCTCTTGTTCTGCCTAGTAATCTAGCCGTTGTGGACTTGGCGCCTTGGTGTACGATGTGGGATAAGTCAAGGGACTTCACCAAACTCGCCAACGCCGTCGGCTTATGACAGGTTAGCAGATACCACTGATTACTTTTGGTGCAACTTACCTTGATGCGAGCTAGTACAGAAGGACATATCGTGCGTACAAAGAGTTCGTATGCGCTTCCAGACAGATATGGTGATTCATATAACGGTTGAACTGCTACCTATTCGGGCAGCGAGATTAGTTACGGTGCATCTAATGTCTAATAGATAGGCATTTGCATACATCATACCACTGTCTGGTCTTGTAAGCTTATGTGACTGAATTGTCAGTGCAACGATTACCTATTGACTGCTGAGAAGCGAGCTAGCGTCGTTTGCCTTTCAAGCTTGCCCAGCGTTTCGAAATGAGCCAAGATCTCAAGAAGTAGTTCGCTGGGGAGATAGTTTGCATAACTGGTAATGGAGGCAGGCATATCTAGCACGGTCGCGTGTGGGAATGCGTGGCTCGTGAGGAAAGTCGCCAGTATACACGCGCCATCATCCGCGCAGAGATGGAATATGACGCACTAGCGCGACTATTGGTTCGCCGCCGAACTATAATGCCTGTTATCTCCGAATAGGGCCGAACCACAAATGATGTTCGACCCCCGCCCTGCCAATCGTCAGCAAAGGACCGTCACATACTGTTACATGGAACAACCGCTACTTCAGATCTGACATGCCAACCAGGACTAGCCGCGTTTACAAACCTAAGACCACTGATATGCTTGACAGCGATCAATGTGAAACATGTAAGGAGCACCACCATATACACATGCATGGAAGCATACGCTGTGAATGCTCATGAATACTCACAAAGAATTATTTCACACTCCCTTACATTGTGTTTCTTTGCGGGTCATAGTCTCTTCATATCTCTCTCGCATACAATAAAAGTCTCACCGACGATAACGCTCCTTCTGCTGATCACTACCACATAAATTTCGGCCCCTGAAAAACAATACTATTTTGCTTACTTCTGGCTACCTCAACACTTCCGAGTCTTCTTTCTCACCAACAATGCACACTTTACTCATCGCTTTGTCAGTTATAGGGCAAGCAGCTGCCGACCGGCTGCTGGTGGCTTCATACGGAAATGAAACTCATGCTGGCGCCATCCAGACGCTCGAAGTACTGCCCAGCACAAGCGCAAATTCTAGCCATGCGATGAAAGTTACCCAAGAGAACCACGAGTGTGGAACTTTGCCTACATGGTTGGATGCGTCCCTTGGCTTGGATAGGATAGTTTGTCTAGACGAATCAGCTGCTAATGCTAGTCTCACAATGTTGAGCCTTGGTGATGACGGCAGCCTCCAAAAGGTGTCCAATACCAGTGTGCTGGGAGGAGCAGTATCCTCGGCGTCCTACAATAACAAATCCGCATTAGCCCTTGCTCACGTACGTACAAGTTTTCTCCTTTCCAAATTTTTATCTGATCAAGTACTCACTTTAAGGTAAACCTAATAGTACGGACCCGAGCCAGCCATATCACTGTTTACTATCGATGGCGAAAACAAATTTTCGTCTTTGCAAAACATCACGTTCCAGGCGCCTGAGCAGATCCATCAAGCGGTTGTCGATCCTACAGGGCAATACATGATATTCCCCAGTCTCGGTGCAGATACAGTTCACGTTTATTGCATCGATCCTGTCAGCCACTTGCTCACAGAGCATGCGCCACTCAAATCCAAACAAGGATACGGTCCGCGACATGCAGTTTTCTGGACAAGTTCCAATTCTACAAAGACGTACCTCTTTGTAGTCCATGAGAAGAGTAACAAGATCACGAGTTACGAAGTTTGTTATCTGGAGCAGGGCGGCCTAGCTTTTACCGAAGTCGACGAGGTCAGCACATACGGCAATCGAACCGTCCCGCCAGCGACATTCGCTTCGGAGATGACGCTCTCACCTGATAACAGGTTCTTGATCGCAGCAAACCGTAACGGCACAATTTTCAAAGTAGAGAACTCGGACCCAGCCAACAGCACTCAAGTTCCAAGTGACTCACTCGTGACGTTCAAACCGTCGGCCGACGGGAAGCTATCGTTTGTCCAGCTTGCAAAATCAGGGGGATGGTACCCTCGCCACTTCAGTATGAACCAGAATGGATCGTTGATTGCGGTTGCAAATCAACTCAGCAAAAACGTCGACATCTATGCCCGTAACCTAGAAACTGGAATCATCGAAGACGGCAAAGCGGTGGCAAGAGCTAATAATCTTGGGCCCGGCGATTTGATGTAAGTTAAACCCCCTAACTTGTGTGCTGAGTACTGACATTTCTGCTTCGTAATAGGTTCGTGCAGTGGGTAGGGCAACAATAGATCAGGATTGGAATTCTATTAAAAGCTCAAGCAGATGAGCTGTAGACCTGATATGTAGCGGGTTCCTCCACCCATGTTCTATATGAAGATTTCTCAACACTATTTTTGTGCATAGCATGGCGGACTTTTGTATTGTAGCATAGTATCAAGGAGTGTTAGCTGAAGATACCCAGTTTTCCTGTGCAACAGCCCACGAAACGGCATCCCAGACATCGCCCACGATATTGCGAGGCTGAGGTGTTGGTTTTGTGCCCTTCTGATAGACACCTGTCTCTACTAACACACTAGCCCAGTCTGTGCCGTACGGGCTCCGGTAATCATTACCGCCAGCAATATCACTCGCCGGATTATCACCGACCATATACACACGCTTGAGATGCCCAGAAGGACTACCGTAGCGTTGCATTATGTTATGCCGATGCGCTATCAGGCGCTTCTCTGCGAACTCATATGTAGGTTGATGTGGTTTACCCATCACGACCTTTTGCAGCTTGACACCTTGTGCCTCGCCACCGGTTATTGCAGCCCAGATGCCTTCGAACGCTTCGCGAAATCCTCCTTGTCCTAGGCGTGGTAAGTGGTATTTCGCCGCCCACAGTAGGTCTGGGTTCGAGAAGTAAAGTGGTGGTTGCCCGTCTTGCTGATAACCACGGTTCTCCAAAGCAGGGTTGCCGTTCTTCTTGGACAGAGTCCCAATGATGCCACGCTCTGACAACAGGACATCCTTGATGATCTGCGCATCCAAACCCCAGTCCCGCGGGTCATTGTACACAAAGACAGCATCGATACGAAGCGAGGTCGATGGTGTGGTGGCATCAATTGGGGCCGGCAGCGGTCGAGTGAAGGTCTTATAGTATGATAGCAATTGCTGGGAGAAAGGCCATACTTCGGGATGAGCAACTAGAATGTCGCCAGGGGTGACCACGTTTTTGAAGCTACGCGACTTCGTTAGAATGCTGCGGCACACCGTAATTGTATGTTATCGTACCCGTATGCCTCGGCAACTCTCCTGCATTTATCCTCCACTCCGCCAACAACCATGACTGTCTTATCCTTTAGGTCATTCATGTCGGCAAAGGGGGTGTGACTCTGGACAAACATGGACGTATCGATAGCCACGTCCAGTTTACTGCTCAACTCGGCCACGCGCTCGGATTCATGTTTGCCGCCGCCATTGGTCAAGAGTATGAAGGGAATGCGCTGCGTTTGGAGATAAGTGAGGGCCTTTCGAGCTCGCGGTAGTGCGTCCGAACTCCTTAGGAGTACTCCGTCGATACTGACAGCCGTCAGCTGCTGTATTGAGAGGCCGATGGCGTGCCGCCTTACTCGAAAGCGAAAGCAAAGTCGGAGGCACGGCTGTTAGGGGCAGCAGCGGTCTGGAATGCGCGGCGTAGGGGTAGGCGGTAGCCGCAGCGAGGAAGTAATTTCGTCGCGTACATTGCTGTTGGTCGTCTGAGAGTTCGTTGTAGAGGTATGATGTCTTCCTAACTTGCAGCAGTTAGCATGACGTGGAATCTTTAGTCATCATTCCGCTACCCGCCATTGGAAGTCGCACACACCCTAAGGCTCTTTCACGACTTACGACATAGAGCAAACAATCCTTCAACAGCACAGAACCCATCGAACTAACGATCATCTTCTTGGCATGCAAAACATGCATGTGCAGGGGTTTCGCTTTCTGTCCAAAAGCACTGGAGATTTACAGCATCAAGCGCTACACAACGGTACGGGAGAATGACTTGCCGCAATACTCGTCTATCTATCTTTAACATCTCCTCAAGAAGCATCTACCCGAAGGTACTATACTATTGTTTCTTGAGCTGAACAATCTGCTGGCAACATGCTTGGGTTCGTTCAAAGTTACAAGCCATATTGCTGACGATGTTCCCTGCGCGGAGATTATTCCTTTGCTTTCTTGAATTCGTAAGATATGCAGTATGTGAAGATATTACGATTTGCTGGTTCGCGCATGATGGTCAGCTCCAGATATGACAGCCAAATCGGTATACCTACGGCATCGAAACCTACCACAACTGACTCGTTCTTGGGGTCGTTGAGCGTCCAGGCCTGCACTACTATGCTTTGCTGGTCATCCAGATCACGTCATTGCCGGAGCATCGATACAAAGGTCATTGAGGCGCTTTTCTGCTGCTGATTTTTCCTTGTTATCACTGCTAACAGGGAGGTGTTCGTACAATGACAAGCCAAAACCTTGGCACAACGGGTCATGTATAAGAACAATAGTAGTGGCGAATCTACGAACAATAGTAAGGGTAACAGGACTCGGTGCTCTCTTATCGCGAGCAAGGTCTGGACCTTTCGCATCGATTACCACAAGGTTAGCTTCATTGTTTCGTCCTATATACTTCGCTGCAAACGATGTATAAAGGAAGCAGTTGTCCTCTCCCATCTGGCTCCAGGTCATCAGAACATTCAGTCATTTAGCAACTCCAATCCTTCCAAACATTTCTTGACCAGTTGCCAACCAACTAACCAACCAAACCGTCAACATGATGTTCTCCTCCAGGCCCGTCCCTGGTATTTCGTGCACTGTCAGCAAGCGTGGCGACATTCCCGGCGGTGGTTGCACCGTCATGCGGACCGACATTCCTGGCGGCGGCTGCACCGTCATGCGTACCGACATTCCCGGCGGCGGCTGCACTGTTAGCCGCCGTTAAACAGTCCCTCGAGCGACCAATGGTAGTTGGACAAACGCAACAACTACATGGTAACGGGTTCCGGCTTGCCCCCTTACTTCGATTCTTCCAACCTTTTTCGACACAACAGAGGATTATGTCTGATACTCAAGCCAATCGACGAGTACTTGAAGACAACATGCCTCACAGCCTTGCTGCAACACCGATAACGATTCGACAAACGCGACTGTTTTTCGATACCACCAATGATTAACATTACATGCGGCTATACGATCGAAGTCGTGTTTTCGAACAGCATGGTTTTTCTTCGTACAAACTTTGATTCATGTAATTAGGAGCGGGTCAAGTTGAACTCTTGATGGCGGCAATTTTCCTGTAGAGCTTGGTAATATTAATACTTGACCACTTCAAACGTCTTCTGCATCTAAATGCTTAGGATCAAAGCGTGAAAACTGTGCCGCCATGTGTTGATGCTGCTTACTTAAATGATTGTTTGAGCACGACGTTAATTTTACATTACCATACTACCGCGAATCTATGACTATCCTACAAACACCTTATGCCGATGCAAAAGTCGAACCATCGCAGCTTTACGAGGATACGGGCGCCACTAGATTTGAACCAAGCCGCTTCTCGTAACAGACACTGTTGTCTGCTTCGTTGTAGTCTCCAAACATATTGCGTTGAATAAACCCACGTCTTTCATAGAAGCGTCTTGCTTTCACCAAAAAGGTGCCAGTCTCCAGTAGCAACAACGACCAACCTCTTTCTAACGCCTCGTCTTCCAACCTGTTGAGTATCAATTCCGCAATGGAAAGACTCAAGCCTTTGTTCCCACTTATCGGCCCTCGGTATGATGGGTCAACAAACATTCGCTTGATTTCAGCAGCATTCTCGAGCGTACTATCTGGTGAAGACAGTGAGCGTAGTCCGCCGCAGCCGACTGGAACGCCAGCGCAATAAGCAACCAGAAAGATTGGGATGTCAGCAGCTGATGGTGGAGTGCCGGGGTCTACACCTCCGAGGGTGGTAATCTCGGTTCGCTGGGTGGTACGGAGTTTAACACTATCTGGATGATCCCAGGAGACGGGAAGAACGACAATATCGTTGACTGACAACATGATGATTGGGGTAATATTGAAAAGGAAAAGCAAGGTTCGCAGATGTTTGTGATGGATAGCCTACCTAGATAGCTCCTAGTACCTCTGTAATAGGCAAAGCATATCGCAGTCCGACCATAATCACTTGTCATGGCCCCACGAAGCAGGGCGTTTTGACTCAGAACGTATGACCGTGAGCGAATGCTTTGATTGGCAGATTAAAGCTGCCATCTTATTAGGTAGAGTGATAGGGTAATCGCCGTTGCATACAGCGGGCCCGTGCGAGGAACATTGAATTCCGGAAACGTCCCCCCAGCCAGGTCGGAGAGCAGGGCGTCTTGATCCAGTTAGGAATCACTTTGGGCTTTCATTGTAGTTCTTACTAGCAGAATGTTCTACCTGCAAAAAGAGAAACCAGCTTTGAGAACAAGATTCTAGGTAAACAGAACATAATAATAGTATTGTTAAAACGTATCACAACAGCTACTTGAGGCAAGAAGCCGTCTCTCTTCACTTTCCATAGTTGATAATGGAAAAAGCTATCTGTACATATATCTACCCACATCCTTTGAAAAACACTGGAAAGAGCCTAGTAAGAGTACATCAATCGATGCTCTTTGACAAGTACTGCCGCAGAACGTAGGTTGGTACAAGTCTGCGGTATACGGGAAGATGATAACAGGTCTTTCACCTTCCCCGTACACTCCGGATCGAAGATTTGCGAGAGACACGGCCTTTCACTGCAGCCATATCCTCTTGGGAGATGGGACTAGCAAGGGGTGATTTCCTCGTTGCACTGCGCAAAGATGCAGGAGTTATGTTCGGTGAAGCATCTTCCTCTGATTCCAGCATGTCCGTATCCGTATCACGAGTAGGCGTGCTTGGTCGTTGAGAACGAAGCGCCTTTCTGTTCTTAAGCGTCGATTGTAGTCGAGAGGGCTTAACCTTTTTCAACGCACCAGGCCTAGAAACCTTCCTTTGATAGGTGATAGTTGTGCGTTGGGTATGGATGATAGTAGACGGTTGTGCCGCCCGCGAATTGGTTGATCGTGTGCGTTTATCAATGTTACCAGAATTCGAGCGTTTGAGCGCGCGATTCTCCCGAGACGCATTCTGGCGCGACAGCTCATTTGCCTCTCTTTCAGCTCGCTCGCGAGCAGACTCTGATCGAGCAAGGGCGTTCTTTGCCTTTGTGCTAACCGAGTTACCAAGAAGCATTCTGCGCTTTTTGGGAGAGCTTTGAGTGCTTTCAGAACCGGATCTCCGGGAACCCAGCAGATCTTGAAGCTTGCGTTTGGTGCCAGCGATGAGAGCCGAAGCTATGGACTTTTCCTCGATGGGTTTCTTCGGTTTGGGACCGAGGACGCCGCGACACGACTCAGTGCCACAACGACATTCCTGGATATTTTTCTGTGAAAACGGACTGTGAATGTCAGATTGGTCCAACGAGTATGCTGTGAAAAATGACTTACTCGAAATTGTAATCGTAGGTTAGCTCGTCACCGGTCATGATGCCTCGAGGACCAGCGAAGAGTGCCATTCGTGGTTCTCCGCCCACAGTCCACTTGATCATCTCGCAGTTAGGTTCACATGAGTGGTTGACGAAACGCGCAATTGTTCCACGGGTTGCGTCTATAATCATTTTGTTGTCGAAACTCATAAGATAATAGCACTGTAGCGGGTCAGTAGAAGTGGGCAAGCAAAGATATGGACAGCTCACCTTGTCTTTCTTGTAAACCTGCTTCATGCGTCGCTCGCATTCAGACTGGGTAATGATCTCTCCAGCATATTCTACGATAATTTGATGGGGCTCGAAAGTTCTCATAGCACGCACACCAAAGCCTCGGTCTTTCGTATCGAGAACCTCTACGCCGTAATCGTAGCGGTTGCCTTTAGCACGTCGCCTGAGCTCTGCAAATGGCCGATTGTTACACAATTCCGGAGGAAGGGGACAGTTGGTGTTATCGCATTCGTATGCCATGATCCGGTTATGACAGGCTTCTCCGCAGCCGTCTTCGGCATCGCAGTAGCACTGCGAAGAGTCTTGCTTGTCGCGTTTCCACAGTGCGGACGCGTCGCCAATGAATCTGTCTACAAGGCATTAGTGGCATTCACCAGATTGACAGCGCAGTCGTCTTACTTTTGTTGAGCTTAACCCAGCCGTCGACTTTGACTTTCCTGGGTAGAGGGCTGTAAGTGTCGAATGGCAATTTGAAGTCGCGAAACACAAGTTTGGGGTCCTCGTTCAAGAGGCGTTCGCAAGCAAACATTGGGAGGGGTAAACTGTGAGCCTTCCCTGGTTTCTTGGCTCTCTTCTTCGCGCGGTTCTGGCTCTCTGAGAGGCGAGGATCAAAGTCGCGATCCTGGCCCACATATAGACCCTGCTTGAGCCAGACTTTCGACTTGGGCTTCGAGAAGATTTTCTCTTCCTGCGCTTGGTTGTTAGGTTGGCGACCTCCATCTTCCATTGTTGCGCGAGAGCGCTTCAAAGAAGTCGCGGAAGCAGCTGATTTGGATTTCAAAGAAGGCTCTGAAGCGCTACGTCGTAGAGTGCCTTGATTGGAAGCCCTTCCGTCCGAACTGTTGCCTGTTATGTTGCGGAAGGCCTCCTTGCGAAGATCCGTCACGCGCGAGGAAGTGCGACGTCGTGCTGCTTGGGCGGCTTCGGTAGCCAACTGCTCCTCAATTTGATCGCTGGCATCCGTGATCTCGGACTTCCGCTTCATCGTCTTCTTCCGTACAGGTGTCGCATTCTCCGCCTTCGCAATGCTCTCAAGCGAGCCATGCACGACGTTCTTGTGATGCTTCTCCAGGTACTTGGTCGGCGTGTGGATGGCTGTTCCGGCAAGAATCTGCACATTGTACGTGGTGACGGATTTGCGCGAGGCCCTCGCGGGCCGGCGGATCTCACTGCTGGCGGCATCGGGTGCAGTGGTTTGCGCGGCGGCTGCTGTGTCGCTAGTCATCTGCAAGCCAGGAGCCTCCTCGTACACTTCGACAGCGTGTTCGATCTTGGTTATCTCAGACATGACGCTGGCTTCGTCGCCGAGACTGGTAGGAGGCGTCGAGATGGAGGGCGACGCGCTGGACGTGGCGCGAGCATCGCCGTGCTTGTCCGTCTGCACCGTGATGTTGGAGAGGGTAGAGGATGTCGAAGTGGGTGAGTGATCGCGCTCGGCCATGGTAGCGGAGAAGGAGGGTTGCAGCACGCGTCGCGGACGTTGTCTTGAGGGGCGAGGCACTGACGCGCGAAGGAGGTCGACGGTTTGGGCGGGTTAACGGCGCTCACGAAGCAACACTGCCAAAGTCTACGCGCAGTAGGCGGAGGGCAGGCGTAGAAACGTGCACAACAGTTAATCCGGTTCAGTAGAAAAGGTGAGCATGCATTGGCAGGTGCAGCGAGCCGGACTTAGGAGATGGGTGGACGGATGGAGGATTGGAGGTAAACACATGTAGCTAGTCAGTCAGCCAATTAGGCCGTCCCTGTCTATCCAGTGTTACCAGCACCAGCACCCCTAGCACTCCGTTTCAACCCTGGCACATACAAGCACGCCTCTGGATGCAAGTTCACTGAAGAAAAAAACACTCTAGTAAATGTGCACATTGAAATCGAACCACAGTCTATGCGCACAAGTGGTCGAATGATGCCTTGCTATGCAATCGCGTATCATGAAGGAGTTATTACTTAAGATGGGCTAATCTATGATTAAGCTGATCTGAACCGTCGTCTCATGCCACAGTCGCATCTGCAGCGTCACGTCCAGACCTGCTACTTGGGCCCTGGAACGCCTCCGACCCGCGAACATCCTGCATCTCCACTCCGCCGCCCTGCTGCTCTGGAGCCAAAGGTGCAGTGCGTTTATCTCTGCGCGGGCCAAACCTCTGATCGCCTTCCTCGTACCTTCTCTTGAAGTGCAAATACGTCGGCGGACGCGGTCGTTGCAATACAGCGATCCAGTTCTTCAAGACTGAGCCCTGTGTAAAAGGTCTATGTCGATCTTTTTTAAGGAACTTGTGCGAGTTGAGATATTCACGTGTCGTCTCGCCCCTGCCAACCAAGAAGAGATGGTACACACCAAGGCTGAAGGGGTATGACCATCCCAGGAGTCCATATATACACATGGCAAAGGGCACACGCCATCGATCAATAGCCTCACCAAAAGATGCTCCATTTTGTGCTCGCCAGACCAAGAGATGTGCCAGGCTAGCGCCTAGGAGAAAAAGCCCTAGCAAGGTGGTGGCACAGACGAAGACGAAAAAGTAACGGTAGTTGCGGCGTCCCACGCAGTTGTTGAGCCAGACGCAATGATGATCTTGCGTCTCAATGCAATTGTCACACACACGGCAATGGTGAGCACGTGGGGGTCGCCAGATATTGCAACTCTTACAGTACTTCGTCGGCACTTCCATAGCAGCATTGGTGCCGGTTGCGGAAACGACCATGGTCCACTCAGTGGTGGGAGGTCCGAGATTGAGCGGGTCGTCATTAGGATTAGGCGGAGGAAATGGATGTAGATTCCGGGGCAGTATCTGTAAGAGTCAGTGATGTTCGGAATGTAGTGAGTGCATGACATACGCCGGGATCCGAAGCGGACGCATGGAAAAACGAGGAAATGGAAACTAGAAGCAAGTATGCAAAGAGAATGGGTATCGAAGGAGAAACGTGGGTCCATAGCCAAGGTGCCCTGTAATGATAGTTAGCATAGGTGACAGCAGCCGCAAGGAACGGTATACGAACGAGAACCCGAAAAAGAGAGCAGCAGGTAAAATGATTAATATAGCCGTGGCTACGTTAACCGGCCGGTCTCGCGTATTTTGTAGCCTGCCGCCCCAGCAAAACGCAGTATTGCCAGAGAAGTACTGATAGTTCTTGCCCAACTCCCGCTTGACTGCTTCTTTGGTAGCTTCCTTGCGGGCTAGCCTAGGGGAGGATTCGGCGGACGTAAGCTTCTCATGTCCTTGATGGGGTCGCATCTGAGCTGAGCGCCCATCGCGACTAGATAGCATAAAGCTGGATCCAAAAGAACGAGGGGATTTGTTGGGCGTTGGGTCCTTGTTGGAATTATGGCCATGGGTGTTGGACAGGTCGAGATGCTGGGGCCTGGGCCGCTGCAGAGGTGTAATACTTTCGCCACGACTACGCACCGTCTCCGCGCCTGTGGGCGTGGTGTTGGCAGTGGTGCGGTCAGGCATATCTCTGTCGGTAATGTCTGTGCCGCGCGAAGGCGGAGACTGCGGGTCATGCTCGTGGTGGAGGCCCAGCGTCGGGGCACCCCGGATTGTTTGTGTCGACCCTGTGCTTTGGCGGTAGGGATTGCTACCCGTCTCGTGTGTAGCCTCTGAGTAGAGCGAGCTGTGACCGAGGAGGGAGGTGGGGCGCTGGTTGCGCTGTTGTTGGAGGCGCTGCGAGCTCATGGGGCGAAAGAATCCGTGGGCGGCCAGTGGAACATGGGTTCTACTCGTAGATGTCGTTGGGCGACTCTGGTGTCCGATACTGCCGGCGACGCTCATGCCGCCTCGTCGCGCGGGGCTGGCCTGCGACCATCTGTTCTGGCTGCCCGAGTTTGCAGTCGCAATGGACGACGGCCGGGACGGCGGCAGGCCGGGCTCTCCTGCTGGGCCCGTCATGCCCAGCACGCGGCTGCCAGTGGAGCTGCGCTTCTGTTCGGACGGAGTCATGACCATGGTGTCGTTGTTGTTGCCGGCGCTATCACTATCTCTACGCGCAGCATGACATCAAATCGTTGCAACCTGGAGCTGGAGGGGAGGCGCGACCGGATTTCAGCGCGTCGTCGCGACGGGTACGGAGAGGGCAGGTGGGCGAAGACGGCAGGCGGAAGGGGAAGGAGCGACTGGAAGTGAGTGAATGGAAGGGCGGCGGCGCCAAAGGTTAATGGAAAAGTCGACTAAGACGTGTGATTGTGCTGAAAGGGGCGCATAAAGTTGATGCTCGACCCTTCGACGTTGCCCGGCGCACTGCAAGGTCCGCCTGTCTCTTTCCGGAATGGCCGTCGCTGTGACGCAGCCGCGAAGCTTGGCGTCCGCGAGATTCAACATCGAACCACTGCTCCCGCGACGCACGCAACCCATTTCTCGCAGACCACCCACGCCAATTGCACCCCACCATGTCCTCCATCATCGCCCGCTCGGCCTTCCGCGCCGCCCCGCGTGTCGTCCGCCCTACGCCCGCTTTCCGACGATGGGCCAGCGCCGCCGCTGAGGGCGAGAGACAGGCCGGCAAGGATGCCCTCAAGACAGGAGCAAAGCGCGACCCGGAGCTCTACGTACGATGCCGACACGCCCGCTAGAACATGTGAGATGGACAGCTGATTTCCTACAGGTGCTCTTTGCTATCATGAGCGGCGTTTTCGGTCTTGCAGGATGGCACTTTTGTAAGCTTCCTGCCATTTCGATTGTGCCTCGGGCGCCAACCTTCGCATACTGACAATTGCAAGCCCGCTCTCCCACCAGCGCCTCGTCGGAACGAACCGTCGCCAAGGCCTCAGACAGTGAGCCCTGGAAGCAGGCTGGCGGAGCAGGCCCCTACCAGTACCACCCTGGAGGTGACACCAGCGTCAAGAAGGATGCGCCTTCCGCTCTTAACGTCGTTGTCATCCCCAATGTCACTCTCCCCAAGGTAAGCGGGAGCCAATTGTGAGCCACAAAGTTGACTGTACTGATGAGCACTGCAGGAGCTCCACGACACATACAACAAGTGGGGCAAGGATGGCTACTAAACATGCAAACTGCTGTCCACTTCCCAATTTCCAAGTGAAGACCCATGGCAGTGGGGTACGGAATTCTCTTTCCGTTATACATCTGTATATAAGAACTCCATTGATGCCACTGCATAGATTAAACAAATCTTTTTTACTTTTTTCCTCATATACATGTGCATCATAATTTCGGTACCATTGGCAACGCATGAGCAGCAAGAACGCCAGACGAACTCTTGTCGGAAAGCACTACAGTCGTATAGCTCACTATACTCCGAATGTGTACATGTACATCATGGCCCACGTAGGTAATGCTAGGAAACTCTGTGCCCCGCCCAAGTAGAGAGATACACGCCATGCCAGAGACCATAGGACAAGAGTGTCCAAGTTTTTGTCGTTGCAGGCTATCCCTATGCCTGGTCCTTCGCGGATACTGCTGTGAGCACCCGAGTAAGCGAGCCGATAGAATGTAGTCTATGTATGGGTATCTATAAGTGCACTCTCAGTCCGCATGTCCGGCCTGTCAAAGACAATCAAGCCGCGCTTGGTAGCCTCCTCTTAATCTCGTCGATCATGTTGCTCCGCTCGACCGGTACACCATTCTTCTCAGTGTCGTTCTCATCCTTGATTCCGAGGGTTTTGATCTTGACCTTGCCGTCTTTGAGTTCGTCTTCGCCAAGAATGACGGCGAGCGGAACACCTGCTGTTTCAGCTTGCTTGAATTGTTGTGGAAGCTTGGGCTTCAATTTGTAAGAAAACTCGGCCTTGATGCCTGCAGCCCACAGCTCTTGAGCAACCTGCATACGCTCCGTCAATAGGCCGGTGAAGCCCTTGCCACCAAAGGCCATAACGAAGACATCTACGTCCTTGGCGCGTTGTGTCGACTGGCCGCGGGCCTTCATGATGCTGATAATTCGATCAATGCCGAAAGAGATGCCAACGCAGGGAATGGGTTTGCCGCTGAACATGCCCACCAGCCCGTCGTAACGACCACCTGCGGCGATACTTCCTACACCAATCTCTTGTTTTTGGCCTTTCCCAGTCGGCGCCGAGCCTTCTGTAACAACCTCATAAATCAGACCAGTGTAGTAGTCTAAACCGCGAGCGAGTGAGAGATCGAAGGAGACATTCTTGCGGGCGCCAAAAGCGTCGAGGTATGCGAAGAGCTGTTCCATCTCCTTGACACCTTGGTTAACGTCTTCTGATTTGGAGAGAGTCTCGTTCGTCTTGAGATACTCGATGATATCGTCTCCACCCTTGCGCTGTACCCACTCTCCAATTTTGTCCGCAATGTCCGCAGGCAGTCCTTTGGTCTCCATCTCTGTTTTCACCTCAGCCCATGGTAGCTGCAACACGTTAGTAACTGACGGAACACTATGGTTCTTCTTCTTCTTCTTCTTCTTACTTTGTCTAGCTTGTCCACTGCAGAGCTGATTGGCCGTATCAGTTCGTCCTTGACACCAGCTGCCTTGAACATGCCGTCCAAGATCTTCCTGTGATTTATCTTGATTGTGTATGAGTCCCACTTGAGCGCTTCGAAGACGTCGGTTGCGATCTTGAGGACTTCCGCATCGGGAATCATGGCGTCGTACGAGCCCGCAATGTCGAAATCGCACTGGTAAAACTCTCGCATACGTCCCTTGGTCATTGCCGGTTGGTCACGTCGGTACACCTTGGCGATTTGGTATCTCTTGAAGTTCTGCACACTAGGGTTCATGGCGAGCCATCGTGCAAGCGGGACTGTAAGATCGTAACGCAGTGAGCAGAGCTCACCACCTTGATCCTGTAGATCGTATATCAACTTCGAGTCTTCTCCATATTTGCCGCTGAGGATCTCTTTGAGTTCGAAGACAGGCGTATCGAGTGTCGTGGCTCCGTGGCGCTTGAAGACTTCCGTCACGGTCTGGAACAGGTGATCGCGAAGTGCGGCATCCTCGCCGGTCCCTTGGACAGTCAGTCAACCATTTGCGCGCATACAAGCAAGACATACAGTCGCGTGTGCCCTTGGGCACCTTCAGGTTGAATGACTTGCTCTTGTCTTCTTTGCCCATATCGTCGAAGCCTACAAGCGAATTTTGTGTGCAGAAGCGGCGGCGGGGTGCGAGCAGTCGAAGGCGGATAGGTTTTGGGCTGACTTTGCGGAATGCGAAAGTGTATCGGAGGGCGTCTTGGAAGAGCGCGGGGCAGACAAAGTGGGGTGAAGTGCGCTGCATGGACCTGGAAAGTGACTCAATCGCCCAAGAGCAAGCGCGCATGTGCAAAGAATCGTTCTATTCCGCGACTTGGCCCGTGCATTTACGTACCGACGTCACAGCTATAGGAAAAGTATAGTCATAGAATTACAATAATTAGTTTGATGCATGGGTATCTAATGATGGCTGTGCTTGTAGCTACCATGCTGCTCGGAATTCTAGCAGATCTTTCTGTCCGTAGCACTCTGCTACTACCGTCAGAATCACGTCGATGGCTACCTTGGTGTTCCAGTCACTCTCGGTCAATGGAGTCATGGCCTGTGATCTTGCCTTTGGCGGTCCAGAAGCGGGTGTCGTTTTTCCAGGAGTCATATCGCATAAATTCACTCCTCTGCGTATCTCTTGCCGCTGTCTCTCAGCTTCGGCTCGCGAGAGATGTTGGAAGGTTTGTGTTGGCGGCGTATCAGGTACAGGCATCTGGGAATGTACCAAGCGATCGCCGAGTTGTGCAAGAAGACGTGCCCGAGCTTCTTCAAGACCTCCGTCATCCAAAACACTCTCGGTTTGTTCTTCGTCTTCGGATATGATCATTTCTGCACCAGAATCATCCGCCTCTTCAGTTACCGTGTCCTGGGCCAGCACGACGTCGTCCGACTTCGGAAGAGCAGAGTGCGATACAACATCTTTCTCGTCAGGAACACAGCTTGGAGTATATCCCTCTTCTTTCGTGGAAACCTCTTCGTTGCGGGTATTGGAATCGGGGACGTCTGATCTGGTATCTCCGTCTCCTGGTACATTGCGCGTCGATTTCGCTTCATCTGTGCAGAGTCGCCGCATTAGTCGACCAGCACTGAGTCCCAAATCCCGGATCCTGCTGACGCGTTCATGGTCCAAAGTTCCGAAATCTCCGACCAGGGCTAACAAAGTCCATATCCAACAGCTCTGTTGACGGGATATCTTGACTGATCGTCCCAAAGCTAACGTGCATCCTTGAAGAGCCACATACAGCATCGATTCATCCATATCGGCAACCTCTTGGAAGTTTGGGAAATTGCTCTCTATGATATCCGACCATTGGTACTTTCCAGCCTTTGATGTGTATGTAGACTTCTTTGCTGGTTTTGATACCTGTCTGAGCTTCCGGATCTCAGCGAGCTTGTTGCGGAGATTCTGAAAGCGCTGAAGGAGCATGTTGTTGCAACCTTGTTGAGGATCAACAACGGACGGGTCTTCCTCCCACTCAGAAGCATCGTGTTCTCTATCCACAGCAATCCAAGTTCCCTCTTTATATATGACGCGTTGCTTGTGCGCAGGAGTTGTGTAGTGCGGTTCGTCATCATCTGAATCAACATCACCGGCGTTGAAATTGTTCGGCGCTACGAGCAACGTGGGAATCGCTGATGCTTCGGACCTGACATACACGTAAGCAATATACTCAATATGCCAAATATACAAGAGCGACTCTCAAGCGACGAAACAAGTACTCACCGGACACTGTGAAGGTATGCTAATGCTTCGCTCGTAGACTCGTCGGACAACTGCTCTTCGCCATCGAGCCCGGGTAGCACCGTCCGTGTTCCATACTCTTGGTATGAGTCCAGAACACGTGGTCGTCTTTTGGAGTGCGCTGTGTTGCGCTCGATCCTGGCGCGCTTGACTTCAGGTACTTCCTCTTGCGCGCATTTCCTTTTGCCGCTGTATGTCGTTGGAGCAGCTGCCGGAGGGCTCGTTGGAGGTGGCTGTGTCGATATAAGGTAACCGTCAGGGCGCTGTAGTTTGTTGTAGGTCTCACCGTCTTTAGTCACAGCCAGGTTGACCCCCAAGTTTGACATCTTTGCGTTGAGGAAGTCAGTCCTGACTTTAGTTGACAAGTGATTGCGGAGACCAACGCGGAGGTGAGCTACATTGGTCTAGCGTCGCACTTGCAGGGAATGCAAGGTACGTCCGCGAGCTACCAGCATCAACACAACGACTCGTCAGAATAGGATGAGTGGTTTAGCTCATGAAATTAATCTATATAGTTATCGCATGTTTCTGTCATATTCCTCGTAAGTTTCCACAGCCGACCTCATGAGGAATATGGCAGCCAACCATTCCACCACGCGAAGACCAGTGTGAACGCCAGCAGGCGTGCAGAAGAACTCCAGATTGAACAGTTGGAACAACCAGTCTGGCCTCGTTTGCCCTTTCGATGCCTCTCATCGTGTAAGGCTCCATGCCTGCCTATCATTGCTCTTTCCTTTCCACGTTCTCTTCTACTGGCTGGTAAGGGTATTTGATCGTGAGACACCAAATGTCCAGATAATCGCAGATTGTCCAGATGACGTCCACGATGAAGCTTCCGTGTACACCTACAGCGAGGCCTAAGCACATGAACACAAAGGCGACTTGGTAAACATCGTTGCCTAGGGCACTTGGCCAGCCCACTCCAATGTGCTCCTGCAGCCACGGTCCGAGCGAGTCGATGACTCCGTATATCAGAGGATACATGAGCACGTTGCCTCGCGGAAAACGTGATTTCGTGAGGTGAGAGATGATCATGCGACCGACCGAATACGCATTGATGAGACCCGCGTAGAAGATGAAAGGTACCAAGTGGTGGTGCAGGATCATCGGCTGCAGGTACAGGTATGCAACGATAAGGACCCAGGCGGAGCCGAAGGTGAGGAGACCGAGGAGAGCAACGCGTGTCTTTTCACCACGGGCACGACGTGCCTTCATTACGTTTAGTGCGCTGTTTGGTTGTCAGTTTGCTCTTCCGTATTGACTCGATTGTTCATACCTCGAAACAGTGTTGAACACGAGCACGACACCTCCATAGACCATATACCACTCATTCCATGCCATGTTGTAGAAAATTTCCGGGATGATACCTTCTTTGATTCCGAGACTTTGGATCATGGAGCGTTGCCAGAAGCTACCCCCACCAAGGTAGGCTGTTAAGGCATACACGATGCATAACGTTATGATACCCTCAACTGGTCCGGAAATTACTCCGAGAGTCAGCGTATGTGTGTGGTATTCATCCCACGTTTGCACGTAAAAGGTCAGCGAAGCTGCAGTAATTAGTAACAAGACCGTCAAAACTAGGCGGGTAACGGGTCTATGCTAGCTTACATGCAAATAGCGTAAGAACTGTCTTCCAGCCTTGGCCAAGGTTCATCGTTGCAGAGAACAATAGAACTTCCAATGTCGTATTGATCGCATCGACTCCATGATCGAAGAGTTCGCCCAGAGGCCCGCTCTGGCGGGTCCTTCGGGCCTGACTTCCATCTACAGCATCGAACGTCTGGTAAAGGAAGAGTCCGATCGCCCAGCTGGCGTATACCCAAGGCGGACAATCTTGGTCGAGAGTTGGTGTATACCAGAGCAGGGTAAGAAAGTTGGCTATGACGAATCCAAAACCAGAAAGAGTTATCTGTGGAGTTGTGTAAGTGGAAAAGCAAGCATTTGCAGTGGGACTATAATGTTCGCTTCAAGCCAAACTTACGAGGTTGGGTCTGATACACGTTAGTACTGCTCTATATGAGACACCAGTAGTACTTACGCCATCCACATGGGAAAACATTTTATGACCACATGAGAATAGAAGGGCTTGAGAACATATTGCGAAAGCAGACTATGATCCACGCCAGAGTACTTGTACTCCCTGAGCTTCGGTAGCTTGTCCTGTCGTATGTACACCATGGTTTGTAGCTCCTCTTTTGACCAGCAGCTGGCTGTCGGCGAGCTGTTGTGGGGTTCTGGCAGCGAAGACGATTTGGGCGGCGTTTGTTGTTGCTTTGTGGGTGGAGTGCCAAGCGCAACATCGTATGACGTAGCGTCTGGCCGCCCGGTTTTGCCAACCCTTTACGGTAGCGCGCAAACCGTATTTGTTGACCAAGGAGCATACCTGTCATACACGATCCAAGGGTGTTTAACAAAAAAAGCAGGATTGCTATCATCATTCGGTATTGGTCAGAGGCTGTCTCGCAAATTTGTAACTAGCACTGATATGACCCTTTGCAAAAAAAGTAGCATCACATGCTAAACCACTTCCAACCCCACCAATCGGACTAGCATCGTTCTGGAGTATCATAACTTATTTCCCTCTTGCTTGCGGTTAGGTATGTATCGCGACCACTTACTGTAGGCAGTGTATGGTCGCGTTGTATATCGAGATACACAATGTGTGGGGCCAGCTCGGTCTCATCGAAGCCTAAGCGACAGTGCTCCAGGAGCAAGGAATCAAAATCCTGCTCTTCATGGTTTGGATGAGCGGCACTGTCTTGTGCACTGTTTCGCCCCAGCCTTCCACACTCCAGCTCTGCTCGCGGCGAACCTTACGCTCCTCTAGGTTCGCAAACTGCCATAGATGATGTACTGTGTTAAGATCGCCGATCTGAACGAACCAAGCACCTACACCCTCCATGACTTCCCGCCGAGCCTTCAAGCCACGTCTCCAATGTGTCTCCCATTCTAGTAGGTTGCCTGGATGCAGTGTATACGAGCGCAGTTCGAATAAGCCACCGAGTTGGCGCGGCGGTGTTGTTGGCCAGAAGGAGAACTCTTGCATGAGAGAGTTTTTCTTGGACATGATCAATTTCTTGAGTTTGGCGTCGAATTCAGGGAACTCTGGGTGAGACTGGATGTTGTGTAGCGATTCGTGATAACCCTCGTAGCGTTGGTATTCCCAGATGTGCACTATGGCGCATAGTCAGTACACGTGACAGTGACAGCTTCGGGAGCGAATCGCAGTCTTACCGAAAGTGTTGCAGTCTCCCACTTCGGTCCGCCAGCTACCTACAAGATGGACCTTGTTCTCGGGGATAGAAGCCATCTTCGGATACCAACTTCCCACCAGCTCAGTGTATTCTTCGACCTTGTCTGGCTGTACTTCGTGGAACACAATCGAGTGGACGTATTTACCGCGAGCCAGAACCTGAGAAAAGCTGCGCTCAATGTCCTTGTCGAGTTCGCGGCCCTCGGGTGTACCGTAGATGAGAGATGACAGCGCACCGCCCTTCTTTTTGCCGTTCTCTTGCTCACGGGCGCGAGCCTCTTCTATAATTGATCGAGTTAGCGCTCTTGAATCGCCCAAAGTGGGTGGTAGGCAACGGACTTTCTTCCTGTTCCTTTCGCTTCTGAGCTGCGGCCAGACCATCACGGAAGCTCTTCTGCTTCTCATTGAAGCTAGCAGCACTATCAGGCGTGATGTCTGCCAGAGTAGGAGCTCTAACTGGGCTCTGTGTCGGAGGCCCGGTACCGAATGCCTGAGACCGGACAGCTGTGGCACATAGTGGGGAGAGGATGCCGCCGCGCACGCTGGCACAAACACGACGTGTGAGCATGATGGTGGTGTCAGAATAGGAGCTCGGGGCCGAGGTCAACTTGAGTATCGTTTCTGACAGCGTGTGCAGAGCGGAGTAATGGTGGTGAGGGTCGTGTTTGGCTTGGTCTGGGTGGGTGGCTTGGAAGCTTCCCCTCAATCAACTGCAGCTCTCCCTGTCAAGCCGCTAGCGCGCCGCTGTGTAGATGGGGCTCTGGGGTAAGCGCGACCCACACTGCAAGCTTTCCCCACTGCAGTACCAAAGACGATTCATACCTACAAATACGGTGCCTTAACAGGTTACTGCAAAGCATCACGACTGCTACCTCTAACTTTGGTCATGCAATTCAAGTCCCGAGTCTTGAACTTTCTTTTACAGTGAATTCATATAGCTCTAAAGGTCAAAGATGTGTGCACGAACTCAGCACGAGAGTCGTTGCGTCTTACTTCCAATCATAACAATCGTACTCGCTACAGCCAATGCTTCCAGAATTACAGCAACGGCCATATTATCTTAGCACGTCGTCTTTGACATACCCGTGCTCTGTTACGAACGTATGTGGAATGCCACTTATGAATACGATAACCGTCCCGCAAAGATAAAGCCCACAATATGCTACGCACTGCACACCCCAAGATTGAATGAGAATGTAATAGGTACCAAGGCATCGTGGCAGAAAAAAACTTGTGTCCCTGGGAACATGAACGTTTAATCCTCGTCAAATATCTGGAGTACGTTGTCCAGAATAGTTATGATAACGCGGGCTTGGAGGCCGGCGTCAGCCATGTTGTTGCCTTTGTGAGGTCCCATTATGGATGGCCTACGTAATGTCAGTTGATGTACGTGGATCTCGACTGGCGACAACTTACGCCCAGCAGATGCCCAAGTTCGCAGTGCTCATACGATTAACTTCAGAAGATTGCTGCACACGATGTAAATGCAGAACCAGGGCACGAAGCGTCGCATAGTTCGGATCAGGCAAGGCATTGATCAGCGCATGCATGGAGTCTCGGCGCATGGTCTCGTCATCGATACGTGCAGCATCGATATACTTGCCGTAGAACTCGCGAGTAAGCAATGGGTCAGGAAGCTCGCGGAAGAATTGTTTCAGCAATCCAGCCACACTGTTCACGTCGTGTTGGAACGCTTCTGGGTTACGGAAATCCACCTGGGAAGCATCTGCACAGCATTAGTTGGAATCGCCAACAGATCTCCACCATAACGTACCACTATCGAAAAGAGCTTTCATCTGCTGGATGTGTGACGAAGTCCCAGGGATACGATAGATACCCTCTACCTCTAATCCGTATAGATCCACGGCCTGTATACACTGGTAAACTACCATAGGTACAGGGGAGCCATCTCGGTGGAAAAGGTCTTCCAAAGTCACGCCAAAGACAGGGTTCACTGGGGGTTGAGCGTTATTGTAGAGTACGCCACTGGTTTGCTGTGCGGTAGCCTGGCCAACGGGTCCACGAGGATAGTCTGGCTGGGAGTATGGGTTCTGTGTGACAGGTGAGTAGGGCGAGCTAGTGAAGTGTGGTATTGGGGGCTGCGATGGTTGCGTTTGCAGTGACGAAGACGGTGGCTGTGAGGTGGTTCCAAATGAGGGTTGCTGTAATGGCTCATGAGGAGGAGGGCCCTGGGGCGACAGAGGATTCGCGTCCGGTTGTGGCATGGAAAATGATGGCGGCGGCTGGCTCTGCAGCTGCATAGAGGCACGACGGTTACCACTTGCAGCCGCTGGTGGTGTTGGATGTGACCGTGTCGCCGCCTGTGTTGGGTGTTTCACATACTGTAGCTCCGATCTGGCCATAGGTGCTTTAGATGCATGGCTCAAGATGTACTCGTCAAAGTCCCGCTCGCTGTTGATCTGGTAGATCAACTGGTTGATGCTGGGTGGAGTTTGAGCAGTTGAGCCTTTCAGCGGCTGTGGGCTGACAACCTGGCCGTTGTTGACGACGAGCTTTTCGTTGAACGAGGCTGCCGCAGTGTCAGTGACGATTTACGTAGGGGTATAACAGACTTACCGTATTTCTGCATCTCCATTGTGAGCGCGGCATCCGTTTCCTTGATAAGATCCAGCAGTGCAGTGACGGCCTGGGGACGCAGAGTCGCGACAAGCTCTTTGCGAGAGACCTGGGCCGTCTGCACCTTGCTGGCATAGTCCTGGTCTGCCGCCTGTGTCTTGCGCTGCAGGTCCTCCTCGTGCTGAGCGGCCGACTTGGGTCCTTTTAAGCCAAACTTTCTGCCTGCGCCAGTATCGCCTGTCTTGACGCGATCAAGGTCTTCAGCAAGCTGGTCGTACTTGGCCTTGGCCTTCTCGGCCAGCCGTTCGGCGTCTTGCACCTTGTTCTCTGCGGAGAGCCCCTGCTGCTTCCACGTCTTGCGGCTCGTATCCATCTTGTTGGCTAGTTGCAGCAGATTCTCATGCATGGCGTGCAGAGCAAGGCCGAACTGGGTGCCATTGTCGGCGATGCGCTCGTTCGCGTGGAGAACCTGCTCGAACTGCGTCTGATAGCTCTCGTGCCGCGTATCGGGCTTTCGTACGCCATCGAGGGTCAAGCGGCTCAGCTTCTTGAGGCTACCGGCATGCTCCTCCTCTAAGGCTCCTCGGCGCTTGAGGAAGCTGGCGAAGTCCTGCCGGGCGTGTTAGCGCATCCGAGTGCAGTCGAGTCGATTAGGCCGTCACTGACTCTGGCGCTCGCGATGCTAGCCTTCAGGCGGTTGAGAAGGGTCGCAACGCCCACATCAGAGTGCAGGATATCGTGGACGCGCTGCTGCGTTTGCGCATCGTGAGGCGCAGTCCGTTGTTCGGGCGATGCGGGAGTTGCATCTTCGATGGGTGAATGTTGGGCACCGTCCTGGGTAGGGGACGATGCGTTGTTTAGGTCGGGGTTGAAGCTATCGGTACTCTCCATAGGCGGAATTGTGGGCGGGGCAGCCATTGTAGGCGTAGATATCGTAGTGGCCGTTGTCTACGTAGTCAGTCGTGTTGTGGTCGGACTGCGCAATGCCGGGTGGTTCGGTGGAGATGCTGCACGGGGCAAGCATGCAACGTCATCCTTCCCGCCGTCAAGTTCTGCCTACCATCTACACGCGACCCATCAAGCACTGCAGCACTGTCGACCTCTGGCAGCGCCCATTTCTTCATTTACCACTGTCGCCAATCCATTACTCACCTTCGCAATGTCCAACGGCTTGCCAGATGAGGTGGTTACCTGCCTCCAGAACGCCCGCTTTGTGAGTCCTCTCCAAAGACATTCATCTCATCTTCATGTTTCCATCTTGGAAATTACCTTCAACGCCATGTCTCATCTCTGCATACTGCTACTTTTCTTCGTTTGCCTGTTTAATTCCTCTGAGACCTATCCAATGAAGTCTTGTTTGTCACATCCGCTATGCAAGCACGTGCTTCATCTTCACAACGATCCCTGGCGTCTCCTAAACGTACGTGCCCAGTTCTAACAGACTTGGACAGCTCCATCTTGCAACATGTTCGGACAACATTCCACATGTCTCGTTGATGAATTATACCTACCTACCTAACACCCCTTATTCTCAAACTCCCATCATTATCATGACAACACCTAAAACGTCTCGCAAGACACAAAATCTCGAGGCGAATTCCGTCGTTTCTCTTCTGGTACACGATTGGATATCTCATCGGCCTCCAACGTTAAACCAGCCAGGTCGTTCACCCTCACCATCAGGTCCTGCGCCACGTTCTGGATCATTAGCTGAGCTCCTCCTTGGCATGAACACTGCGTCCCTAAGTCGCATAAGTGCCACCATCAATGGAATTGCTGAGCTTGTACCTTCTGGTTCTGAAGAAGAGACATGGTACAAAGCCCAGCACCTAGCCAACAATACCTTCAGTCAGGGTGGTGAGGATACGTACTCAAGTTCTCCCGTTGGAGAGGGACTCTGGGGTGGTGGTGGGTTAGGCTCGCAAACAGCTGCAGCAGATGAAACGTTAAGAGAGGGTGACGGAGGCACCAAATGCTACGTCGAAGGAGGAGAGGTCAGGGTTGTCGTGGTCAAGGTTCGTGACGGACGCATCGCAGATTGGAAAGGTCAAGTCAGAGATTGGAGTCTCTCAGATAACACGCAGGATTCTAGACCCAACGGCGTGTCATCATGATCATCACCACGAGTCTTGTTCTGGACACAGAAAATAAGAGGTTGTGTGTATTTGGTCGATTCCATCTGGGTCGGTAGCGCTCAATACCAAAACAAGGTCTGAATATTCTCCAGACATGAAGCATATTTTCGGATATTGCTTTTTATCTTTCATGGTACTTGTGCAGTTTAAAGGATAAGAAACATATCCGGGGTACCAAGGCTCGGGTTGCGTATGCAAGGGGCAGCCGTGTTCGTTCATCACTCGGTTAGTGCACATTTTCCGTCAAATCAGATAAATTTGTCTTATATGTCTTAGCACTATTTCGTGCGTGGCTTGAGGCTATCTCCTTTGTCTCAGATTATCCCATTGGCGACCAAAAGTAGACCGCTCCCCAGACTTGTTCTCGATTCCGCATCCTCAAATCCACCCGCAACATTGCATGCCATTCAGACAGAAGCTCTTGTAATGCTCAACATGCAAAAGTTGCTTGCTCATTCATCTGTACTATAGCGTTTGTCCGTACCGAGATCAGAAGGCAATAAGACAATCCCACCCTGTATTGGTGGCTAAGTGAAGGGGACTGAAGCTGCCCCATTAGGTGAGCGATGAATTAGTATCGTTTATGGATGCACTGACCGTTTGAAAGGCGCAGACTCGCTGCCTTCTCAGCCTTGGCGTCGCCACAATTAAACTCTCTGCTCTCACCTTCTCGTCGAATTACCACCAACCTCCACTACTCCAACTTTCTTATTCTGCAATTGCTCTATTGTCTTCCTTCTATCTTCACTCAATAGCTCAAACGTCAATTTCCTAGCACCATGAACGCAGAGATCTACCGCACTCTCGCTGCCATTCGCGAAGAGCCCCAGATCGTCATCGATGTGGTAGATCGCTTCGACACAGCCCTTCTCACTTGCACTGACGGCTGGAACCGTGGCGAGAACATGGTTATACTTCCTGATAATCTCCCCACCCTCTTCGGAAACGGGGTTGTCGAGCTCTTCAAGAAGGCACTGGCCGAGAAGGCAGGACTGCCGATCGATCTCACTCCTATGGAGACCGCCAATAGCTCACACACTCTTGTAAAGATGCCAAAAAATACCGGACACTCACCTCAAGCGCAATTCAACGCTCTGTCTGTACATACACCGGGTTCTGACCGTACTGCGATCGACATAGCCACCCTCACTGCTGCCTTCAAGAAGGCTCCTCGACCGATGAACTGCTGGATCATCTTTCGAGACGCGATGCACAAGCAGCTGAAGGCTGAGTTTCCGAATCTCACTGTTCAGGAGATCTGTAAGCATACAACCTACTATCTGCCTCTGACAAAGTGTACTGATAATGTCATAGCTACACGCTGCTCTGAAATTTGGCGCAGCCTGACCCCAGAAGGCAAGAAGCCCTGGCAGGCTGCTGCACAGTCGGCGAAAGAAGAGCACCTCCGCCAGCATCCCGACTACAAATATACTCCCAGGAAACCTGGTGAGAAAAAGAAACGTCAGTCGCGCAAAGCTAAGCGCGCATCAGCGGCTGCAACTGTTCCGGAGGCTCTCAATTTCCAACTCACCCCCAGCATTCCGTCGACATCGCCTAGCTCGACCTATGAACCTGCGCTTCCCGTCCAGGACATCGCTGCCGATGCTGCCAACGCCTTCACTGACGACCTTGCTCAGCTCTTCGAGCCGGCGAACGTATTTGATATATTCGCCCAGGACTCAACATCCGCGGACTTCATCTACGACTCAGAGTCTTTCCGTCACGGTCGCCTTGACGAGGAGTTCGGTATGGACTTCGACATCAACGCAAATTTTGCGCTGCTCGATGACGAGGCTTTTGCCTTCCGCGACGGTGCAGACGGCAATGCCATTCTGCCTGCCTTCTTCCAGGACACCTACTAGAAAGGTCTCAAGTACTCAAGCTTCGTCTTCACAGGCTAGGCATCAAAAGCATACACATCCTCCGTCGAATGTTCATGCTCGTTATAAGAGACCGGAGAACCCCACACCATGTCACTCTTGCATGTCCTTCCCTTGCGTTCTCTCATGCTTCGATGTTCTCGACGCGGACCATCGCCTCTTCGCGATTTCATCGGTAATGATGTTGGCAACGCCCTTGCTTTGCCATGATCACTCTCCTTCCAGCGGCTTACACCCATCAAAAGTTCACATTGAGCGCCACTTCGAATCATCGTTCCGGTTTTCGTAGTGGGCTTTCCTCGTTATCACTTATGGTAGATGCAGCTGGAGCTTCAACAGAAGGCTACCAAGCAGCATCCACTATCAAGCGTATCTTCCCCCTTGCCCGTTCACGATCACGACTCACGACCCATACTACCCCGCATTGAGCACACGGCTGCACCATACTACGAGAAGAGACTTATGAGTCTTGATGATGGAGAAACGGGCATGGAGCGTATGATTGTTCCACCCAAGACCTCAATGTGGTTGATGGTCACTATTTCCTTTCCCATGAAAACTTTTTAGATACCCCCTGGACGTATACTTCGTCAAACGATGTACTTTAGATAGCAGTCGGTTATGCAGCGCAAGTGCCTGGCAACCGGCAAACATATCACTCTCAAAAAAGAGAGACAAATGAAACTAGATAAGATTCACAACTCTTCCCCTCGCCTGCTTGCCCTTGCTTGATCATGACGTGATGTGATGTGGTGCGACTCGCTTACTTGCTTTGATCTACTTGAACACTTGAACATGTGTTGAAATGTAAGGAGGTCTATGTGATGTGTGATGGTAACGTCTGTGGCTGCATGGAAGGATGTGATAGGCTTGCATGGCGGTGGCGTTTAAGCAAGGAGGGTTTTGGACCCTGCCACTGAGATTATTCCGAAATGACCCTTCGTGAGACTGGGGGGTTTGTTAGATGCAAAGAGATTACATGTATCTCTCTCTGTGGCCATGAATTTTGACACCAAGTGGTTTGTAGTCGCGCATTGGTGTCTCGGGTCCTTGGATGGTCTCGCTGCTTGCCAAAGGCGACGCATACCTAGGTATGCCGAGCAGCATCTCTGTGCGCAGATACGTGCTTGAACCGCTCATAAGGTATTAACAGATACTCTGAAAGTATGAGGTAGTCTTATGAGACCTATGGATCATACAACATAGCTTGGTGTTTGGTTGGGTGCTCAAGGGGGTTCGTTCGCTGACCAGAGAAATGTCAGCGCAACATTGTGTCAAGCCTGGCAAGCGTTTCTCAAAATGATTTGGAAGATATCAAAAAGGATTTGGGAGCTATCGAGAAGAGTTTGCAAGATGACAATTGAAACAGAATGTTTTCTGTGCCAGGTAACGCGTCATTCTCAATGTGGCGAAGAGCGTGGTAACGCTTCTGACATCTCTCAATGATAATTTCAGCAAGTAAATCTCACTAACTCGAGCATCTTCACGTAGTATTGGTGTTGGTGAAGCCTTATGGCAATATATGTCCATTTACCTACGCTCACCTAACACCACTCAGGACCGGACAACACAGCTCACACCGCAATATTTCTAGTTTTACTGTATCCAGGTAGAATGCATATATGTGAGGAGACGAAAATATGGACCAAAGTAGAGTATGCGTGGCTGAACATGTTCTTCCTATTTCCTATATTCATGTATAATTCCTTGATACGACGTAATGAGCTGCCGTCTGACTTCCAGCCTATTTCTTTTCGCCCTCTACGTGACCCTCATACCCATCTATATACCATATACGCGATGCCTCAATGTATCTCCGGCTCTGCCTGTTCTTCTCACAGCGACCTCCGGCCCTTGCAAGTGCCCATAGGGTTCTCGTATCGCCCTCCTAGCAGGAATTCCCGTGGCCCACATGCCAACATATCTCAAATCCAAGTGTTTATCCTTCATGTCCATGTAACATGCTCGACATCAGCTACCCTTCCAATCACTACACCATATGAACGTGCCACACCGCCACTGCGTACCCACCTCCTTCTGCCCTGTCGGCCCAATTGGTCTAGGGCACATCCAAAATTGCCTTCCACGATTCATACCAGGTTTCTTTGTCGTGTACGTGGTGCAAGGTTCACCATGTTCGCACCGTGGAACCGATTTCTTAGAGAAGAGTTTTGTCCAATCTTCCTTTGATGCTTCCTGGGAGGCGCGTGGATCGGCGTCAAAGGAGTCAGAGAGCATGGGCGATTGGGGAGGAGGCATTTCCGTGCTGGATTGGCTAGGTGCATCGTTGGTTGCAGCCGGAGAGGCAGGTGCTATTGAGTCTTTGGGTGGCTCTGCATCTGTAGGTTTACTCTGCGGTTGGAAGAAGCCCTTCAGCGACTGCTGACCCTTAAGAACTTTAGTAGTAGTGGCCGGGGCACTGGATTTGCCTCTCTTGGTTGGCTTCTTGGGTGATGCGGATGCTGAAGCGCGTCGCTTTTCAGCTGATTTGAGCGGGCTCTGACTTGATATAGGGTTGCCGTTGACTGACGAGGACATGTCTGCCATAGAGGCTGCGATCGCTAGTTCCAGGTCTCTGTCCGATTCATCGACGGTCGTACTAGTGAACGACGTAACATCCGTCTTTGGTGGACTTTCCTTGTCGACAGTCGTCGGCATCGGTGCTGGCGTAGATTTCGGTAAAGCGGGCTTTTTGCTGAACATGTCTCGGATATTCCTTCTCTTCGTAAACTCAGCTAGTAGCTTTCCGCTGAGAGGTGGAACGTCATTGACCGTATCGTACTCTCGTTGTCGTACACCATCTTTAAACATGCCTGCTGGATTCATCAAGTCTAAGATATGAACCTCTTCCTTAACCTCGTCCTCTTCTGTTGTTGGTACGAGTGACACTGGCACCACGTCTTTTGTGACAGCGTACACCGGGCAATGATCCGACCCCATAAGTCCCTCCTGGATGTTCGCGTCCTTGAACCAGTCCTTGATGGCGATACTGCACAATATGAAGTCGATGCGTGACCCAAAATTGCCTGGCCTTGCATTGATTTTCTGCTCCCAGTGTGTAAACATGCCTTCACGGTCAGGGTGGAATTCTCGACATAG